AAACGAAAGAGCTCTTGTAAAGATCTGAGCAAAGAGTTGCTAGCTAACTAAGTCGTGTAACACTTTTAGTCAAATTCCATAGCGGCAAAGATTCACCGATCATAAAGAATAATTCAACATTACTTGACAAGATGCGTTTTGAGGTGAAATGATGTTTTTGTAATAACTCTGAAATTAAACGTATTCGTGATGGAGCATGACAGAGATGCATGGCTTTTGGGGAAATACACTGAAAAGAAATAACCACATGGGGGCTAGATTCAAAATGAGCAATATCTTGATCAGAAAAAAAGATTGAGACGTTACAAATGGTATCGAGTATCTCTATGCCCTCTTCAAAGATGGGTCGGAAAGGGGTTGTAATGTAACCGTTTACTCAAATTTCACATCGATAAAGCGCGAGCGAGATCCATGAGTCATAATGAACAATTTAACGTTAACTAACAAGACATTGTGAAGTTAAACGAAAGAGCTCTTGTAAAGATTCTAGATCCAGACTTGCTCGGTATGAATTAACCAGAGGTGGATGATCTCTTGGAAGGTCACCATGTGCACCGAACCGAAAATTAAAATCGTGTGGAGCTAGACACAAAACAAACAATGAATTTAATTCTCATAACTTATTATTCCAACTTTTTTTTTACACTTAGACTATAAATTAAATTATCTGTATCTACAGATATTTATAAGACTGAAATAGTTTCAAATTCGTATCAAAATGAACAATCTTTATATAATTACGTCATCTTAATTTAGATCATAAAAGTGAAGGAGTAACTTCTCATATTTGTGATAACATAACCCTACCCTTCTTATTAATATTCTTCTAAAGCACTTTAGCTTTAAAGGAGTGAGGAAAAGCAATTGGAATTGGGTTCAACTTTCTTTTTAAAGGGTTTCAACTTCAAGTACCTTTCTGTGTAGGTGGTGGTTCATATAAAAATTTAAAACATTAAAAAAATGTGGGTGTTTGGGTTGGCGACCATGTGAAGACAATCATGGGGAGTACCTAGGAAATTCTTCAATTAGTGGAGGAGTCTATAGCATAAACCTCCCTTCAATTCCATCCATGTAAGCTTGCTTTTTTTTTTAAACTAATCAATTAATTAATTTCTATATTTTTTTTTTGCATTTCCTTCGAGATAATAATCAATTGGCTTCATAACTTTTAGTATTGATTCGATATTAGTATTTTTGAGTGTTAACACCTTATTCAGACCTTGATTGTTAATGGTTGTGAATTTTTAGTCTATACAAACGTGAAATTTAATGGACTCGTCCTCTCTTTCTCTCTCACCCTAATCTTTTCAGTTTTTCTCGTACAGCAAGAAAAATAAAGGAAATGACATAGATAATTTTTTTTTCTTTTGCAGACTCTGTTTTCGTTGTATTCCACTAAATTTTTACTATGCTATTGCTCCTAGATTTCTGAATATACCTCAAATAAATAGCCATCCTTTTCTTCTCTTATTCGTGTGGAATTTCTAGTTCAAACAACAGGCGGCCGAGCAAAATTCTTGGTGGGGAAAATGAAAATTCCCCATTACCGACAGAAAACGATTTTCTATTTGGTGTCTTATTATACAAAACAGTGCAAGGAAAATTCATTAGACTCTGCTTTATAGACTGACTGTGTCAGCGAAGCAGAATCAAAATCCTGGGAATTAAAATCAGTCGAAAAAGGGGAAATTCGGGGGAATAAAAAGGGTATCTTGATAATAGACTAATATACTTGGGGATTATTGATTCTAGTTGATAGGCTTGTTACGCTCACAAAATTATATTACAAAGTAACTTCTCCCTTTCAATGTACAATTTACAAAACCACACTCTCAGTTATGCTTTTCTTCTTCCTTACCACGTCTTATTCAAGTATGGTCACTACTTTGAAGGGGACCAGTCAGTTCGCACGGATACATTTGAAGAATCTTCTCAAGTGTGCGTTAATTCGAGAAACAAATTATCACTAAATTCAAATTATATGTAATTATCCGATAGCCCGCTAAAGACAACATATAGAAAAATATCATTACTCATTGGAAACAAACAAAATGTTCTTTATTAGAGCAAGTCACGAAAAAAAGTAGTGTACCGATTAAGTGACTGGAAAAGGGTCTCCTAATCCTCCTATTAGCAACGAATTTAGTGACTGGAAAAGGGTTAATTAGGTCAAATAATGGTTGTGAGGGCTTTGGCTTTGATGATGCAGATGCGTTCACACTCAATTACTCGATTAAGAACATTATTTTTGAGATTTATTAAAACCCAATTGATTCTTCTGTATAAAAGAGTTAGTGGGTGGCTTTCCTTGTTGTTTGTTGGGATTGATCAATGGAGTGTGAAACTACAAACTTAGTCCTAAGTTGGAGATAAAGGTATAATTATATTTTTTTTTCATGGGAGTTAAGCAACATTAAGAAATTATTTTCTAAATTTTGAAAGACCAAGAAGACGGGATGAGAATTTAGCAAGAATAGGATGATTTTAGTCCAACTAAATTACTAATCATCGTCCTAATCACGAAAGGAAAACCATTTGATCTAAAAATGAGATAATTGAAACCAACAAAACGATCCCTATATGAGAGCACATAAAAATGTATCACTTGTGAAGAGGGTCATCGTCAAATTATTCAAACTGGTCAATGTCGTTTACATTCTAGCAGTAACCTAATTTTCAGGAAGGAAGCAACGTGGAACCAATGTTTGGACTTTAGGAGAAGTTCTGTGTGTTGCTTTTCAACTTGAATCTGAACGGTAGCTAACAAAACACCATTAGCAAGAATTTGGAGAGAGCTCTTAACAACTTATTATTATTATTAGGTTGCTAGTGACCACATTTGACGGCTCTGTTTTAATGCCGTGTGCCCTCTTTTGTTTTATTTTCTGTTATAGCCTAAGTAAACGTTTAATCAAATTTCCAATCCAAAAATAGATAATAAGTTCATTTTTATATGATCCCTCTAGAGTGATGCAGGACTAAGTTCCATATATTAATTTGATTAAAAACAATTTTTTTTTTTTTTTGTGATACAACTTGAATTAATGTCATTAAGTTCAATTTGCATATTGAAATCCAATACAAATGGCTATTGGCTATTGCTGCAAGAATTTGCAAACAGAAGAGAACAAGAAACCTCATAGAATGAAATTGAAGCCCTTAGTAGTGAAAGGGCCCCAAAATAATTAATGGGCCTTAAGTGTTCCATTCCAGGGGCAGTTGCTTCAGTTTCGGCCTCTGAGTTAGGGAGTTAATCATTGCCTAATCCAGCCTAAATAATAATTTTGATTTAAAATCCAGAAGTCCAGTGAGTTTGAGAGACAAAAAGTAGTGTAGTTAACTGTACAAGTACATTTTAACCATTTCCAACATTAAGCTAATCCCATGTGCTTGCTTTTTGGTGGTCCAATAAAGCATATTTTAATGATAATCAATTTGCAAACAACAGTAACCTAGCACCAAACAAGTTGGATCAAAAGAGCATCTTCTGCCGGCGTTAAAGTTAAGTGTTATTCATTATCATGAAAGTTAACATTAACGAATTCATTTGAGTTAGTATTAAATCTCCTAGTTGCTAATGGAACCTAAGAGCTCTACGGACAGATTCCAGCCGGCCTTAAAAAAAGAAGGTTAATGACTAAACATGCTTTTCTAATTTCTACTTGGGTAATTTTAACAAACATCTTCCTAAACCATGAAATCTCTAAACTATTACATTGCTTTACTACGTACGTACGACATTAACAAATATATAATTATTTTTCTTAGGCTTTATGACGCCTAGTTAGCTAGCTTTTAATTTGACTTCCAATTTTATGATTTTAGGATGAAAATTTGTTGTATGAAAGATCGAACTTGTTGATATATTAGTGTGTTTCTAAAAAAAAATATTAGAAGCTCGTTTGTAGAAACCCACATAATAGAGTAGCTTTATAGTCATCAACTAACCATTTGTTTCTTCTTCTCGAGTTAATTGGGACTAATTATGGGACAAAACACTATTTCAGTGTTAGGATCAAATGTCTATATCTTTGAAGAATAACAAAATTTTGTTCATCCAAAAAGGAACATAGAATTTTAATTTTTACAGATAACAAACAATCTTTGCCTCAATCATCTCTTATCCCACTTTAAGTTGATTCATCTCATCTGCTTTCCCCCATCTTTTGTTAATTTGGAGGATTCTTTTTTCCGTTAATAGAAACTAAAAAGGCAAATTTCAGAGTATCAAAATGCAATTGAAGGATATCCCACAAGTTTGGTACAAAGTGAAATAGAGGGAAAAAGGGAGCAATTAGTCAATTACAATCTCTAAGCACTAAATTAAGAAAAATTAAAATACGAAAAACTTATTCTAAATATCATTAGTCGAGAATAACCTCTTTTGTCTCTATATGTCAAATGGGAGTCGTAGTTTATGATGACTCGTGAGAAGTAAAATCATACATATTATGAGTAAAAACAAATCAAATGATGCAAATCATAAGCAGTCAAAATTTGCCACTTCTTGAATCTGATCAACAATTTCATCTCACTTCATTTTCAGGACCAATCTCGTACGCATACTCAATTTTATAAAGTAGAATTAGGGCTATGATCCGTTGGAAGAGGTGATGGGCCGACAGGATATATTCAGAAGGTCAGGCCTCTGGCAATATGAATGGAGGTCCACCTGTGCTGGGCCTCGAAGGAGTACCCCATTCGGCCAGAGCCCAACCCACGCAAAGCTCCAGTGGAGAACAAAAGTGTCAGCACAGTAGTTTGCAAGTATTTCAGTTGGTTTGGATTTCGTAGAAAGCATTTCTTATACGGCGAGCTAGTTACTGTTATCGTTGATTTGTTGGATTACACAATCTTCCCCATGTTGCCTGATTGTAGTAATATAAGTAAAGGTAGCTCAGTTCTTAAGCTGAATATCAATAACAGAGGAGACATGACATTATTGTCCGGCAAATCTGATAGTAATACAAGGGATAATAACGTCTATTGCATCTATTTCACGCGTTGAGATTACCGATTGTTAAATTCGAAGAACACATGGCCACAAAAGTTTTATTGATTTATTGCTCCAAATGCATTGAAAGCAGTAACCACATTGCTTGTGGTTATCGGCTAAGGTAAAACTGAGAAACAAGTGGGGCATAAATCTTAATCTTCAATGCTAACCGAAAATGATGGCACGTAAAAAAAAATTGTATAAGGTCCTTGAGTAAAAAAAAAATGTCAAAAGAAGAAAAACAACCAAATGCGCTGGTGCTGTCATCTCTGTTTCCTCCTGACAGAGTCTTCTCTGCCTGTTTGTCTGTATAATTATTAGGGATTGAATGGTGCAAACACCACCACAGAATTGTGCCCACCAAACCCAAATGAATTCGAGATACCTGCAAGTTGCAACCCGAGTAAATAAGGCACTTGAATTCTTTCTTTCTTCTGATGAAGAGACAGCAAAGAACGGGAAAGGAAGCCATCACTTACCAACATTCACTTGATGTTGTTTCTTCACATTTGGGACTGTGTCGATTGTAACAGCAGGCTCCAGGTTCTGGGACATAGAATAAAACTCTGTTTAGGTGACATTTTCCAGAATATAAGACAGACCAAAGAGTGTCCTTTTATGACAGGTTAGTGAAGCTTACTTCCTGGTTGATGGTTGGGTGCACCCATCCAGTTGTGATTGCCTTGATGGTTGCAATTGCTTCCAAGCCCCCGGCAGCTCCAAGCCCATGTCCGATCATCGACTGAAACGTCACACAGTCAGAATGTTCGTTACGTGATTCATGTAAATAAGTGGCCTTAAAGCGCGAAAGTTGTTTAATCATACCTTAGTTCCATTCATCTTAATCTCGGACGTGTCCTTAAACACCTTCTTGATCGCATTCACCTCTGCCAAATCCCCTGCCAATGTCGACGTTGCATGAGCATTCACATAGTTCACCTGCAAAATGTCCCCTTGTAAGCTTCAGAGAGAAGAACACAATCATTTCCAGAATTGTTCACAACGCGTTGATCCAATGACTGCGACATGGAATGATTGAGCAGAGTAAATCCACATATTTTGATTACCTCTTCAGGGGAAACTCCAGCATCTTCCAAGCTCTTGCTAATACAAGAAGAAACTCCAAGCCCATCTTTCCTCGGATCAGTCATATGATGAGCATCACAGGTCACAGCACCACCCAAGTACTCTGCAATTATGTTGGCTCCCCTCTTCAACGCATGCTCCAAGCTCTCCATCACCTAAACAAAATCAAACACATTGGACTCAATTGCACAAAATTGAGACTAAAAGGACTCAATAGTAATATATCACCCCAGTTTGGCAATTTACCAAAACACCAGCGCCCTCGCCCATGACAAATCCATCGCGGCCCTGGTCCCACGGCCTAGAAGCCCTATGTGGCTCGTCGTTCCTGTGGGACAGCGCCCGGCAAGCGATGAACCCGCCGACGCCGGTCGGCATGACGGCGGCCTCGGTGCCTCCGGCGACCATGATGTCGGCCTCGCCTCTCCGGATGTGGTTGGCGGCGGCGTAGAAGCAGTAGTTGGCGGTTGCGCAGGCCGTGGAGATGGAGTAGTTTGGGCCCATGAGGCCCGTGTCGATGGCTAGCAGGGCCGAGCCCATGTTGGTGATGGAGTAAGGGATGAAGAACGGCGAGATTTTCTTGTGACCCTTTTGGATTAGGGATTCCACTCCGGCGCTAAACGCCGTTAGTCCTCCCATCCCTGTTCCCACCAATACCCCTATCTTCGTCCTGTCCATCTGCACCAACAACAGTTTTTCAAATTACTTATGAAATGTTACACCACATAGTTCACAAGTTCGCTAGGAGAAGATGACACGATCAAATTTAGTACGCGACATAATTTGGATGTCACTTGAATACGATGAAGTGAGTGTGACAACAATCATAGTACTAGGTCCATTATACACACAATGTCGCTCTAAAAATATTTGGATAAGAGATTCAAACGGAAATTTGAAATTCAAATTATTTTAAGTACTTGAAATTTGAGATGTTGGGTTCTATTTGTAACGGTCGGATCCGCGGACTAAAGCAAAGCCGGATACTTACAGTTTCGAGGACTTGGGAACCGAGGCTGGCATCCTCGAGTGCGCGCTTGCCGGCGACGAGGCAGTACCGCCAGCAATCGTCGAGGCGGCGGTCGTTCTTGCCGTCGATGTATCCCGCGGAAGAGAAATCGCGGATCTGGCCGGCGAATCTGACGGAGAAATCGGAGGCATCGAACCTGTCAATCAGGGTGATGCCACTCTCCCCTTCAAGAAGCCTGTTGTAGAATGTGTCGACGTCGTTGCCGAAAACAGAGACCAACCCCATCCCCGTTATCACCACTCTCTTCTTCGGGTCTTTCTCCCTTTTCGGGGCCGAAACCGCCTGCGACACCATTGCCCTCACACTCCCCCTCGACTTGCGAGCTTGTTCAACGAAATCAAAACCCACATCAAATTTTCACAATCAGCGTCAAAATGCAGGGGAAAAAAGGAACGATTTATAAACTTGATGTTGCAATTTTGACGGTACCTGAAGAAGAGAGGAATGCAGGAGGGCTAGTGAGAGAAGGGGCCAATTGAACAGAGTCAATGGCGCGGAGGCCATTGAATTGGGCCAAGGAAGATGCCCCTCCGATTTCCCTGCTCTGGAACGCGACGGCGGAAGAGCAAGAACCAGAAGCGATGCTCGCCATTTTTGGGGGGTGGGTTTACTACTTACTGGTGCTTAAGCTAAAGCTCCTCCGCTGGCTCTCTTCTTGCTTCTTGTGGGTGGAACGCGAGGAAAATGGTATAAATGAAGGGGGGGAAATCTTTGGGGATATCAGCAGCGGACAAATAACGTAGGAGTTAACTAGGAGGAAAAGAATTTGGTGGGTTGGCGTTGTGAATTGGGTAGCTACAGGACAACATTGGAGAACCCGTCAGCGTGGGTCGGGGAGAGGGGCAACGAGTCGAGTAAACAATTTTGGGATACCAAAACGAACAGCAATGCCAAATAAAACGCTGGCGGCGGGCGATGAAAATTGAAAGCCAATGATGTGGTGAAAGAGGAAGAAGAAGACGAAGAGAGAAATAGGCAGGGGAGACAAGGCGTGTTGTTGTTGTGATCAATGCTCATTTGGTTTTAGCCGCTCATCTACTCCCAACTGCATCCATCTTTTCCTGACGGTTGTGATGGACAGTCTAAGGTGGATTCTTTAAATGCTGTATAACGGAGAAAGCGCGGTTAGTTTATTGCAAGTCGCGATTTTGGTATATCCCCGCCATTAATGTGCCCTCACCTGAAGCTGAGAAAGCCCATGTAATGTTGCTATGCTTCACGACCTATTTTGTTTTTCCTCGTTTTAGTCTTTTAGATGTGGGAGGGACTTGAGAAAAGGAAGAACGGGGCCGTGGCGAGGGAGGAGTAGTGATATAGTTGGGCTTAGACTACTTCAGCCCATTGCTTCAATTCATGGACTAGTTGGTTGGATTGTAAATATCGGATTTTGAACCCAAATTGAAGAACAATTTTAATGATAGGAAATGATTGAACCACAATCGTGAAACTATATATATGCTATATCATTGATTTTTTCCGGCATATTCTACAATAGGAATTCACAATCTTTGATTCATAGCTGTATAGTAATGGGCAAATGGTGGGAGTCAATAGAGGGGAACGGAGTCGTGGACGGATCTACAGAATCCATATCCTAAAACCAAAATGGAGATGACATAATATGCTGGGCCAGTCCATGGTTTACAAATATTTCCTACCGAGACCATTCTAGCCAAGTCATATGACAATAAGATTGGGCCATCGAAAAAATAAATTTAACTGGGTACCTGGGCTTTCTATTCGCTCTAGCATACTAGCCCAAGCCCACACCGAAGAAAGGAGAAACTAGCAATAAAAAAAACAAACCTGCCGACACACGTGGGAGCCAAACCCTCACCCGTGTGGGCAGCCAATCAAACGCAGCCACCATCCCGCCAATCAAACCCCACGGAGTGGCTTTCAGAAGGTCTTTTTCAATTTTTATCTCCCAACGCGTCTTCTCTTTCATTATTCAAAAAAAAAAAGCGTCTTCTCTTTCACTCCGTCCCTCCTCGCTTAATATACTTTTAAAAAAATCAATTCTTGGGCAATCACTTTGAAAGGCAATCCTTGAAAGAAGAACGTGGTAGACTTTCTAGAACAGTGTCCAATCCCTGCACCAAACAAATTAAATAACGGAAAACTTCAACGATCGTATGGTAATGTATAGACTTTTTCCAGAACACTATAGCATGGTCCATGAAACCGTACCGTACCGGCGGTTCAACCACGAAATACCAGTATCGGAGGCTAAACCGGTAGGCGGTATTTAACAGTACAACGGTTGAACTACGATAAAACCACGGTTTTACCATAAAATACCCTACAGCTGAATTTCCGGTACGGTCTCCGGTACGGTTTCATGGACCATGCACTATAGTAATATTACCCACACATAGTCATTACTCAGTCGTGAGTGATTAGACGATAATAATTCATAGGCCTTGTTAAATCATCTTGTGGAGCTTTGGGTCATGGTAAACTTATCCAAGTCAACCTTTGAAAAAGTATTCACACAATGGGTCATTCTATACATTTTTCTCCTAATAATTATCTTTTAGAAAAACGTAAATATTCAGTCTACAGTGAGCTAATTATATCCTTTTGTTGGATACAAAAATTTCAGTGCATACAAATACCATAATATTTTTTTTATTTCATAATATCAATTTTGCGATAAATTACTATTTTATAATATTGAATTGAATATAAACCATGCAAAACAACATTGTATCATCCTCCATAAACAAATCATGTAGGGAGAGTGTCCACCAAAGTCCAACAATAACGAAGTAATAACCAAACCAACAATAAGAACAATACGGCGAAATCAGATACCATTTTAGAGTATAATAATAATAGTTTCTAATTTTTTTTTAGTGCTAGAAAAAGAACACCTGAACAGAAAGCAGTAATTAAGCAGCAGCACAGCGAGGGGATTATCTGGAAAAGAACAAGTCATCCGACCAATCCTTGAGCCCCAAGTCAGCATAACTCCCCCTGCCCTCCCGTTTCTGCCACGTTGCCCACGCGGTCCCACCTTCCCCAGCCGCGTCTCACTGGCGTCATTATTATCGCTCACCTACTAAATTAATCAAAATTAAATTTAACATAAATAAATAAATTAAATCCTTAAACCCTCCTTTAACCTCTCTTAATTAATAAAGTTCACCAATGCCCAACCTTTGACAAATCCACACGCAATCCCTATACATCCTTTTAATCCGTCAAAAAAACAATTTAGAAAAATAAAATGAATCAACCCCTTTCACTTTCCCGGAAATTTCCGCTTCGCTTTAACTTCCCCTCTAATTTTCCTTCCCCTTTAAAACCCTCTTCATAAACTCCACTCCCAATCTCTTCTCTCCACTTTCACCCCTTCTAATTCCTCACTCCTCATAACTTCCTTTTTTTTTCCCCCATAAGAAAAAGCTTCCCCTGTCTCTCTAATCACAGACTCTGTTGCACTAAACCCAGTTCGTGAATCGGATCAGAGATGGAGAACAATCAACAATCGTCTTTTTGGCAGTTCAGCGACCAGCTGAGGGTGCAGGGCAACAACCTAGCCAACATCTCCCTCAACGATTCCATCTGGAGCAGCTCCTACGCCAAAAACCGGCCCGAGCAGCGCCGCAACTTCGACATCCGGGTCGGAGCCGAGCTCAACAACAATTCTCCTTCCCCCGCCGCCGCCACCAGGCCCCAGGTAGGTTCTTCCGATTGGAACGGCTTCAACGACGGCTGGAAGGTCGGGGCGGGAGGAGCCGGTTCGCCCGCCGGGCCGAACAACAATTTTACCGGTTTGTTGAATAACAACAACAACCACTCCGTAATCGGCGGAGGAAGCGGATCTCACCCGATGAACAGCGTCGGGCTCAACGGCGGCTTCAACAAGGGGATTTACTCCAAGGGTGGGCTGAACAGCGGGGGTTTCAATTTTAATGTGAATCCGAGGGCCGGGAAGAACGGCAAGGGGTTTGGATTCGACGATGAGCAGCACAATCTCGTCGGCGGGAAGTTCGGCAAGAAGAACGGCGGTAGGAAGAATAACGACAGCAACGATAGCGGGAAAGAAGGGAAAGATGGGAAACAGAATGGTGTTGACAAGAGGTTCAAGACTCTTCCGCCGTCCGAAGCTCTTCCCAGGAACGAGACCATCGGCGGGTATATCTTCGTTTGTAACAACGACACCATGGCGGAGAATCTCCGGCGCCAGCTCTTCGGTACTTTTTCTCACTTTCCTCTGTTCCTTACCCTGTTATCCCTTTTTAGAAGTCTTTATTTTTTTACAACTCTGAAGACTGAAATTGGCGTTTTTTTCTTGGTGGGTTAGGTTTGCCGCCGCGATACAGGGACTCAGTCAGGGCGATTACGCCAGGGTTGCCGCTTTTCCTCTACAACTACTCCACCCACCAGCTCCATGGAATTTTCGAGGTACCTTTCTTTATTATGAGCTTAGCTTTAAATTCTCGTGAATATGTTCGAGTTAGGCTTCACGTCAAGTTCGTGGGATTAGGGGGTGGAGTTGTTGTATGTTGTGTTGATTTCACAATCCAACAAAATGAGCACATGCTTTACAGCAATCGAATTCTTTCCTAATGATCATTCCACACAAAATTTGTAGGTTTTGGCTGAGACAAGTCGTTACCATCTTTTACTAGATTGAGTTTGGGACTTGAAAGTTCATAACTTGATTGGCTGAATGGTTGGATGTTTGTGGTTAATTGCAGGCAGCTAGTTTCGGAGGGTCGAACATCGATCCGTCAGCGTGGGAGGACAAGAAATGTGCAGGGGAATCAAGGTTCCCTGCACAGGTTAAAGTGATAACCAGGAAAGTCTGCGAGCCACTGGAAGAGGACTCATTCAGGCCGATTCTCCACCATTACGACGGCCCAAAGTTCCGTCTCGAGCTCAACGTGCCCGAGGCGCTCTCGCTTCTCGACATCTTTGGTGATCAGAAGGCTTGAACAGAATGCAGCAGCCTGAGTTACATTAAGAGTTACTGAAGAAGGCCAGAAACGAGAGAGTGGGGAAACAAAGGAGTTTTACACTTTTACTATAGAGGGGGTTTTTGGTGTTACAGGAAAATATGGACACCATGATGAAGAAGAGGGTTAGAGGTGAAAGTGAAAAAAAAAGTGGAGACAAAGTTTGGGTTTTTACTTTTCATTTTTTTCACCCTTTCACTTCCGGAGTGGTAAGGAATTAAGGATATACTATAATATGCATAGATAAATACATATACAATCGATATATGTGTAAGCCGTATTTCCATGTAACATATTTGTGGGATGTGAGAGCTTCTTTATATATTGTTCACCCTTCTTGTTCTATGTTTATGTTTGTTTTTGGTAATTAATTTATCATATCTTTATGAATTTTGTGTGTGGATAATTGTAATGAGACGGTAATCTAACGATGCATGAATGGTAAAATGACATGATATTGTGAGTAATAAGTCCATTTATATAGAAGATTAGAGTAGAGATGAGACATGAGACTACTGAACCTTGAAGAACAGAGTGAGCTAAGTAGGTATAAGTGCACCAACTTCTATTCTGTTAACATGTCGACGGCTTCTGTGCAGTATGTTTTGATTTTCATGAACAAATACACCAAACAGATTGATCAGATATTATGGCTGCAACATTGTTTGACACGTGGCTTAGATGCTTGCTAGCATTGGTGGAAAATGTATATGGAATCAAAATTCAAGGGAGCAGGTGGAGTCGTATAGCCCATAGAAATAGAGGGCCATAGCCAAAATTCCAACTTCTTCTTGGGGATAGTTTGGAATTTGGGGGTTGCTCCTCTGTCATTTTCTTCTAAATATTATGTATCTGTCAAATTGTCAATCACACCCCAACTTACAAAGAAAACAAAATGGGAAAAAGTTTGTCCAAAGTGGTGCCAAAATTTGGTGGACATCTTCTCCCTAACCCATTTCTTAAGCAACAAGATGGATGACATTATTAGATACTGGTTAGATATAGTAATGCGAGAAATATCTCATCTCATTAAGATAAGTTATACAAAGATCTCCAAATGACCAGTACATAAAATCTTAAAGGATCATTACTCCATAAATTCATCACCGTGCATCAACCCGATTTCGTTGTTATTTCTTTCTTTACTTCCGTATTAGGCTCTGTTTACGGACTATTATTCCGATCATCAGTTCGATTATAGTTGCTTTTGGATATTATTTGATCTACTTGATTCTAATCAGCGTTTCATTATGGAATAACGATCCGATAAATGATTATTTCAAAGCTTTCCCCCCTCTGTGTGTCAGCGATGATAGGGGACAAAAGAATTGGCCATTGAGGTTGCAGATAATCTTGATTTCCCACCTCTGTTACAGGGAAAGAAAAACAGGGATTATGGCAGCAAATTATTGATGGCGGAGGACATGTGTTTGGGTGAGATGGCTTGCTGTGTCCTGTCTTTAGGTTCTTATCAACTCATGATTTTAATGAGGGATCTGGTCTGGTCTCCACCACAAGTCTTTTCTTCCCTCCATATTAACTACCCACCAACGGGCTGGTGGATGGATTGCCTAAATTCAAAGTCAAAACAACCCTCCACCTGTTTCCTCTAGATTCAATGATGCATGTATTGCCTCTCATCTCACCCTCTCAGAGGTGGGTCATTTCCTTGTGCTAGATGTTAGAGAGTGGTATAAGATCCACGATTGAGCCTCTCTCGACAATTCGAGTTATTGGGACCAACTGGTTCTTGACATAGTATCAGAGCCTGGTTCCGAAAGGTCATGTGTTCGAATCTCCACGACCCCCAATATTAACCGTTGTCTTTCAAGCACATGGTATGGTGGGCATGTGCAAACTTCAAGCCCATGAGTTGGCTTTCGTTTGAGGGGGCATGTTAGAGAGTGGTATAAGATCCACGATTGAACCTCTCCCAACAACTCGAGTTATTGAGACCAATTGGTTTTTGACACTAGATTGTGTGAATTGTGAAACAAGATGATGAACTCTCTTCTTCAGGATTTGCTTTGGGCAAGACCCATGAAATAGAGAGAAATGAATATACTTCAATCATTACGATTGTGTTATTATCAGCTAAGATAGCCGTTTTCACCTAGGATTTGTACCAGGTATTTAACATGTCCGAATGCCAGGTATTTGACATTGAAAATCAATGAAAAACTTCACTAAAAAAAAGTTCATTTACACATCTTAATTATATAATTTACGGATGTTATGAACTCTAACATTAAACCGACGAGAACGTAAAAAAATTACTTAAAACCTCCCACCCAATCGAGGTAACTTTTTTCCTTATCTAAAGCGAGAGGACCGGCACTTTATATTCTAATCCAGTATAACTTGAATAGTAAATTACTTTCCACACACTAGTAGTCACTAGTGAAAGTGGCAAAGACATGGACGGTATTTCTCCAAGCTTGTTCTTGCCATCCCTTTTGTCAAAAGATAAAATTGTCGTCATAAAAGAAGCAATGTGAACAATGAATCACGCCATTGACATCGATGGAGTAATTCATGGGCATCACGATTCACGAGGCCACTATAATGCGCGCCAACTTGACATTTCTCATGAAACTACAGAAAATTGATATTGAAATTAATAACCGCACTTTCTAATTTACATTTTAATGTCCCTTTACTACCCTTTCTTCTTTTTGTTTTGTTTTTCTCTCTTTCTGTCTTTGTTCACATATTAGCACTCGAACTGAAATGTAAAAAGAACACTATAATGACAAACCATATAATCGGGCCTAAACCCAAATGTCTCAAGCACAAACTGAACACCGAGCCCATATACAATTAGGCCCAAACAGAAGCCCAACAACATCTAACCACAGGCCGGGCAATGAACAAGCCCATTCTCATTACACTTCCCGCACCGCTCCTTATTCACTCCGTCCACCACAACCTTGCAGCTCCCACCGCAGTCCAAGCACGGCACGAACCTCGCCCCGCCGCACCCTTCGCACGCGTGCCTCCCGGCGCCTCTCTCCACACGTGCCCAACTCAGTATCCTCCCGAGTTTCCCCGACTCGTTCAACGCCTCCACTTCCTCCACTCCTCCGACGTACCTCCCTTTAATAAACACCCTCGGCAGGGTCAAACCCGCCGCCGATTCCCCTAGCAGCTCCTTCAACTCGTTCAGGAACCCGCCGTGGAGCGACACGTCGCGCTCGTCCGTCGCCACACGCTGTAGCTCCATCAGGTTCGCCACGCGCGTACAGTCGTCGAACGTTTTTCGGATGCCCCTCAACGACGTCGTATAGACAACTACTGAGTCGTTTCCTCCCGGCGGGCACAGCTCGGGGAAATCGCTGAGTGGGTCCCGCTTTATCACGGGAACCGATTTCCCTTCCTTCTCTCGCTCCATCTTGTCGCGCAGTATGAAGATGTTCTCCCTCACCGGCTTGATGACCACCGCCGCAGCCGTCGAAGGCGTCGATTCGGCGGCTTTAACGGCAGCGAGTCTCGAATCTGCCCCGGTTGCGATTTTCACGAGATTGACGTTTCGGGCGGATTCGGATTTTCTCATCGACGGTTTGGGTGCGGAGAGTTTGGAGTCGAGTTCCTCCAAGGTGTGAAACGAGAAGCTCCGCCGCTGGGCGGAAGGCTTCTTATCGGCGGCGGGTACGGGGGGTTTAGGGGGTGGAGGATTGACGGCGGCTGAGATGGGTTTGGGTTTGATTGCGGGCTTGAGGTCTTCTAGGGCTTTGCTGACCTCGTCCCAGGAACGAGGAGCGGCGTCAGGGGATTCGAATTTCTGGAGCTTATCGAGCAGAGGGTTGGGGGCATTCACGTTGTTGCCGGCAGGTTTCTCGAATTCGGGCTGCTGATCGTCGGCCGAGGAGAGCCAAGGCTCCTGGACGGAGGTGATATCGAAGACGGAGAAGCTGGAGGGTGGGGGGCGATAAATGTCGACGGTGGCCTCAATTCGTTTGGAGGAGGCGCAGCCCATTGTGGATGTTGGGTTTTACAGGGGATTCAGTTGCCAAGAATGGGTGGAGGGAAACAGGGGATTATGAAGAAGGCGATTAAGCAGAGTGGGTTTTGAAAGGGGACAAAAACTGGATTTGGGTTGGGGGAGGAATTGTGTGGCTAAGGTTATCATTATCGATCTGAGCTGGGGAGTGGACAAAATGGTGGTGGGGGGAATTTGGGCTGTGTGGCGAGGAAGGGTGATAGATGGGGGAATCAATGCCACATGAAATTGTGCTGCTTTGTGGTTTTGGCGGGACTTAATTGATAGGAGGCAGTGGTTTGTGGTTTTAGGCTCACTAAATTCTGGATTTGTCGATTTGTTAGGATGGACTCTCCAGTTAAATGATCCATTTTGTGGGCTGTCAGTCATGTGGATGCCATTGCAATGCCGATCTCTGTTTGCCTGTTACTGTTAAAACATTGATTGATTCGCGGCTGTGGCTCTGGATGACCTGCCTAGCACTGATGCATTAGCTGAAATTCCAGTAGCGGAAAGTTACCGTATTTCTCACAACAATTTCAGTTATTAGAACTAGTTGATTTATGATATGTTATTAGGTCGGATTTGATAATGTTTTGTGTATTCGAATTCTTATAACTATCAAGAGTTGATCCAAACACAATGCATAATAGACTTCTACAAACTTTAAACTCACAAATTGATTTTCCTTCGAGGGATGTATTCCCACAACCATCAAACACCTTTTGAATTATGCAACATTCAAGCACTCAAATACCCACCATTTTAGAGGGAAGGAAACCAAGTTGCGGACTATTTAGCTAATAAAGAGCACTTACTACGCGTAACGTTCATATAATTTGTACGATCCAGATCTTAAATACTGGAGAAACTATGATGTTCTTCTTCACATCTTTGAATCCCGTTTGATTACTAATACAGACTATGGTGCCCACCTTAAAAAAATAATTTACATAAGGTGGCTAGCCTAATACGGTACGCATATGGGCCAAACCTTGGAAAAGTTTGTCGAACATTGCTCATAGTTTTGCCGTGCTCGTACCGGTATCACCCTCGAACCCATCAACGGGTAAGCAATCTTTTCCTTGGCCGTGCAGTGGCTGCCATGCAGGGTACACGAGCTCTCTGGCTGGTTCCATCCCCACCAGTATACTTCCAATTTGGGAGAGGGAAAGAAACAATTCTATATTACACAAGAGGAGGAGAAATCCAAGAAACAACGAGCCCTCTTGATTCCCTCAACATTTCATTTCCCCAGTAAAAACTCTTATCCCCTGTTCTCTGCATTATTATTAGTTTACAGAGTGGTAAAATGGGTACAATCGAAAACATCAAAACAAGGCCGAATATGCAAACCCCCTAGCGCACAAATTTGAATTCCTGTCGTTTCTCCCCCCTCTCCCACTGTCCCATTTGCGTTGCTGCATTGGATCGCCGGCCAATCGCAGATCAGCATCACTCAACTCTCTCTCTCTCTTCCTCTGTTCTTTCCCCTTTAAATAATCAGCCTCACCACCCCCCAACGGTCCGCAATCACATGGCAACAGTTCAGTCTCCCCCCGCAACTTCCTGCATTCTGTCTCCCCTCTCCTTTCTCTGTAATGCATGCCTCATAGTCTTATATATGTGCACAAGTGTTTGAGAAAATCATAGAGAGGCAGAGAGGTAATTGATAAAAAGACCAAAATGGGGAATTGCAGTCCAAGAGGGGTCACCACCATAGAAGAGAGCCAGAATCCGATCCGGGTTCAAACCGATTCCGGCGAGATCATCGAGTTCAATGCTCCTAAGCTCGCTAAGGATGTCGTCAGCGACTACCCCGGCTTCAGCATTTACAGAGATGGTCAAACTCAAGGGCCATCCGCGGCCCCTGTCCCTCACTGCGAGTACTTGATCGGCGGGCAGTTTTACTGCCTTGTTCCGGTAAAGATTGCAGCTTTACCGGAACACAAGGCGGTCCCGATTGGTGGTGATGATGGGCCGATGAAACCGAAGGAGTTGTCATCGGATTCCAAGAAAGAGGCGCAGGAGCAGGGGAAGGGGTCAGCAGCGCTCCATGTGCTGCCGTCGCACAGGGATGGAGTGTGGAAGGTGAAGCTGGTGATCGACCCCAAGCGGCTGGAGGAGATTTGGTCGGAGCAAGAGAATGTTGAGGCGTTGATTGAGAACATGAGGATGGTGGCCGCCGCGTCGGCGGCGGAGAGTTTCACTCCGAGGCGGAGCCGGAGTTCTTGGGGGGTGTCGAGGAAAGCGGCTTCTCTTTCTCACATGCTCAAGCTGCCCAACTGAAGAACACACCCTGTTTTTGTTCTGCAATTTATTTTTGGGGGTCTTCCTTTGGTTTCTGGAAAAACCTTCTTTCAGTACATCTTTCTCAGTACTGAGGATTTTGGTTGTTGAGGAATTAGCCTATTGCCAATGTAAATACACCGTTGAGTTTTGGATCATAATGAATCAACATATTTCCTTATTGTTTCATATCTATGTAAATATGATAAAAACGTTAAGAATCGTAAATTCATTACTGAGTAGAGAAGAATTTATAACGAAAACCGATCAAATAAGATTTTAAATCGAGTCTTCGCGAATTAACTTCCACTTTAATAAAACGTTGTCGAATTCAGAATATCCATCATTGTATTAATTCGTGCATGAATAGCAAGCAACCCGACTCACTATAAGGACACGAAACAAAACCTCATAATCCGTGAAATTGTTTCCACATTCTTGAGCTAGGTATTATGGTTGATGGATGATTTGCTCCGAAATTATGAACATCTTTCAAAGATTTTGATCGGCTATCAGGTTCAGGTATCAACTACCTACACCTGCAAAATCTATCAACACCAGAATCCATCGTCAATCAAGCTGAGACAAACACTTGATTTTCGAACCATCCATTAGTCTCTACATAGTATTCATTGTGGTCACTCGGTAGCTAACTGCAGCACAAATTCCAGGTTTTTCCCATTCGAAATGTTTGAACAACAAAGCAACCATCTCCCTCGCAGAAAGACAAATCAACACTCTGCATTTTCGTTTACAGCAAGCATTACCGGTAACAGCTTGAACTAAGCAATAACCAAAACAGCCTCAGCTCTCCATGATTCAAAGGAACTGCCCCTAAAAGGCTACAAGTCTAAAACCCTAAATCCCCATTCAACAACAAACAACCGACCATCCTGATTTCAGCTCCCCAGGTATAAGAAGCAAAAATTGCTCTTGAGGCAAGGTGTGTGAATCCCCCAAATTGAAGATAAAACTCTAACCTTTTGCGATTAATTGATGGCCAATGAACTCTAATCGGTGCCGACGACCGATTTCAGATGGGATTGGACTCCGGGGCGTATCCCGTGGCTCTTGAGCTTCTCAAGGAAATCTTGCACAGCTCTTCGGACCACCGACTTGTACGGCTCCACCGCCAAGTCGATTCCCAGCTTCTCCGACGCTTTCTCCCGGACTTGCCTCTCCGACACCTGGTACAAGTTCTCCTTCCCCAGTATCTTCCTCACTCCCTTCACTATCTTCTTCTCCGTCTTTTCCGATAGCTCCTCTACCTCCTCGATCCTTTGCTCGTCGAGCTCCGGCACCGCCATGGATTGTCAAGCAGCTCGAGTCAGGAAGTTGCCGGCCGGCGTTTGAAGTTCCCGAAATGAGAGCGGCGGGAGAGCGTTGAAACTTGACAGGTCGGGCGAAGTCAAGGAGGGTTAGTAGAAGGGTGGTACTGATTTGGAACAGGCAACGGGCACGTTCTAGAATGTTGCTGATGTGGCTAAGTGCCATTGGCTCTCTTTGGACGCGTGTCGGAAGTCCAACTGTGAATGGTTTCCTTTTGCTTAAGGGTTAAAAATCATTTGCAAGTGTATTTTACTTGGGCCTCGGTCTGTTTGGTTAGAGAGATCGCTGTTGAACATCACCAAGCCCGTTAAACCAAGTATCCAAAATCCACCAAGGACGCAGCCCATTAAACTGGTCACTGAAACCCATTGAACTGGTCACACGACACAATATACTTTGCTTTCTTATTCTACTTCACACAAGTCACAACTCACACGAAACGAAAACGCTTCGAAGTATCATGTGGATTGTGGATGAAGTTTACCATACAAGATTTGTGAATATACCTATAATAGTAACTCTTGCCTTTTAAAGAGAGTAGTCACCAGTATCAATATCAGTCTGTACTCATAAAATAATTTATTTCAATCTTTGATTCATTTATGTTGAGTTATTGGAGGAAATTAATTTGAGAAAAAAATATGATCATACAAAAACAGTTCTTGCACACTCTATAATCTGGCCATACGATTATCTTGAAGCACAAACACAATCTTCTCACGTTCCGAATCCGATTCACCGTTGAGATAAGGGACATTGCCATAGGTTTACGCGAAGTGAATAACATATCTCATAGCCCAATCATGGTTGAATCAGATTTCAAAAGCATGACAATGAATCTTTGCAAGGAAGAGGTAGAAAGGACAGAATTGGATGGTTGAATCAGATTTCAAAAGCACGACAATGAATCTTTGCAAGGAAGAGGTAGAAAGGACAAAATTGGATGGTGAGACACGAAGCCCGTTGCAGACATAAACTGTCAATTGATTTGAACTTCAATCGAGTTCAGAAAAACAAGGTAAGGTGAAGCAACTCGAGAGACTTCAAAGAAGTTGTTGATACAATAGTGCAATAATGCAAGAGTCAAACTCGAGAGACTTCAAAGAAGTTGTTGAGTGAAGCAACTCCAACAATCTTTTCAAATTTGCAGTACAACCAACTCAGTAATCAAAAACACGATTGTGAGCTTAAAAGTCATTGATTTTACATTTTTTACTCGAAGAATATATATTTATGTTGCTCAAAATTTAAATGGGTCACTGAGTTTATATTCTAATTCCAACCCTTTAATTTCATTTCATAATATTTTCTGTCCATATATTGAGGTGACTATACTACCTGAAACTCAAACAAGGTTAAATAGATATGTAGAGCTGAGCTACATCTTGCTACCAATTAAAGCTAGTCGCCACACGTCATCCTTGAGAGAAATCAAACCCACGTTTGCAATTGAAACAGCCTAATCCCATAGCCAAATCCCCCTATACATTACAAAATCCTGGACTCAAGTGGCAATACAAGCATCACATTACTTAACTATATTTTGTGCTGTCAACTCCCATCAAATATGTCGGAACTCGAGTAAAAGAAGAGAGTTGCAACCTAACCAGCTCCATCACGAACTTCGTATCAACTGAAACTATTTCTGAGTTTCTTCGGTGCACATACTCAACCAGCATAAGCACCACCCAACCTCAGCCCTCCGCTTCGATGCAGTCGGGATTCAAGTCTTGGACTTCTTCGGGGCTCGTCTTTTCTTGCTGCCAGCGGAGAGACATAGCAAGATTACCAGAGTCCACAAAGAAAGAGAGAGCAGCAGCCAATGTCAGCAGCAAACTGACTTTGTCCTTTCAAGCAGAACTATGTATGATTTCATCATGATATTATGATCTTATTTCATATGAATATTTGTTATCCCACCAATTTAATTGTTTGTATGGTTTCAAAGTTTAATTAAGGCGGTCTCCAAAACGGATTTTTCACATTTCTTCTGCTATCGTTCAATCGTACGAAATAACTACCGCAAACATGGTTAAAAATTTGGAAGAGCTTTGTAACCTTCTACCAAATTTACCTAGACTCTAATTCAGAAGAAGACGCTGGAGGAGGAGTAGAGACTCGTCGTTTGCCACCGCCGCCGCCGCCGGAGACGACCTCATCCATGGATTGGCCTTGGCGAGTGTAGCGGCCACCAGAAGCCACAAAACCAGGGCAAGGGCGATAAGCCTTGATTGGCCACCATCCGAACCCAGTAACCGCCGCTATCCCGCCTTGAATCCTTCCCTTCCCATTGCATCCCTTCTCTATTTCTTCCCTCCCACATCCCTCACACCCTCTAAACAATGATTTTGCAAACAGAGAAGCCAAGTTAGATTTGTTCGCAAACTGGAACCCCCAGAAAGGGCGAAGGAGGGAGAAGGGATTTTACCTGAGAGGAAGAGAGTTGGAATCAGCATCTTGAATTGGAAGAGAAGCGGGAGAAGGGTCTTCTTCCAGGACAGAGTTTGAAGACGAAGAAGAAGAAGAAGAAGAAAGAGGGAGGAAGGGCTTCGAAGGGTAATGGATGAGATTGAGGAAGGGGAGAGATTCGAGTGGTTGTGGGGTGTGGAACCATGAGGATTTGGGACTGTGAAGATGAGGCGTTGGAGCTGAGAGCAGAGTGAACGCCATTCCTCCTTTCGAGATTGCCGGGGAAAAGAAAAAGGAGGTTCCACCGAGATTTGAACTCGGGTTACTGGATTCAGAGTCCAATGTCCTGACCACTAGACCATGGAACCTTATTGTCACTGTGTAACCAAAAACAGAATTTACCAATGTGCTTTGATGTTAGTTTTCCCCACCTACATGCGTCGACTGATAAAATTCGAACCAAATGTGCGCATGATATGATTTAATTCTACAAAAGTATCGAATTAGAAAACTATTAGATCGAATTCTATAAAGTTGGTACTCCTTAATCACCCAAGTTGTTTTTGAGATATGTACGAGCTCATCATTATTTTTACTTAAAACGGGGCGCGGGGTGGGGGGGGGGGGACAAATGAAATTCGTATTAAAAATTCTTATATCTAGTATGATGAATAATAAGAAGAGGGATCTGCACTAATTTTCTACCAAGTCCGAAGGACAAAGTTGATACCAATGTTTGTGAAACCGTATAGTACCAGACCAAACCGACTTTTGGTTTGAACCAATCTGAACCGAATGTAATGGTGTTCGGTCACTAATCTCAAGAATTTTATAAATATTAAAGAAAAATGGATCAGGCTGACATTTGGACCGGACCAAATCAAATCGAATGTAAATGATGCTTCGGTCTTTGATCTGAAAATATCTTTCTCTATTGGGCTGCAGACCGCGACTCTCATAAGTTTGTTGCTGTGATTCAACCTTCTAAATTCATCTAAAGATCATGAGTACTTGCTTGAATTGAAGAACTAACCACGAACGAAAATATCTTTCTCTATTGGGCTGCAGACCGCGACTCTCATAAGTTTGTTGCTGTGATTCAACCTTCTAAATTCATCTAAAGATCATGAGTACTTGCTTGAATTGAAGAACTAACCACGAAAATAACAAAAACTAAAAACTTGAAGAAAGAAGAGGTAGAAAGTGGATTGGACTTATTGCTACATTTGTTGATCATGAATACAAGGTTGTTTGAAGAACTTCCTCCTTGCTCCTTATATAAATGTTGACCTCCAAATTCTGATGGATTCAACTTCTTACTCCATTTTTTTTTATCATGAATAGAAGGAGCATTTGTTACGATTTTTGAATAATCATCTGGCTTCCTCCTTATCCGGAACCCCTACTAGCTTATGACAACCGTGTAATCCAAGACTGCAACCCTCTCAATGCCATTCATCATCTTATCCTCAACGAGCAGACCCTTTCCTTCCCAACTTTGTACTTCTCAATAACAACTCTTTACTGCTATTAACACTTCCTTACCCTCTATCCATTCCATACAATTAACTTGCCCAAGGAACTTCACCAAGAGGAAAAAAGAAAAAGACGAACAAAGAAGAAACATTGGTGTCCCTTTCCCATTTAACCACAAATAAACACCAAAATTGGATTTGACAAAGGAAAAAGGACCTTCCAATGACTTCGTCCTTCACAGATCAATATTCCCCCCAGCCCAAAACACAGAAACCCATAAAAGAATAATAAGAAGAGTTAGCAAGAACAACCAACCCCCTAACAATCAATCTATTTATCCAGCTACTGTTAAAGCTATCACTCCCCGATATATTCCTCATTTTGGACTCATAATTTACGGATGCATAATCTGCTGGTCCGCTGAGCTGTGATGATGCACCATGTACCACCTCCCATTGTGGAACTCAAACACATTGGTCACGTGAAACGGCCCGGTCTCTAACTCAACATACGATTTCATCGTAACCCAGGCCGTGTCAGTTAGGACCCGAACCCGCACGTCTCGAACCTGAAAGTCGACTCCTTGCTCCCAGTTGAACGCGTGCTGCCAGCTCTGTATCACGGCATTGTACCTAATCCAACGGCACAACAAGTAGTCTTCCCAGTTTTAGCTAAAGTGGTTCTCAATCAAACAGGAATAGACACACAAAAGCTGATGAGGTAAGTTGGATTTGAAAACATGACGAGAAGGCGATGGATAACTTTCCTGGGCAACACACACAAAGAGAAAGTAATAGAGATAGGGAGCCCATAAGACACGCTGGTTCAGCGAATATCCAAGCTACCTTTCTGTCACACCAAATACCATTTAGAAATATCCGCCATGCTTTGCTTAAGAGTAAAGAAAAAATCCTATCTAGTCACATCCATATAGGCATGATTTAGCCATCATGAACTAGAGAAAGCTGCATTCTTATTCCAACAAGCTTTAGTCCTTCATCTCATTAGGCTACATTAGCTGTATAAAGTCTATAACAGATCTATAAATATCACTCACTTGAGAGTGAAGAATAAGCTTCATCTAGTCATGTCCATATGGCATAGTCATTGACTTGGTCATCATAAACTTAAAAAAGCTGTTTTCCAATTGAAACAAGCTTTTTTCCCTTCGCTCTAGTTCACTTTATGATAATAAACAGCCACATTCTGACTACATTTTCTCAGCGCATATAAGCACTTAACTAACCTCATTCCTCTAATTTTCTTTTTCACTTCACCCTCCTTCCTGAAACTCACACCCTAAGTGCTAGAGCGCCCAGACCAAACTAAAATGAAAAGTTCATACACTAATCAGTTCAAGACTTAGCACATACAAAACTCACACCCTAAGTGCATGATTCAGTCGTAGCTGCGCTATAAGGAAATGATGTAAAGTAAAATACTCAGTCATCCTGATTTCCCATTAAATACACCAAATGAAATCACCTTTAAAAGGGCTACTGATTGCTAAAGATCTAGATGCAAAGATGCATTCAATACAAACAAACAAACATAAACGATTTGCAGATAGGACAAGCAAAAAGAGTGATAGGATATTTATCAGGGAGCCAAATGCATCCGGCCAATTCAAAAGTAATCATCTTACCCTGAAAAAAGTTCCCCTGATGCATGAATGCACTTCACATAATCTGCATTAAGCCAGAAACGGCTCATTTCTTGGAGAGAACTTTCTCTGATGATGCTGAAGAATTCTGCATTCAGATTGACAATGGCTCTTGTAGCTGCATAGTAAGCTTTCCATCCATTAACAGGCGTAACGCTAACTTGTTCCAATGTAAAATCCTAGAAGAAAACAAAATTCGACTTGTTACACGCCTGAGAAATCGGGAAGACAACATTGGTAATGCCAAAGCATCAAGATGAAGTCACATATTACTACTACAATTTCAAAATCTCAAATAGCAATAACTAACGGTGAATCATCAAAACCTAAAGGGAGCACCCCAATGTCAAAAGTGCTACTATGGAAAATGAAGAGACAGTAAAGGAAATCATACTTTCCCAAAAAGACGTCTCCACAACTGAATTCTCATATTAGTACTTACAAGGTAGCTGCCAACAAATCAACAACAACACAGCCACATTGTGGGGGAAAAGGGTAAGTGTCAGATTCTTACTGTTCTCACAAACAAGGAATGAGAAATTCGAACACTACTACTTCTGGTAATCCAACTCTAGCATGCATCTATACAGCTTCAGGAACCTTATGGATCTTCAAACTATATCCATCTTATTTGTATCATGGTAAGTAGATGCTTTAATTCTAGCAATTGCAGACCGCCAGAGTTCAGAGAAACAAAAAAGTCTGATCAACTAGATCACAGAAATAAGGTTTATGCATAAACGCCACTCCGTAGTATTACATCTAGAAGGCTTATCTACAGCTTTAAATCAAACAGATCTTCAAACAAACCATCCTAATCTTAATGTCATCGAAAGGAGCCACTTAACTCTCTAGTTAATTTTCGTTCTTGTTCTCAAAATGCTTGCTTGTCCACTAACCAAATTCACTGGGTAATATACTTCATGCTAAAGGGAACATGAATCAGACGAAGTAATGAATAGACTAAGCAGATGATAAAAGAGGAAGCAAACAAGCAACGTTAGGGAACACAATGAACCCTCATATCGTACCTTGTGATAAAGAGCTTTCCAAGCATTATCGTCATTTGCAGCCTTACGCATCAACGAATTAGTCATGGACAATCTACACAGGCTCGGGTAATCCAAATAACTCAGGGCGTGGGTCGTGATCTCCGGAACTAGCTGCTCCATCATTGACGCCCCACACTGCCTCTCCACCGCCGCCTTTTCGCCAGCAGCCACTACCATTTCACCCGTCGCGTCACCTACCCCGTTCAAGTACACTCTAGAAGCGGCAGAGTCCGAATTCCCGACGGTTCGATCACAGGAACAGCCAGAATCCCGGGTCAAAGACGACGACGACGATTTCAAAGGATGGCGCGATTTTCTGGGCGACTTCAACCGGAGGAGAGAGAGGACAGTGAGCAAGAGCGACAGGAGAGTGACGGAGGAGGCTATGAGGAAAGGCTGAGAAGAGAAAGCGATAATCTCCATTCACAAGACATGAAAGCGACTGATTCACAGTTGATGACGACGATGAACGGGAACATGAAAAAAACCCTAACCGAAACAGAGAGAAGAAACTCGCACTGGACGTCAATATGCTGTTCGCTTTGCCGCCGATCTCCGGTGACAGGAAATGTCCAGCAATGGTCGAGCTGCCGGTTTGCCGGGAATTCGGAGACGGTTTGATTGCAACCCTAAACCGGTGGCGGAGGACGGAAAAGGCGATTTTTTCCTTCTTTTTTGTTACAGTGGGAGAGAGAGAGACAGAACTGAGCAGCGCATTCGAACTCGTGTGAGTCGGAAACTCGTTAACTGACTGACACCCACACGGCCACACGGTCTAAAACTCGTGCGCGCGGCGAGGTTCACTCGCCGTAATTTTTTTAACCACTGAGGATATTTATGTAACCTTCTCCCAGAAATAAAAAAAAAGTAATTATTTGGAAGAAGTTTATTTCTTTGCAATATGAAGGTTACAGTAGTAAAAAAATTACATCAGGGTTACAACTTACAATGGATGAAATATACAATGAAAAGGATTAACAAAAAAAAATGAGTGAGATAAGATTGATCGACTCAACAAGAGAGAAATCATTACAAGAGTAAAAAAAAATTGAAAACGTAATTCCCTCACTTCTACAACCATCATCTTAATACAAATAAGATTTCAGCTCGCCGAACCAAACAAGACCATGGTGATTGAATTTGCAACGTCATAAGTCGCTATGTGGGAGTCGTTCAGAGATGACCCGTCATAGTGAATTTCAAGGCACAAATTACTCGACAGTGGATTATGAAGTTTTTAATAACACATAGCTAATGTATACTTGTCATTCAAAAATAAAAAAGGAATTGTTTCGTGAAAAGCATCTTGCTTGCTTTACGATTGTTGTAGGTAGGGGTGTTCAAACGAAGTGGTTACCGTAATAACCATTTTTATAGTCAATAGAATTTATGTTTATTTGGTTTGGTAATCACCATGGTAATCATTTGGACACCCCTAATTGCAGGTTGATCAACTTTTTCACTTCCTTGTTTGTTTTGCATTCTCCATGAATTATCTCCATTATTATTTGGATAAAATGAATCATAATTGAGTACTAAGGTGTTGATCGTTTTACAATATGTTTGATATTTCTTTCTTCAAGTTGTCCTCAAATAACTATATTAAGATCTCTTCAGGGACATCCCATAAAAATTACTATATTATATTAGAAGTTGCATGCTTCTAGTCTTCTGCTATGCTAGCCTTTTCTTTATGTGATTGTAAAAAAACATTCCTTTGTATGATAAATCATTTTATGATAAAAATGATTCGTAAAACTACTCTCGAAATTAAAAAATATTGAGGAGTAAATGACAAGGTTGGTCATTGGAATTACCAAAAAAGTTCATATTTAGTTAACTAAAAATATTTATTTTCGTTCATAGTCATTAGATTTAGTAAAACATGTCACGTTTGATCACTCTCTATCCAACTCTGTTAACTGTCTGCTGTGCAGTCAACTCACATAATTGACCATTAAATGATCATTAAAGGTTACGTGACAATTAAAAACTAAAAAAATTAAAATGCAAAAATTTCAACCTCATTATCATTAAAAATTAAAAAAATAAACAAGTTATTCATTACCATATAGTTAGGTTGCAAGAAAGAAGTCATTACAGCCATTAAGTATAAAAGAAATCTTAGGAGTGAGCCAGAATCCCACTGACTGACGATTGATCATACAACTTCGCAAATTCCTTCTCGAACACTTCAATTTCTAAGAGAAAATCATTTCGTTTCTCGCATGGGCCAAAGCAATCTGGATCTCCACATCATCAGAATCTTGGAGCTGCAGCATGGAGGCAAAAGAAAAGGGCTCAGATGAGTGGTGGAAGCAAACCATAGTAAACAATTACTTTTTTTTTTTGGGTAGAAAAGCAGTCGCTCAAGTATACAATTACTTGACGAAATATCTTAAATGAATCTCTCTCACACATCACAGGAAATGTAGTTATAGCTTGTAGAAACCTATAACAATGATCATAACACTGAAAGGATGCCACATAGATGGCAATAATAAGGGCAGGCAGTCTCGAAATCCAACCAACAGTGTTTTAAACCTGAGTATCTGAGACTTACCCCCGCCTATTGTCGCTTCCGGCATACGCTCAATTGAATATCTATGTTGGGTGATATACATTATCGGCACACCAGGGACCTGCAAGAAATGAAGATGCATACATATTCACAACATCGAAGAACACCATCTTCTGGCAACTGCCACTTCCAGACAGGCAAACGCATTATTATTTCCTAAAATGATATTTTTAAATAAATGAATACCTTACGTATCCTCCTCTTCAAATCCCGATCGCAAGTTGCAACAATGTAGCATTTGTGCTGTTCCAACCAAAAACGAAAGGCATCGTTATCAACATAACCAAAATAACGTACATCACGATTGACGGGTGGAAGGCCAAATTGTGATTGTAGTTCATATCCGCAGTCCCAATGAAGCTTTATATCCAGTTGAAAGGAATCAATTAAAAGGTTTTCATCAAATTCACAAAATTAAGAATCAAGTTTAGATAGAGACATGGTACTAGTACTGTCATAGCAAGTGCAAGTTCCAAGCACACTGATTCTATTTCATTCTACCCAAGGACAATGGAAGAAAGGAGGTAAAGTGTCATGCAAACACACCTGAGAGACCCTGGAGACAATGCAGTCATCGGCGTATGTTCCTTTATGGATGCAGGGTAGTCTCTCAAAACGTGGATCTTTAGCGATCCTAACAAAAGAAACAAGATGGCCAATAGATTTTAGATAAGGCTTATAACATTGAACTGAATGAAACATGGTGAATTGGTGATGAACATCGACTAATAAGCATATCACAATTAACTGAAGAATAAAGCTGGAAAGAGTGGCAGAAACCTACAAGAGTTCCTCCTGACACTCGATGAAAAAATGATTAAATAAAGGAAAAGAATCAGAGAAACTAAAACTCAATAAAGCATACCTCAAAGCCACACGGTACTTCTGACCTAGCTTCTCAAGCTCAGCCATAACACAATCAGTGATGCAAGGTGTGCCTGTAAATTAAAAGCAAAATAAGAGAGAACAATAAAATCAATAAAACCTAAAAAACATGTCCTTTGGAGATCACAAAAATAGCAAAGTGAAGACTATATAATATAGGAGAAGCAGATTAGAGACACAACCCAAACTCACATTTCGCATAGAGGCAGTCCATCATTGCCTTCTCCAAGTCCAACTGAAAAGAGAAAACACAAGCAAATGTGTAAGTTTATAGCACAAAAATCACATTAAGAAGACACTTTCTACTAACAATACCGGTATTCAGCAATTCCCTTTAACCTCCCCATAACCATCATAATGTTTCAAACAGCCAAGTAGCATATGCATGATTTGCAGATGCTACGCCAATCACAGAGCTCACAGGCGGGAAGACCAAAAATAAAACAAAAGGGTTGACGAATATATCAGTGAAATTGCAAGAAACGCTCACTTTGTTTTGAATAGAGAAATTGATGAAGTTGGTATCCACCAGAACCCGGTATGGAGGCCCCAAAGCTGTGTTGTGCGTAAAATAAAGCGATGAAGACACTTTCGGCCTATTCCGCGAAGCAAAACAAAACACACGAAGATCAGAAAACAAAAAACCACCAAGTAGCTCACATGAACTTAAGAAGAAGGGAAGCTTACACGTTTCTAGGAAGTTGTTCTTTGGAAAGGTCCTTCCTATTCGGGTTCAGAACCTCCTCCTTGTATCTGAAACACAATATACCAACCAAGCAAAACGGCGTGTGAAAATCATGACAAAAAAGCAGGAGATATATGTATGCATTGAATTGGACACAGGGGGAGAAAGGACGAAGCGAAGCCTTACTGCTTAATTGCCTTTGAGGTGACCATCTTCTTCATCACCGCGAACTTCGGCCCTTTCTTGGCTCTTCCCATGGCTTTCAGTCAATTAATTCACTAGTTCACCTGTCCACCAATACAGATGAGAAGGCACGGCGGATGGATTCGAAGGGGAGATTGTCGGCAACGGACGACGGCCGGTAGCAAAAGGCGGTAGAGGAAGCCGGAAGGGAGGTTGGGGCGGCGGAGGCTATTTCGGGAGAAGTCGAATTGGTTCGCTGTTTCAGTTCGTCGACTTCCTGATGTCCCAGGCTCCCGCCCTAATTTCTTCTCCAATAAGCAACGACGTCGTTCGATGCGTTAGATTTTTCCTTTCCTGGTTAGTTAGTGGTTACACGTTCGAACCGAGATAGCTCTGACCACTCACTTGTCTGGCTCAATTTTATCCCGCCCTAAGAGCATCTTTATTGGTGTAATGGTATTTGCAATTGTATTTTTTTTTTATTGTTACTTCAATTTTTTGCAATCCAACTCATTTTATTTGCATTGTACCATATCAATGTAATTAACTTGCAATTGCAACTAATTTTTTTGATTTAATTATTAAAACATAAACACTCATATAATAAAATTAATGAATAATTTAATAATAAAAAAGATGATGTGGCTTACATTCCATAATTGCATTATATGCAAGCTTGCAAAAATGCAATTGTCATCTACATCAATACAATTATATATGCAATTGCAAATAAATACCATATCATTATGCAATTCTAATTGCAATTCCAATGGAAATGCTCTAAACTAGGTTTGGATCATTTTCAAGTCCTGGCCTTGTGTTTTAAGTTTTAAGTGGGCCGAACCAATATTGATTGGACCTGGAAGACATGATGCGATTCTTTTAGTTCAGGCATACACATTCTGTCGCTTGGAACAGTGTGGACCTCAGCAATGCATCGAGACAAAAACCTGCATGTTTGATCTTTGTTTGGAAGTGTGCTAAGAAGGCTATTGCGACAAGGGAAAGGTTGTTCTCGAGGAAATGTGCGCCTAATCCAATGTGTCCCCTTTGCGATACACACTCTGAGTCAGTCATGCATTGCTTGTTCTTCTGCCGGCATGCTGCTGCTACTTGGGAGAATTCAGAACTCATCAGCACCTTGCCCTCCCATAACTCCTCTTTCGAAGCATGGTTCTTCAGCCTCCAAGATACCCACTCCATTGCACATATTCGTAGGATTGTGTGCTGCCTGTGGAATATTTGGCTTGCTCGAAATTCATTTGTTTTCGAAGAGAAGGCTCCTACCCCGGCCTCCACAGTGATTGTGTCGACTCGTGACTATCTTTATTTGGAGGAAGCTCGTGTGACAATGACGAGTTCCCATATTCTCTCTTCGGCACAATCACGATCTCAGCCTAGGGGTTCCCGTTCGAATCCTTCACCACCGCCTTTCTCGGCTTCACGAGTGATGAACTGTGATGGATCCTTTGTCTCAGGTTCATCTTTGGCGGCTTATGGGATCACTATTGCTGATTCTCATGGTCAAGTGTACGACGGCAAGGCTGAGTCTTTCCTTTGCTCCTACCCCATTCAAGCGGAAGCATTTGGTCTCTTCAATGCCATCCTGATTGCATCGCAAGATCAGATTCCTACGTGTATTCGTACGGATTGCCAGGTTCTCTCGATTGCTTTGCGTCAGGATCCAATCCACTGGCCTTGGCAATGTCGTGCGACAATTGCTCGCATGTGTTCGATCCTCCAATCAGCTCCGTGGATCAAAGTCGAGTTTGTGCCTCGGCGTTTGAATTCACTTGCGGATTGGGTTGCCGGACAGGCTAGGTTGTGTACGTTACCGATGGACTGGATCCTTATTTGTAATATCATTGCACCCACCTTGTAATGTTTCTTTCTTCCCTGTTTGGGTTTGGAATAAAAGGAAGTTCTTACCGGTCAAAAAAAATGTTTGATCTTTGCCTCGAAAGTACAATCTACAACGGATTCATTCCTATATAGATGTTACATTCACTACTACAGAGCAGTGGGACAGTCGATCGTGTTTTGGGCAGTTGCCACTCGAGAATCGGCAGAGACATACTCGATCACTAACATACTCTTTTTTTGGGCAGGAATGGGGTCACGATGAATCCTTCTGCTGAGCTTGAGCTGCCTCGGCGTATTGCTCAGCAAGTTTCTTCACTTTCTCTCCTTCCTTGATCAGGAAACTCGCGTTCTTCGAACTGGAATGGTACTTCATCACTTTGTCGGTGGTTTTCGCTACAGCCCACCTGTACTGTTCCACGCTTATCACGCCGCTCTTGCACAGTGGCCGAATGTGCTCCTTGATGTAAGCTTCAACCTGCGACATGAATTCGATTGCCTTTCAGTTAGCGCGAAGCAATGTTTGGCGGGGGATTCTCACAACATTGACTTATATGAGGATTGAGCTTTACCTTCTTTGACACAGAACTGACAATTTCCGACTGCCTTTTGGGATCTGAGTCAGATTGCATATCCTTCTTCGATGCTTCTTCGGTTGAGCGGGAATCGTTGGAGGGATTTATCTCATCAGGAATTTGTTGTGCATTGGAGGCAGAAGTTGTGTTATCCAATAGGCTTGGTTTGTTCTCGATTGGAGCATCAAGCTGGAATCTGCTCATCATCGGTTCTTTTTCCGGGCCATACAGTTCTTCACATTCTGCAAGGGAAGGTTCTTCGTTGCCTTCTTCACCGGGTAAGCTTTCAGGAGGAGGAACATGAGAATCGTTATTATTGCCATTCACTACGGTTGGGCTATCTTGAGAATTGTTTGGCTCTTCCAATTTAAGTGTTGAGAAGACCACTTTCATCTTCGCCTCTGCTTCTTCCTGCACTGTCTTGGTGGGGACAACAGACATAGAAGTAGTCGCTCCAATGAAGTCTTCATCATCCAAATCATACTCAAAATCACCATAAATATCCGCTTCTGGAACAGTATCTATTTCCAGTATGTTATCGGGCTCTTCTTCAATAGGAGACTCTGAGTTACGAAGTGGGCTTGCTGGAGGAGAATCTGATAAAAGGCCTGCCTTTCTCAGTGCTTCTGTAATTGCAGGGTCGGTTGGGAGCTCGTTGCTGGAATGCTGCTGATCCGTGAGAACAGCTGATGTATCTGATTCTGAAGCTTGAGCGGCCTTGACATTATTATCAGAAGAACGGTGCAACATTTGCTGAGAGCAGAGGTTCACGTATACCATTTTGGTAGTAGATTTTTGAGCAACCTCCTTCTCGATGTTAATGGCATCTGCTACAGCCAACTCTGTTTCTGCTGTTTTGCAAATCTCTGGGAGGTTTAGTTTCTTCAGGAAGAATTCTGTAAGACGGTACAGCTGCGTCTGTATAAAATAAAACAGAGTGAACCAATAGCAATAAACAATGAGAGCTCAGGTCGACCATCGAGGATTCGATAGTCTGGAAAAATATTTCTGTGAAGTGCAGGTCGTGGCCATGATTTCAGTTAACTGGGGTTCACCAAGAAACACGTTTGACAGCATGACAGAGAATATACATTATCCAATGATCCATGATATTTTTTCATATTCTAAAAAGATGTAGGCTAGATATTACAAGATTCAAGGTTTTGTACTAATTTGCAAGGAAAGGAACTTATCGATTTGATATGGGACAAACTAAAAGGCCAGTTATACATTAGGACACACAGACGAGATATAGCAGGCTACACCAGTAATAACAGGTAAATCTGAGAGAGATGCCATTGCTTACCTGCCTTATTGAATCGGGAATCTTACTTTTCTCAATGGTGGCCAATGCTGGTCTCATATCCTTCGGAAGTTGACCCTGCTTGCAGAAATCCACGAAAGAGAAAGGGAACAAGAACTATGAATAGCAGGTTGCAGACTGTAATGCAGATCAAAAGGGTTATTACATAGACAAGAAACTAATTTAGATAAGTGGGGACAGATTCACATACGAGCAATTGATAGTTCCCTTTAAGCATAACTTTGTCGTCTTCTTCTTCTTCCTTTCTACTACTAGCTGAAGCAGCCTTTTTTCTAGCAAGCACCTCCAGGGCCCATTTTCGTTTATCAAGCTTCTTATCGTCCACTTTAACGCACGTTTCCTTCTTAGGCTTGATTCTAGAACCATCTGATGGGGCTACCAGACTATTCTTTGAATGATCAACATTATTATTCTTCAACCCTTGAGGCAAAGGCACATACTTTGATGGAACTTTATTAGTAGGAGATGGTTTCAAACCATTTGGAACTGAACTGTTATTCTCTGTTCGGCCCTTTTCAGAATCACTGGTGCCTCCTCCATGAGCAGATAGAGGTTTGATGTCATTCTTTCTAGGAAAGACAGACGTATCTGCTAAATACAATCTGGATAGTATTGGACTTTCTGCCTTATTCTTGCAAGCTTCCTCAACGACTTCTCCTCCAGGAGTCTTTCTGAGAAGGTTCAAAACCGACTTTAGGGTTGCAACCTTCTCTGGTTTTGTGGCCCTCATGCATCGATACTTCCAAAATTCAACCTCGCAGTCTCTGTCCCAGGCACGTCTTCTCCTTCCATTAGAGTCCGCATATATTTTCTTTGTCAGACTTTCACGGACTTTACCCTTCTGTAACAAGGACTTCTTCACCTTCAAGGCAGAAGGTGCTAACTTCTTCACTACTGGTTCAGTTGTGGGTCCTGTTATAACAGCCCGGAAGGCAGCCAGAAGCTTAGGATCCAAATTTTTCTCTCCCATATTAACAGCAGATCCATTGCGCACGGCTTCTTTGATTTCTTCTCTGAGCTTTTGAACTATCACAGATGAGTCCTTATCTTCCTTTGCATTCGTCCTCATGATCTTTTTCATTCTCAAGCCAGCAGCTGAATGATCTTTTGAGGCATGGCCCGTCCCTTGAACAATGCTCATTATATCAGGTGTATCAGCTTGGCCCTGTCCTTTACGCTTCATGGACTTCTTATCCTTGGTAACCGCAACTTCAGTAGAACCCTTATCCAAATCATCAGAAGAAGATGCTTCAGGCAGCTCCCTGGAGTGCTGGGTCTTTTGAGACTTCCCCTTGCCTCTAAATTTCTTCAGAGGGATTGCACCAGCACTCTCATCATTTGGATCTACACTATTGATAATACTCTGGGAAACATCATCACTACAAACCAAAGAAGAATCAAAACAGAGGAAAAGGAAAGCAAGAGTTAGAATTTGAATATCAAGCAATCATGACAGGCACAAGAGGAATAGCTAAAATCGACAAGGGAAAAAATAACGCAGCAATGTACACATACATGCATGTTTTTTATAATCTCAACAATTGTATACTTGCCCCCTTCATGTGGTTGGAAATGCCAAAGAGCTGTGCTGACAGTTCGAAACTAACAGCAGGACCTAGACACTTCACCATACTACGTGGCCAAAATGGTACTAAAAAGTGCAGAGGCTTCTTAATTGACAATGAATAGGATGAGAAAAAGAAAATAGGATATAGTGAAACAGAGTTCTCTTCAGACCAAAACAATATTTTCTTCTTTTTTATGAACAAACAGAAACTAGACTTGAGCAAGAAGTCTGCAAACCATCAAATGTTTTAAGCTCAAATACAAAAAGCGTATGCTATATCTAGACCAGCAAGCTAGTTAGGCATATCCATTATTCAGCCAAAAACCAACCCCCCTCTAGCTCTGGCCTTGAGATCTTTCGTCAATCTCGCCTGTACATCAGCAGCATTATTGCCACAACAAGACTGAACTCATTATGTTAACCCATGACAGCTTTTCTATGAAACCCTAATATGATTGATGATGGCACATAAAAGTTGAAACCACAACTTAACTAAGCAATGAGCTAAAAAAGATAACCCAGACTGATTTTCCATCAAGATTTCTACGCCAATAAACTCACTCTTGTGAAGTCTGAATTAGATATTCCAGATAACACATCCTAGCATGGTTGACCTTCCTAGCTGGACATGGAAGTTAATAATTCCCGAGGAGAGTGTACCAAATGCAAAATGAAAGCAAAACATATCATGGAGACGCCATGCTAACATAAGAAGTCCTCCAACCACAACCATGATCAACAAACCCCTCTTTAAACTTTTTCCCCATTCTATTCTTTGAAGGGACAACCCAAGTCCACAACTAAAACTAATTTCTTTAGCAACCAGAGTTTACATTGGAATGAATAGACTGTCAGAGATCAGAAATCCAAGGGACCCAGCCACAAGTCCATGAAATCCTATTGAAGCTCAAAGAGTGGTTCCTCATACACCAAAGCAATTTATCCTTTTTCTATTCACACGGCGAAGAAAGAAACTGGATATTCACTCTCAGAAAAACTTCAAAAGTTAAATGATCCAACGTGATTATTGAACCTCAAATGAGTAATGGTGTTTGGATGCTTGACAAGTAGTAACCTTAGCAGAATGTTTAATTACGTTGAAACTTTTGCTTAGACTAATTTGAGTAAGTTTATAGATACTCAAATAGCAAAGTAACCTGTACTTTATCTGCTTTCTCTTTACGCCAATGCTTTTGGCAGCCTCCACAGCAGCATTTGGTACAACCTTCTCATCTGCACACGGCATACCAATGTGGTTAAATGTGCCTTCAGACAGCAATCAAAACTAGGAAACAAAAAATGGAAGCTATTCCTAGAAGATTATATGACTACCTCTTAATGAAGTATCTCCGGGAACAGTTTGCTTCCCTATAGTTGAACTCACTTGATCTACAGTTCCACTATTAGAGATGCCAACTGGGAGCAAATGGATAGCTGTTAGAACCAGACACTTCCCAGCATTCAATGCAAAATAGAACAGTTATTTGCAGGTTGTAGTATGAATTACCAGATGAGTTTTCTAAAGAGAAACTAAGATGACAACCAACAGTAGACTCATTGAAAAACTTTGTCCCTGAAATCGGATCATCGTCTGAATTAGCAGCAGCTTCAGCCTGACCTGTCTTCAAGTGACCAGGTGTTGACATATCACTTGATAAGGAGAGCACAGGTTCTGGAGCTTCCAAGACTGATTTAATCCCATCATTCTCGCTAGTTATTTTTTCTTCCCTAAGATGAGCCTCAGAATGAACTCCATTAACGTTGAACTGCACACCAACTTCTCGGATTGGGCTATACTCCAGGCCAACTTCTCGGATCGGGCTATACTCCTCACCAGGCAATTCAGTCCATTTATTTCCTCCAACCATAGAGATGACAATAGCCGTCTCTCCAGGGTCAACCGACAACTTTCTAGAGAAGCCAGTATCAGTCAAACTGCTAGTATCTAAAGTTTCCATACGTTGATCATTTGGCATAGGAGCTGAAGTTGCATCTGATTTATGCGGCAATTCATCAGCAGTAGTACATCTGCAATCATACAATGGGGAAAATGTCCAAAATGAGATAAAATAACTATGATACCAGGTAATTATGTGTATATACGCAGCTATGTCTATGTATATATCATATATGTATATCTAAAGTAAGGTTCACTTAGTATACCTTGGACATAACCATGTATCCTCACATGTACCATCCACATCAAACCCGACACAGAAAGCATGATACCTGTCCCCAAGCACAACAAGAAACTTAATGAAATGATTAGGTACAAAACAGTAGACATGATTACTCTAGAATCAGCTGTTATGACGAGGATGCAACCTCACGTCCTCAACTAAAGGTTTCAGTCTGACATCAGTGACAATATCATAAGTTTTATTCATCGTATGCCAGACGAATTTACAGACAAAACAATCTAAGAAATCAAGTCCCACATTCTAATTTGAAGAGTAGGTTTACCCAATGTCACAAGAATCACATCCAATAGATGTATCAAGATTAGGATATTCATCAATACTCATGGATCCAATTCGGATTTTGATCTTATGCCAGATGAATTTACACACTAAACAATCTAAGTAATCAAGTCCCACATTCTAATTTGAAGTGTAGGCTTACCAATTGTCACAAGAATCACATGCAATAGATGTATCAAGATTAGGATCTTCCTCAATACTCATGGATCCACTTCGGATTTTGCAACCATCCCCATCCAAGCAGGTAACTGCCTACAAAATGATTGAAAGGGAAAAGAACTTCAGCTATGTATTTATTACCGCCCTTCACCTACATCTCAGAATACTCTCTACAAGTTGAATTGTAAATGAAATTTGTATTTATGTGGTGCCATAATTCATCCTCAGACAGCAATGTCCCATTAATACCATGGCAGCTCCCAGCTAGAATAAGCTTCAACAGTACCCAACACAAGTTAATTCCATAATTACCTTCTTATTGGTTTAAAGCTTCAGTAAAATGTCATTTATATAAATCCTATTAGCTCTCTAGCAGAAAAGGAGAACACATCTCTGATCTCTCTGATAGTTACTTTTCAAGTTCTAGTCAGAAAGGCAACAAAATGCTAGGACCAGAATCGAAGTCTAGATGCAACAGTAATAAAGGAGGCTTTGTAGATATGGAGCTGCAAGTTCATCAAATTTACCAGTTTTGGAACCATGTTTAGAAAGAAACCATAAGAATGATACTTACATTTTCTTTTTCGTTGAATGATACTTACATTTTCATCAATATAATAGGAAGGAAAAGATAAGGTGCTGCTATTTCCTTCAATAGACCAATCGTCATCTCTGCTGCATAGATACACGAAACAGAAATCGCATATCATGTAAAACAGTGAAACTGTTCAAATTCAATTGTGATTACTAAGATTACTCCAATCACAGTCCACCCAAGAATTAAAAGAAGATTGCAGATGATGAACAGAACAATCAAAGCACAGAAACGAATAAAGATTAAAAAAAAAAAAAGGCAGCGCATACTTGGAAAATGTGTCCTCATCAACCTTGTTATTTCCAAGGGTATCATACACCTACATGAGCACACAAATAAAGTTATCGTCATTGTATTGAAATAGATACTAAGTTTGTGTCAGAATTTTATCTCTCAAAGATTGCAGTGGCCTGATTCTAATTCCTCAGTGGCATAAAGTAAGAATGAAAATGAAAACATATGGCTCCTGAAGAAGACCTTGAACTAGAATCAAATGATAGCACTTAATTGATTGAAAGCATCTACAGTCAGAAATTCTTCGAGAGCATATCATGACCCACCGGAACACATGTGATCAATTGAAACTCCTTCTGGCAAAGAGGACACAGGTTTGTGATCGAAGCCCAATTGTCAATGCAGCCAAAACAAAACCAGTGCTGGCAGCAATCAACAACCCCCCTGTCGATGACAAAATCCATGCATATCCCACATTTTTCACCTTCCAAAAGAGAATTCTCCTGCATATCACAAAATACAGCAACCACTTAACTTTGTTTCTTCTGCTATAATAGGCTAGCTCATCCCCAATTCTCATCCAAAGAGAGTACGTGACCAAAAACCAAACCAGATGACTTCAACTCCAGTTGGAGTTACACTCAAAAAGCAAAGAAAAAGAAAACTCGCATTGCAAAGTTCAGCCCCTTGATGAACCGCTAACACTATGCAACTATCATTTCTTGCAACATTTAAGCAGTCGTGAGCTAAAAGGAAATAGAGTAGACCCTTGACATTCCAAGGCTTGGAAAAAACTCACATTATGGTCTTCGATTTGGACGGTCTCTTCTTGAAACATCCCGCTGGTAACAAAATCCGCCTCCATCATCGCACTTCACGCCGACGAAGTTCCGTGCCAATCTGTCACAAATCTTCCAATAAGCAAATACATGAGAGAACTAGAACAAGAGGGAGTCACTTCAAGTAGCAAGTGAGGACAGCAATCAACTCGATAATCAAATTTCGGCCCCCAAAAACTTATCGAAAAGAAAGCTCCGACTATCAGTCAAAAGCCATAAACACAAGCTCCGTATAATTTTTCAAACTTCGCTTTCTAAAATTCCGAAGATCAAATACTGTTTTCTTTTCAAGGAATTCTAATTCGCGAAGGGAGAAGATCAGCGTAAGTGGAAGAAGGAGAAGAAGACGAGTGATCGGACGCCTACCCGAAGATCAACGGCCGGTGACGATAATTCTGATTCTTCTGCAGCTGCCCCGTTGGCCAGCGGAGATGGGCGAAATTTTATGTAAAGACGGACGAAGGACGAGGGAGGATTGATCGCGTTCCCCCGTTTCGAACAACGAAGATGCCGTCTTCGTTGGCCTGGTAATTTTTGCGATCCCTAACCGATTTAGTAAATTTTTCATTATCGGCTTGGTTAGTTTGGACTTTGGACTTAGTAGTTAATATTTAATAATAATAATAATAATAAACCAAATTTTTTTAAAGTAACAAAATATTAACTTTTTTTTAATAATTTTGTCCCTTTTTCTTAGTTAAAATACGACTTAATTGCAAGTTTGGTCACTCGAATTGCTATAAAATTTCACGTTTGCCACTCAAATTAATTTATTCCATTTATAGTCACTCGAATTAGTTGAACAGTTCAAGTTCGGTCACTCTCCGTTAACCTCTGTTAACTTTGACTGACGTGGCGGTCAACTCTAACAGTTAACCGTTAAATGTGTGATGTGGCAAATAAAAAATATTTAAAAAATAAAAATTAAATTTTTAAAAATTACACATCATTATAAAGAGTTTTTACCCAAATTCCACCTCCTTTCTCTGTCCATTGGTGACGAACAGTTTTTACCCATTCTCTCGCACTGAAAAATCAAAGTCAAAGTCTTCCCTTGGCCTGGCCCTTTCCTTGCCTTTCGTTTCCTCAGGCAGGGAGCCATTCTCTCCTCCTCGGGTCCGGCGTTTACCCTTGTTCCCGTCCCGTCCAGTCCAGTGATGAAAAGCCCGGAGCCGGCTTCCTACGCTTCCCGGACCCCTAGCTCCGGCCCCCACTACAACGCCTCCAGCTTCCCTCCTTATTCTCCCACCTCCGCCTCAACCGCCAAGAAGCGCAACCAGGCGGCTGAGGCCTTGAGATCGATCGCCGGCCTCTTCGCTTCTTGCTTCACCCCTCCACAGCTTGACGCCTCTAGCAACTTGGATCCCTCCAATTCTCGTTCTGGTATAGTCTCGGCATGCAGTCTGAAAGCAATCAGCGAATTCAGCGATTGGAAATTTGATTCGATTTCTTTTCTTTTCTTCTCTTTGTTGTTTGCAGTTGCGTCTGATGGTTCGGGATCCGGAAAGAGACGACGGAGCTCGGTTGGGGGAAGCAATAGCATCTACGGAAGTCCGACCCACAACCACAAGCGAGAGCCAGGGAGCATGAAATTTACCATTGACCAGATCTACCGAGCTTCCAACTCATTCTCGCCTTCCTTCAAGATCGGCCAAGGTGGTTTCGGGACCGTTTACAAAGGAAAGCTCGAATGATGTGTAATTTTTAAAAATTTAATTTTTATTTTTAATTATTTTTTATTTGCCACGTCACACATTTAACGGACCGCCACGTCAGTCAAAGTTAACAGAGGTTAACGGAGAGTGACCGAACTTGAACTGTTCAACTAATTCGAGTGACTATAAATGGAATAAATTAATTTGAGTGGCAAACGTGAAATTTTATAGCAATTCGAGTGACCAAACTTGCAATTAAGCCGTTAAAATACTAAGGAATTTGAATGTTGACTTCCATATTTCTCTTCCAAGTTAATGTCATGTTTTCAAGTTAATATTACTAACAAAATTATTAACTAGAAGTTAACATTTGGATAATTATTAGTAACTCAATAGGTTCGGTTAATAAAAAAGAATGCGAGAAAGTTTTGGCTGATAAATAATGTTTACCCTAAAAAATTGTAAACTTCTTAATAGAATCAACGTCAATAAAATTTCATATGAGTTTTTTATTGTGACCTCAATGTTTTTGCAATTCAACTCATATTACTATTATTATATCCACATCCATGCAATTAATATGTAGATAAATATCACAAAGTAAAGTAAAAGGGTAAAAAAAAAAAAATTCTCATTTGTATAGACAATTTTGACTTTCATATGTAATTGTATTATTGCAAGTTTGCAAATATGTAACGGATATTCACATCATTGCAGTTGAAAAAACTCATGCAAGATCAATGTGGATGCTCTTATATAACAATTAGAGAAAAATAATATAATAATCAAACAGTTAATTTTTCATCTACTCAAACGTTAGAGACTCTGACATGGCAATGATGTTGGCGTGAATGTTGAGTGTTGACATATCAGCCAAATATAGAACTAAAATAATCTAATAGTCAAAACTTTTAATTTTGTGCAAAATTATAGCCAAACTTGCTATTTTGTGCACTATAATAATCAAATCGCTTTTGAAATACAATTTAATAGTAAATTTTGTTAAATTTAGAACTAAAGTTAAGGAATGTTTTTTAAGTTACCTCAACCCACAATTAATTTAAATATTTTTATTTAACTTGAACATAAAAAAATATTATTTTTTTTAATAACTGAACTGAACAAAAGAAAAATAGAGCTTTTATCCACTTCTTTCTTCTTCCACGATTATTCTTTTCCTTCCTTTCTTCTCTGCCTAAAATCTTTTTACTCCTCCTCCTTCTCTATGCTAAACGTAATAGTATTGCTTCTTCTTACCATCTTTAATTCTTCCCCTCAATTAACCAAATTCTTAACTAGGCAACTGGCCTAAAAAAAAGTAGGCACCAAAAAACAGGTAAGGTAACAGAGACAGAGCAATATAATATCCAAATAGGAGATGGAAAGCCTGGAACGGAGTAACCGATCGTGGCATTCCTCCTTCACTTTCCAGTTTCCTCCGACTCGGGACCGGGTCGGATTCTCTCCCGAGCAGCTCCATCGCGGTCTTCGCCGTCGCACCTACATTTTCACCCTCCGGTTGGAGAAGATTCATACTCCAATCACGCCGACGCCATTGGAGAAGATTCGTACTCCAATCTACACAGGAGGTCAATATGGTGAGTCTCAATTCGATTAATACTATCTGCTGCCCGCTCTCGTGATTATTATTATCATCAGTATTAGGTGCATTCTTTCGTTTTCATTAATGAATGACAAAGCAAATTAGGTATGTCGGCGTCTGAACTTTTCCTGGAATTTCGACTAGCTAGGGTTCCACCAATAATCTGAATTTGTTTGAATATGGATAGATGCCAGGGTTGACTGCCACGTTCTTATTATTATATTTTGAGCCCGTAAATCTAATCGATGATGTCTAAATTGTGAAATCGTACCAAAAGATCAGATTTGAGACGAACAGTTTAAGGTGAAACATATTTACAATATAGTATCGCGATAGAAACAGACCGATTTAATCAGTAATACGTAGTTCAGCAGATACAGTCGAGCAATCACATCCTGAAATTCAAAAGTCAAAATGGAACATATTCGAATATTCATTGATGCCAAAATGAAGAAGTTGAACTTTACTTGTTCTTGCTAACCTAACAATAGGGGTGGGGGAAAGGAAATGAAAATTGGGGAAGAAGGCATTTTGTCACGTTCTTCTTCTTCTTCCAAGATAAACAAAACATTACATGTGGAGTTATTGTTCCATTTAGTCTTTCATTTGAATTTTCTAGTAGTGCTTCAACTCTTTGCCATTTGTATATTGTTAAAACAAATTTTCCCATTGGTCGCCTTATATAATACTGGATTTGACCTTTTTCATTATTTGATCCTGATGCACTGGATTGGTGCATGCAATACTTTTATATATACTATCAATTAACAATTCTCATAATATTAAATACAAACTCCACAAGGAACACCGCCCAAAAGTCCAATCCCCAATAGTAGACAGGGTCTCTTTATTTTAATGCGAACAGAAAGCCACCTATATGTTGTTGTTAACAATTCTCCTCCACGACACTGCAAGTTTATAACCACTTACCAGACACTTTGCTTGTTTTATTTTCTGTTGTAACAACCATAGGAGGGCCAAAACTATAGCCCACATAAGCTGGAAAAGGCCAATTGGGAGTTGGAACTTGTCTGCTTGTCAGCTTGTGTCTGATTTGGACGACTTTGGCTACCCTTTTCCTTGGCTGTTTTTTCTATTTAAAGGGAGGTCTTCATCGGAGCAGTAGCAGCAGGCAGAAGAAGATGGAGATGATGGGAAGCAACCAGCTTGCCAATGGAGAAGTGAGGTTCTGAAAATCCTAAAGAGAGTTGATAACGGTGCCAAATCCAGGTAAAGATTGACGCAAGTTCAAGCCATTATGCCAAAAAAAAAAAAAGGAAGAATTTGAATGGCAAACTACACCTTTTCTTCTCTTCTGATCTCTTTATTGTTTAGGTTGATCATGAGAGTGTGATAGTCGGTAATAACTAACAAGGATCTTTCTTCCCAATCAGTGGGAAGTGGAGCATAGTTAGATCTGATTGGCAGGAGTTGACCTCTTTCTTTCTTACTTTCTGGGTTTCATCTGGTGTAGAATGTTTCCAGGAAGGAAACACCTGGGAAGGTTTAAAGCAACTTCATTGGTTGCATCAGGGTCCTACATGTCTTTAACCATTATTAGTACAGTCATAATCATTACAGTTTGCAGCATATAACAGAAGAGGGGGGGGGGGGGGGGGGGGGGGGGGGGGGACTTTGTTCAAGGAAAAAAAAAGCAGAACCAACCCCCACTCAGCCTGCCTTTTTCAGTTTTCAGCTCAGCTTCTCAATAAAGGGACAAACTCAAACATTGACCAAATTGAAAGATACTGCTGACTAATAATGACAGCTCCAAGCAACTTAGTTCTGACCCTTTGTTGTGCTTTACTCACATTGCCAGAATGATGCTTGCATTTCGTGGCTGCTTTTTCAAACATAAGATCAAGAAACAGACCCGGTATGAAGCCAATGCTCTTCTGGCTTCACAAACACCATGTAAGTTCAAATATCTTCTTACCAAAATGTAGCTGCTATCTTCAGTTAGTTTGGAATGACTCTGATAGACTGACCTTCCAGACATAAGTTTTATGAACAGCAACATATGCATATTTTGATCTCCACCATTCTATCAGATCACATTCAGTTAAGGAAATCTATAAAAAGTAACACAGTTGGCGAGGACAACATTATCCTTTCGTCTTCCATTATGAATTCATATGGAGTTTCTGGTAACTGACATAACTGTCTTTCTAACAGTCACAATCAATGAAATAGAGGCTTTGTACAATCTGTTCAAGAAGCTAAGCAGCACCATAATTGATGATGACCTTATTCACAAGGTACAATTTTTTTTGTCCCTCCTTATTGAATTGACTGCTGAGGTTTCTGCAATCACATCCTGATCAGGTTTTCTCTATCTGATGGTTGATGATTTGTCAGGAAGAATTCCTATTAGCACTTTTCAGAAGTAGGAATACTAACAACCTTTTTGCTGAGAGGGTGAGCATCCTCTTCTCAACCAATTTTTCAGCGCATTGCATCCAACCATACTCAATATGCTTGCTGGCTTACTGTGTGAAAAATGCTGCAGACATTTCATCTGTTTGATATAAAGCACAATGGGGTGATAGAGTTTGGTGAATTTGTTCGTTCATTAAGCATCTTCCATCCTCGAGCTCCGGTAGCTGACAAAATTTCATGTGAGGATTATTTTTGCTCTTTGCATCCTGTAAACTATACCTGACAATGCATCAGCATCTGTACCATTATATTCAAACTATGTACCTAACACTATAAGTAACTAAGATGTGGAAGCCATGTTTTTTCATTTTTCTCAGTTGCATTCAGGTTATATGATCTTAGAGAAACTGGCTACATAGAACGAGATGAGGTACGACAAAAGTTTTCCTTGAAAAACTATATGCACAATCAATCTGTCTTCTGTTGCTGGTTGCTCAATTAACTCACTTGCTCTTGAAATGGAATCAGTTGAAGGAGATGGTACTAGCTATCCTGAGTGAATCAGACTTAACACTTTCTGAAGACACCATCGAGTCCATGGTCGATAAGGTGACCCAAATGTTCAAAATCGCTTCAAATGTGTTCGTCTTACATTACTTAGGAACTTAGTGTTGGATCTCTACCTTTGTCCAGACACTTGCAGAAGCAGATTTGAATGGTGATGGAAAGATTGATGAACAGGAATGGGAGGAACTAGTAGCAAAGCATCCATCTCTCATAAAGAACATGACAATTCCATACCTAAGGCTTGCTCTCTAATCCTAATCATCGTCTCCTAGAACTCGTAAATGTGAAAGTAAACACTAACTGGTGACCTCTTTTTTTTACCAGGGACCTGACTGTTACATTTCCAAGCTTTGTTCTGAACACTGAAGTTCCTGACTGAAGGCAAATCATCACTGCCATCATCACTAGCATGTTCTAAATCTTATAATGAAAGCATTGTACAATTTTTTTTCTTCTAGCTTCTTCCTTGCTTCCTCTTCTCAACAGAATGAAGAGGATAGTTGAATACAGTTCCTGGGATTGGATTCTGGGGGGAAAAGGGATTGGTATTTAGTAAACTTCCATAGGGCTGCATGGGTTCATCTTTTGCATAGGATTTTTTTTTTGGCTTGAAATATTGCAAATGAATATATTACACACTCATAGCTTATTAGCTTTACTCTTTTAATCTTGTTTTTAGTAGTTCAGAAACTATTGAGACACTCAATTTAATACAGTCATATACTAAATTGTATAACTACCTGTAGATTGGGAAAATACTCACTACAGGAAATTGAATGACTAAAGAGAAAAATCGATATGAACAAATGTAATCAAACAATCAGCTAAAATAACAAAATCTAAAGATTTGGCTTGATGTGGTAACATCATATCAAACCCTTCATATCTATTATTTAAAACCTATAAATTTTATTTTTATGCTTCACGATGTATTCGATAATCTCACAATCCATTATAATTTTTCGGGTTATGGAGTCAGGCAAATTTTGCCATTAATAGCATATAGCCGATCGAAGGCTTGGCTTCGATTTCACCATCCATTCATCCATGAACACTGATGCCAACAAAAAAAGAAACTGCTCCATCTCATCACCGTTCATTCGTATCTTAATTCTTAACCCTCTTGCAGCCGAACTCCCACTTGCTTCTACTAGCTACCAATCACCAAACAACAGCACATTTCCTTCTGCCAGTCGATAGCCGTATGCATAGAACTACTCAAACGTTATATACAATCTCAGAGTACTTCCATGGATGTAAGTATCGCAGCTAGCAGCAGCAACAACAACAACAATAACAATGCCTCTTGTAAGTAGGAAAAGCTTCCTTCTCCAGATGAAGTCCCGCCTTATGAGCAGCTGTTGCGTGAACCACAAGCTTATTCCTGAGAAGGACAAAGCTCTCCTTGCTTCTCAGACATATTGTGGGTTTCCTGGATCTTATTTTCTTCCATTTTCATGCTCTTTAACATCTTAGCGTTGTTTTCTAAATGTTCTGTTGTGGTGGGCAGTCAGTGAAGATGAAGTTGAGGCTTTGTTTGAGCTGTTCAGGAAATTAAGCAGTTCTTTGGTGGATGATGGGCTTATAAGCAAAGTATGGACATGATTCAGTTTCTGACTTGATTCAGCTGTTTGAGCTGTTTGATTTAGTTGTTCTTTTGTGTTCAGGAAGAGTTCCAGCTGGGTTTGTTTGGGAACAGTTGGAAGCAGACCCTCCTTGCTAACAGGGTGATTTAAGTTCTCCATGGCTCCCTTTCTACTTGTTCAAGCCTTCATGATTCAGAAAATGGGTAATTTTTTAACTTGGTTTTTCAGCTCTTCCAACTATTTGATTCCAAGAGGGATGGAGCAATAGACTTTCAGGAGTTCGTGAGAGCTTTGAGTGTCTTCCACCCCAAAGCAGCTCAAACGGAGAAAGCTGCTTGTAAGAACCCAACTTCCATTTTGCATTCTGTTGATTCCCTCCTCATGGTTTTGTACTGATGGCTCAGCTAGTAAATGATGATATGGCAATGGCAGTTTCATTCCAACTCTATGACATCTGGGAAACCGGCTTCATTCAACGCAAAGAGGTAAGTAAGTAAGAAGAAAGAAAGAACTTCGAAAGACCTCAGCTGATGATGTTTTGCTTGTCATGGCTAATTCAGGGTAAAAGGTACCGACCTTTTTTTGTCATGTTTGAAATTATGTTCTGAAACAAGGTCAAGGAACTGTTTTTGGCACTTCTGGATGAGTCTGACTTGATTCTCACAGATGAAACTGTTGAAGCCATTGTTGATAAGGTTTGCTTGCTTCCCAAGATTCTACATTTTCACATTGCCCTTCCTCTCAACAGAGAGACCACAGAAGAACTTTTTGCTTAATTTTTTTTTTCTGCTCAACAGACATTCAATGAGGCGGACTCGAAAGGTGATGGAAAGATCGATGAAGAGGAATGGGAGCACTTCACAACTCAGTACCCATCACTACTGCAGAGTGTGACACTTCCAAATTTATTGTAATTTCACTCTCATAACCTTCCATCCTTCACATCTAAGTTTCAAATGTTTTGTATACCTTGATGCTAAGCTGCTTCTTGTTAACAGGGATGTCAGAACAGTATATCCGAGTTTCAAAAAGGTTTGATTTTTTTATTCAGAACTGAAATGTACACATTTCTTACAATTACAAACTAATCGACAAGTAACATATCAGTGAGATCTGATCTATACAACACAATCCACCAATTTTCATGGACCCAGTGCTTCTGTATGAATGTGATGTTTCTGTGTTAGCTTTAACAACACAACAACAACAATGTAAATTTCACCAAAATGACAATGACAACAGTAATATTCACATACTCCAGCAAATGTTGAAGCTTCGAGAACATATCATTTCGGTCTAGCAGAGATCATGTCTTCCAAGTTCATGGGATAGCACATCTGAGAATGCAAGCCATTCCATACATTGTCTGCCAATATGGAATTCACTGCAGCCGTTGGGTGGTATTGATCCCACCAGATATGGTTGGAGGCATTACTGCAAGCCATCTCTGGTGCGATGCACATAACCCAACCCTTGTACTTTCCTAAGCCACAGCAAGCATCTGTGGTCTCAGTGAACCCTGAACAAATAAGCGAAACACAATCAACCAGAGAAACACTGAAATTCAACAAAGATTAAATGAAAGATCAGGAGAGACAAATTCTGAGAGTAGTGAGCCTAGAAGGTTTTATTGTTACCATAATTTGCATGGTTCTGAATGATATCCATGGAACCTTCATAAACATCACAGAATATGATCTGGGCTTGAGGGAGCTCGTACTGCAGCTGATCTACTATGTATCTCATAAGAAAGTTGAACTCTGTAATCATGTTGTTTATCTCCTCCACACACTCTCCATTCTTGCTTCCATACTTCCAGAGGTAATGAGGTGCACACCCAATTGGAGGCATCCCCATGATCACCATCTTCCTCACATTCATATCATACAAGTTCTATAGATACACAGTCAATAATATCAAAAAGTCAGAACCCTCTCTCAAACCAGTTCGAAACTTGAATCGATTTCCCAAAATTTGGATAACTAGAGTCTAGAGTTGTATGTTTTTCACCTTGACTTCCTGGCTCATTGAAGATGCCAAGAACTCGTTAAAACTCCATGGGAGGTAAAGGTCTTGCACATTGGAGATGTTAGGTAGGTAGTAGTGAATGTAATCGTTGATCCCAATCGAGATGTACAAGACCGAGCTGGAGACTAGTTCTGCGGTAGCTTGCTCACCGATGCTCAAGATGAACGTTTGTAACGAGTCGGTGAACTGCTGAACTTGGTGAGTCAAGGATATCCTTTGACCCTGAACCCAAAAAAAAAAATCACACCTCTGTGTAAGTATATGCCCATGCTGTTTGCCATGAACACAAGAGAAGCAAGTAATTGGAAAGTCTTACCAGTTCTGAGCCACTGGAGAATATAATGCCAGCACCAGCTGATGCATAGTTCACTCCATGGATCATATCTGCCAAAGTTCCCTTCTGCCCAAGATAGCTTGGAACAAATGGTAGCCCTAGGCGCAGTGCTGATCCATGTAATGAACATCACAAAAACAATCAGTCACAGATTTCCTAAAATCTACGGTTCTAAGAGTTCCATGAATTAAAATGCCCTGCTAATTGATGAAAACCCTAGAATTGGTGCGATTTTCAATGTTCTCAACCACATTCTCGGCAACCAAACAGAATCCACCGAAGCAAAGAAACCTACCAAGAAAATCGACTGGGATTCTTCCATTGCAGAACCTTCCAGTGGGCCTGCCCGTGTCGAAGTCTCTGCCGTAGGGAGGGCGGTCGGCGCGCGCGAAGGTCCCCAGATAGTTGTTGGTGCCACAATCGACTGCGGAGTCGCCGATTACGAAGAACGCAGGAACTAGCGGCGCGGAGGCTGGGAACGGGGAGATCGAGTAGGGCGACGGCGAGACTGATCGGAGGGAGGAAAAGGGAGGGGAAGCGGATGGGGAAACGAGAGGTTCGTTATTGTAGGCAATGATTGCCTGCGGGAAGTCGTACAGTTGCGGAGGGACAGTGAGGGCTCTTGATTGCTCGGCAATGGCGGCAACGAGGATGAACAGAAACGGAAGCGTTACGGCCACCGCCCTCGCCATTTTTCTCTGTTCTTCCAGTTCGTTGCTTTCCCTTCTCTCTCTCTGAGAAGGAGAGAACTGGAAAATAGCGACGGAGCAAATTGGCGGGAAAAGAGAAGGAAGGCCCCAAATCGTTAAGTCTGGACTTGACGGCGCCCGAAGGGTCAGGGAACTCTACGAAGCCAAGAAAACGGCTCGATCAATTGGGTTGTTCGGTTCGAGCTCCACCCTCGGGTTAGACTTTTGAGTGATGAGCTTTTTAATTATGTTAAGACTCGTTGTCATAAGAATCGAACCGGATTAGTGGTTGGATCAGTAGAACCAGCAAAGCAAGTATAATAGCGTTCCGGTTCTTTTGCTTGCGCGGAATGCGATGGACTAAATGATTTTTACGGTTAGACATGAGAGTAGATGAACAACTGCGGTTTTACTTGTCCACTAGTTAACTATTTTAACTATGAAAAAAATTAAGAGAAAAAACTTTAACTTTAACTAAGACCATCCAACCTAAATAACCAATGTTATTTCTGATTCGTTTCTTCGTTTCCCAACCTCCTTATCGGCCTTGTGTGGTCCATTATGAATTGCTGAACCATGAATTACTAATTTTTCTGATTCCGCATCCTGTTTATTTTTGGAAAAATTGCAAAATGGGCAAACTTTCGCAAATGTGGATAGCTAGTAGCAAGCCAGCTATTTACTTATGTTGATGCTTTTACCATATAGTAAGATTTCATGATAATGTAGAACACTGTAAATTGCAATCTGACGAGTCTTTTATTGAATGAAAGCCAAATACTTATACTTGTCAGTGCAAACCACAAGATTGGTTGCTCCCAACGTTCACTAACCGAGAATCAAGCTAAACACAAACCAGCTAACAACCTTACTCGCAGAAGACTCTCAACAGACTAACAACTCTTGACTGGACTAAAAATAACAAAACACAAAGTAAAGGACCAGCATGGTAATAAAGCAAACGACGCAGTATTGCTCAAACTTGCAGCAGTAGTAATTTGAACAGCTTCCATTGGCGCGCTTCCTAATCCTTGTGAGACAGGGATTCCTTCTTCAACATATCCTCCCCTGAACTGAACCCTTCCAATTCACGCTTCAGTTCACTTACCATCTCCAATCTTCACTGGTCTTCGAATTCAGAGAGATCACACATACCAAGCTCTGCTCTCAGCCTGTGAAAGGCTTCTTGAGATAAAGCCTTGGTCATAATATCAGCCACTTGCTCCCTTGTCCCACACTGCTGCAACTCCACAACTTCATCTCGAACCAACTCCCTCAGGAAATGAAACCTTACATCTATATGTTTGCTCCTTCCATGAAGAACTGGATTTCTGGACAGCTTTATAGTCGAGCTGTTGTCACATCTGATCTCGGTGGCCTTCTTCACACTTGATTCCCATCCAATCTCAGTTAGAACTCTTCTCAACCACACTGCCTGTGCTGCACAGTAGGCAGCAGCCACGAACTCAGCCTCAGTAGTTGATAGGGTCACCACAGGTTGCTTTTTAGAGGCCCAGGAAACAGCTCCACCTGCAAGGAAGAAAATGTATCCACTGGTACTCTTCCTGTCATCAGAATCACCTGCATAGTCTGAGTCTGTATATCCTAACAGACTTCCTTCTCCATTCTCCCTTTTGTACCATATACCACTGGTGAGTGTGCCTTTTAAGAATCTGAGAACTCTTTTAGCTGCTAGTAGATGCTGCTTGGTGGGTGCTTCCATGTACCTGCTTAATAAGCATACAACAAACATCAAGTCTGGTCTGGTGGCTGTAATGTACAGCAGACTTCCAATGAGCTGCTTGTACTCAGTGGCATTTACCAAACCTCCATCTCCAGCTTTAGTTAGTTTTGCTCCAGGAACAAGTGGATTATGGACAAAATTGCAGTCAGCAAGATTGAATCTTGCTAATACCTCCTTTGCATACTTCTGCTGACATATGAATATGCCAGTTTCCTTCTGAATTACTTCCACCCCTAAAAAGTATTTCATTTTGCCCAAATCTGTCATCTCAAATTCTGCTTCCATCGATTTTTTGAACTCAGCAACCATAGCAGCATTAGTACCAGTGTAAAGTACATCATCCACATAAATGCTTACCAGTAGTACTTCCTCACCAGAGTGTTTGATGAACAATGTGGCCTCATATGGACATTTTTGGAACCCAGCAGCCAAGAAATGAGCTTCTATTCGACTGTACCAGGCCCTGGGAGCCTGCTTTAAGCCATACAAGGCTTTCTTGAGTTTGTATACTTTGGATTCCTCCCCAGCAACCACAAAGCCTTGTGGTTGCTCAACATAGACATCCTCAGCAAGTTCTCCATGGAGAAATGCGCTTTTGACATCAAGTTGCCAGACTGGAACTCCATGTTGTGCAGCAAAAGCCAACAGGCACCTGATAGTATCCCATCTGGCTACTGGAGCAAAGACCTCATTGTAGTCTATTCCCAGCTTCTGAGCATATCCTTTGACAACCAACCGAGCTTTATGTTTATCCAGAGCTCCTGTTTCAGTAAACTTAGTCTTATAAATCCACTTGAGACCAATGGGAATTATACCTGCAGGCAGATCAGTTAATTCCCAGGTGTTGTTCTTGTCAATGGACTTCATTTCCTGCCTCATTGCTTCATTCCAGACTTCTTTTGTGGCAGCTTCTTCAAAGGATTGAGGATCTTCAGATACTGCAATCATAGCCAGCCATTCTGGTTGCTCACTTTCTATGCTGTTGCAGTCATATATAGCTAGGTGACTTGGTGGCTTTCTTGATCTGGGGCCAAGATCAGTGCTTCGAGGTAGGCCTAGCACATCAGTGGCCTCATTTCCAGCATCTTCATCTGCAGCTTCAGGTACAGTAGGAGGTGTAGGAGTTTTTGGACTTGGAGGTTCTTCAGATTCTTCCTCCTCATTTGTTTCATCAGGAACTGCAGTAGCTAAAAGGTGTGGCCCTTCTTCTCCATCAGAATCTTCATAGATATCATCACTTCCTTCCCATAGCAAACTTGTTAGGACAGGTTGAACATCAGATTTCCACTTCCAGCCCTTACTTTCATCAAAAACCACATCCCTACTCACCAGAATTTTCTGTGTTTCTGGATTGTAAAGTCTGTAGGCCTTTGATTCTGTGGAAATCCCCAGGAAATGGCACTGGACACTCTTATCATCCAACTTCTTTCTGAACTTGTCAGGTATATGTGCATATGCCACACAACCAAACACCCTAAAGTGAGAGACTGATGGGGGAGCACCAGTCCACAGCTCCTGTGGTGTTTTTCCACCATTAGCAACAGTAGGGCTTCGATTTAAAACATGTGTTGTCCAAGTTACAGCTTCTGGCCAGAATTTTGCAGGTACTAGAGTGTCTTTGAGCATGCATCTCACCATGTTCATGGTGGTTCTGTTTTTCCTTTCTGCCACCCCGTTTTGCTGAGGAGTTAGAGCTGCTGTCAACTGTCTCTTGATTCCAGTTTCATCACAAAGAGCCTGGAATTCATTTAACAAGAACTCTCCTCCCCTGTCTGTTCTGAGACACATAATTGGTAAACCAGTCTCCTTTTCAACCTGTGCCTTGAACTTCTTAAACCAATCCAAAGCCTCAGATTTAGCTGCTAGGAAGTAAGCCCACAGCTTCCTACTGAAATCATCAATTATGGTAAGAATATACCTTCTTCCCCCATTTGAAATGGGTGTGATGGGTCCACAGAGATCTGCATGGAGCAACTGAAGTTTCTGTGTGGCCCTCCACTGGCTGTGCTTTGGAAAGGCCTGCCTGGTTTGCTTGCCCACTTGGCATGTAGAACAAACTCCAACCTTCCCCTTCAGCTGAGGTATGCCTGTGATGAACCCCTTCTGTGTCACTTGTAGTAGACCCTGAGGATTCAAATGACCAAACCTCCTGTGCCATAGGCTCAAGGAGGTCTTCGAGGTATCTTCAGTTTGAATCCAATGAGCTTCAGTCTTGCCTGACTCATCTTTCAAGACAAACATTCTGTTTGATCTCATTGTGGTTTCTAGCAGAAACCCTCTTTCTTCATGATAGATTCTGCAAGTGTTCCTCTTTACCATGAACTCCAGCCCCTTCTCCTGCAGTTGGCCCATACTCAGTAGATTGGTTTTTAATCCAGGTACATAGAACACATTATGTACAACAAGATTCACACTTCCCAGCTGCAACTTGACTTTGCCTTGCCCAGCAACATCCAATCTAGTATCATTTCCCAGCCTAATCTTTCCAGCTTGAGTAGCTTCAAGAGATTCAAACCATCTCTTATCTCCAGACATATGATTACTACAACCAGAATCCAGAAACCAATAATTGTCCATTGCTTCTGCTAGAGGTTCTTCCAGAAAAGCCATTAGCAGAACATCATCAGGAAGAGCATTTCTGTCACTTTTGTCACTGGAATAGGCTTGAGAATAGTGAGCTTGCTGATTTGTGTACCAGTCAGGGCATTCACTGCGATAATGACCCATCTTGTGACATTTGAAGCATTCAACATGCTCTCTATTCCAGCCTCTTCCTCCTCGCCCTCTTCCCCTTCCTTGCCACACACCAGCTCTGCCTGCTCCTCTTCCACCTCTACCTCCACCTTCATATGCCATTTTCAGTGCCTGATCTTCCTCCAAAACAGACTTCCTATGAAACTTCTGCTCATGAACAAGTAAGGAACTCTGCAGGGCATCAACAGAAAGGGTCTCTATGTCCTTAGACTCCTCTATGGAGCATACAACATAGTTGAACCGTTCAGTCAATGTCCTCAAGATCTTCTCTACAATCTTAACATCAGGCATCTCCTCTCCACAATTCCTCATGTCATTAGCCACTACCATAACACGACTGAAGTAGGCAGAAATAGACTCACCCTCCTTCATTTCAAGAACTTCAAAAGTTCTCCTTAAAGCCTGCAACTGAGCCTTCTGGACACGAGCACTCCCTTGGTATTTTGTCTTCATAGCATCCCAGAGTTGTTTGGAGGTAGCTTTGTTTGTGATTGTCTTCAGGATGGACTTGTCGATGGAGCTGAACAAGTAATTTTTGGCCTTGAGATCTTTCAGCCTGAGTTCATCCAGGTTCTTGGATTCCACAGCAGACAGTTGAACCCCAGCAGGATGCTCAGGGATTCCCTCACTGACCACTGACCAATACTCCTTGGATCGTAGGAGATTTTCCATAAGCAGGCTCCAGTGATCGAAATCACCATCAAACTTTGGCAACCCCACTTGAGCAAAGCCATTGTTATCACTCATGTTTTACAGATCACACACAACTCACAGCACTCAGAAATCACACACCCTTAAAACACCTCACCAGAGAACTCTCGTGTTTCCCAAACCCAGATCTTGCACTGCACTCTCACTTTCCTTAATCAATCACTCAGAATCTTTGCTTGAAAGCAACAATGGTTACAGCTTGCTAATGCTCTGATACCAAATGTAGAACACTGTAAATTGCAATCTGACGAGTCTTTTATTGAATGAAAGCCAAATACTTATACTTGTCAGTGCAAACCACAAGATTGGTTGCTCCCAACGTTCACTAACCGAGAATCAAGCTAAACACAAACCAGCTAACAACCTTACTCGCAGAAGACTCTCAACAGACTAACAACTCTTGACTGGACTAAAAATAACAAAACACAAAGTAAAGGACCAGCATGGTAATAAAGCAAACGACGCAGTATTGCTCAAACTTGCAGCAGTAGTAATTTGAACAGCTTCCATTGGCGCGCTTCCTAATCCTTGTGAGACAGGGATTCCTTCTTCAACAGATAATCAACCAAATTACCGTTAAAAAAATTAAGTTTAAGTAATAAAGTAGCTAGATACTAAACTGAAACCAGGGGCAGGGAGTACGTAACACCATCGTTGATCGTTCACTCAAATATAAGATGATGTAGCTAGGTTCGTTGAATCAGCCTATACCTGAGCAAAAGCAGGTGCTTTTCTTCGGAGTTTAGTCATCAATAGACTCAACGTAAACACATGTAATGTACACTATTTTATATTGGAATAATAAAATGGAATCATGACCAGGTGGATTCTAATTCTAATTAATCATATACTACACAATACGTAGCTAGTAGCTTAATTATTTGTCACTCTTATTTCAGACAGATGTTAGCCATCTCTGCAGTCCATAACTTCCCTCCCATGTGCAAAGGGACATGGCCGCACGAGGTGGGAGTCATAGATTGTCTCTTAATTATAATTTCGTCAACTCCAGGTGCATGGTCGAGAGTGGCAACATTACACGAATTCAGTCTGTATTTTTGGACATCGAAACTGAACACATTCAACGACCATAACATTATTTCAATATTTACACTAATAGAGTCGATGCTCGACAAGTTGGGGGGTTTTCATAGTTCTTATAATGACATGGTTTCATATCAAGTTAGTCTACTTGAGTAAATCTTATGAGCTCGGGAACTGCGAGTCGCTTGCAGAAGGAAATTATTGTTGTTGTTTTCGAATAAACAATACCGCATGGCAAATTTTTAGTAACGAAAATGATTATGATTTTAAACCCGTTATTTGAAAACACGATATATACGAAAACACGAGTATCAATCATACTTGCCCCATAATGAATGAATGTGGATTGTGGAGTCACTCAGCCACACATACCTACTAGATAATCATAAATTCATAATATATAAAGTTACGTTGTTGTTGGTTGTTTCCCTTTCTCCAAAACTAAAGCAAATCTCAATACATTGAAACCCTCGACCTACCAAACACTTCAATGGGGTCCGTCCGGTGCATGCACTAGTACTACTACTACCTTTCTTCTTTTTAATTTACACTATACATATTAATGATAATGATGCGTGTTTTTTATTGTCTTTATTCCTTCACATAAAAAAAAAAAGTGTTACTCCTTTTCTTTATTTTTGTGATATCATTTTGAGCTTGCTGTTTGATGGTTTTCAGCCAAAACAATGAGTTATATGGAAAATTAAGAGGTTAAATGAAGTAATCAGAATTTTAATAATATTCATAGTACCCCTACTTTTATTATCAGGTAGATACAAGTCCGTATTATATACCACAACTAATTATGCGTACGTACGGTATATATTTTCACTAACTATATATGCTAAATAGCACCCAACAGTAGATATAATGGAAAATTGAAAACATTATCTCGACTTAATTAACCACTTATGACCGAGTGTGAACTAAGCTTTATTGATTTTCTTTACATACATGATAATTATATGGGTAGATATAATTAAGATTTCCAATTAAGCTCGAGTTACCTAGCATTGGGAGACAAGAATACTGAGCACTTCTAAAGATTTTGTTATGGAGATTCGGGGCCTTCTTTCGGTAGCAACGGCACTTAGTCCGGCCTCCTGCCTCCTCTTAGCTCCAATTTACGGCCTGTTTGGATACAATTTCGAAAGAAATGGAAATGAAATTTTATAAAAATAAAATTTCATTTCCAATTCCAGTGTTTTGTATAATTTCTACAACTATGAAAATCAATTTCACCTTTAACCATAATAAATAATGTAATATGTTTGTTTTATTTTGGAAAATGAAATATGAATGAGAGAGAAAGAGAGTAAAATGATAGTGAGTCAATAAAATAATAAAAAATATTGATGTGTCACACTAATTCCATCTTCATTCACTCAATTCCTATCACTTTTGATAGGAATTGTAATTCCCAAATTTTAGACCCAATGAAATTCAATTCTCAATCTTTATATTATTCCAAACATAATATATGGAAATGGAATTCCAATTCCTTACTTTTTTGTCAATCCAAAAAAGCTGTAATAAGCCTAGCTCAGATTCTCCATCCACTGGCTAGTAAGTGGAGCAGATCAAAATACTCAATAACAACTGGATATTTAAAGGGCGCTAATAACTAACCATGCAATATTGATAGAGTTTATCGTTAGAGGCGAGAAATTACAATTAACAAAACGGAAAATTATTTTCTAGCTAGTGTATCATTACAGCCATAACGCACATGAATAAACCATAGAAATAAGAGCAAACTTGCAATTGATATTGCTCTATGTAACATATCTTTTTTTTAATCGGTATCGAACCTTAATCTTATTTGTTGCCACGATACTTGCCCAAAAAAATACGATGGCTACCCGTCGAAGTTGTGGGCCTTTCTCATTCATTGATCTTCAATTGAAATACAAGTCCCTTTTATATAGGATAAAAATTCTACTTTTATTTTATGGTTGCTTTCTTTGATGTTGGAAATAAGGTGTTTTTCTTTCAACCCAAGTTTGACCCTCATAATATTGAAACTTATCATAAATGATAAAGGTGTGATAAAAAGTGTGATAAAAAGTCTTATAATTTATAGTTGAACTGTTCAAAGAAACCATTCATAGAGATAGATATGAATGGTTGGCACATTTTGTCCTCAGTTGACCCAAAGCTTCCACGGAAGGAACTAGGAACTAGGGTTACAATTCTCAGCGTTATAGTTCAACAAATGAAAGACAATGTAATAGAGAGCCTAAAGTCCTAAACAGAGCTCTTTTTTTCTTCTTCTATGCCTTTAGTTCCTGCAGCAGCGCATTCATAGAAAAATGGGGGAAATATAATCAAATATAATTACATGTATACGCTAGAACAAAATTTTTATTACACAAATCACATGCATGCATTTGTATTGTTTTGGATGAACCCACGAAACCTTAGAACTAAATTTAATTATTCTCTAATCGACATTAATTATTATATCATAGAATTTATACACGTATTGTGACACCAAATTAAATACTAATGATCTATATATCCTGGTCAATGAACTCTTGCTTCTCAACTCGACTCTGTTACACAAAATTAATAAATTCCTTTTTATATAGGAAAAAAATAAGAACAAGGCCCAAACTCCATTTTGCTTCTTCATAAAAATATGGTTATAAGTATTTTAATTTGAACACATCATCTTGATAGGGAAAGGGTGGGAATCTGACGGCTGTGATCCCAAATCTACAGAATTTGCAGTTTATGAACTCCTTGACATCCAAATTCTTAAGCATATATTATATAATATATACGACAATTATTAATCAATGATTTGTTAAATGCGGTTAAATTAGAGCATATATTGTGATGTTTATGCATATGATAAAGGGACGAGTAAATAGGAGCCTAGAGTTTTGGTTACTCGATATCTCAAAGTCGAAATCTTAGTTTTATCCTCAAATTTGGACTTTCTTTCTCCTACATTATGGGCTAATTAGGCTATGCAACTATGGCGACGGTGGGAACTAAATTCCAGAGTTTGTCCTCACGTGCATGGCTGGATACGAGAAAGGAGACCATTTCAATGGATTTAGCACGAGGAAGAAAGCCGCAATTTCTATCCACATTGTTGCAATTTTGGTCTATGGATGGATCGATACTGAGCTAGCCTTCTTCTGTGGACAGGCATGGCAGTACGCGCGTATTCGGTTTCAGATGCACATGAAATGAAATTATAGCTTGTTAATCATTTTAGTTTTATCTACATCGAATCGAATGGATTTTAAGTTTTAATTGGAACTGTTTAGTTTTTAATCATATGAATAAAATGGTTTCCTGTTGAAGGTTTATAGAAAGTCAAAAAGCTCAGAGAATGCACATCTAGCTTGTTCGTTTTGGTTAGTTATTGTGTATTTTGTTGAAAGAAAACAACTACTTTTTCTCGTTTATTATGGATTGGACCGTTTTGATCATTCATAATGATTAATGCATGTTTTTTTTTACATATGTAAGTGTGGATTGAATATACACAAATTTTAACATTAAGGTGGCTATTATAGTCTTTGATGTGGCCGTGAAGACATTTATACCAATTAGGGATGACAATTTCGACCTGATCCGTTTTACCCGACATGTTTGGCCTGTTTTGAGGCGGGGCGGGCATGGGTACTCTCATTGACCCGACCTGCCCTGACCCGCCTCATTCTCGACCCGTTGCCTAATTTACATGTAATCTTAGTCAAATTACTTATAATTTTTATTTTACTACATCACAATTTAATTATTTTAAAGTTGCAAATTAGTGAAAATCTCAATTTCTCTAATAATTTAACTACATTTATCATAATATTGTTTGTTTTCTTGGTCTTATAATAAAAATAACGAATATTTCTAATATTTTTCATATAAATTGGATACCCATTGGGTAGACCTACCCCGACCTGCGACTCGTGATAAATTACCCGACCTGCCACGAGGCGAGTCTGGGTACCAAAACACCCGCCCCGGACCTGCCCCATTGACATTCCTAATACCTATGATTGAATCACTCATAATGAAAATTCTCAATCGCTTTAATGTCGTCGTATTTATGTACCTTCGACACTGCCGCTAACAAGTTTCATTAAGCCGCAAAACCCCCCATATGCTTAATAGTAATAGAACACAAACTTGGTTGAAATCATCCCTATATATTCACAATATATAATCTCAAATAAATTAGTACGTTGCTAGCTAGTGCTGAACATTTTCCATTGTGTCGTAATCCATTACATAATGTTTAATTTGACTAATCGTACTTAGTACTCACTATACCTACCCATGAGATCAGGAGAAAAAATAATGCTACTGTACATAAGGTTCATATACCTTTCTATCTCAGTAGCTTGCTCGCACCTTCCTATGGTTCATTGTTCATTATGACTCATTCCATTTGACCTCAGAAAATCAAAGATTAGTGAAGTTATATTAGTATTATTACACGTTAAGAAGAAGGAAAAAAAGGATAATTAGTAAACGTTAATCGCTTTTGTCGGGTTGCGGTGAAGTAAACAATGAAGCTTTATTCAATCACTATAATCGAGGGAGGGAGCGGGCCGGACGCAGCGTCGGTACAGTGAATATCCGTCGTTTCTTGGAAAAATCCGACCCGACCGCTCCCTGCAAACCAGTTTTTGCTTCCAGAACCACGTGGCGTGCGTGTTCTCATTACATGATGCCCCCACCTCCAACGGACAAACTCTAATTAGTAACTTCATGTCAATATTAATGTTCGTTTATACCAAGTAATAAAGTATGAATCAAATCAAGGATAAGTTCGTCCCTTCCGAATATGTGATTAGAAAATTATCTCGAAGATATTTGAGGGATGATTTAGAGGGGAAATAAAGAAGTGAGAAATAAAAATCGATTGGAAGTTGAAACCAAAAGAGATGAGTGTACGTGGAGAAGGATGATTTAGAGGGATTTGATGGGTTTGTATATAGTGGGTTTGGTTAAAAGTGAGCCCGATTAATTTTGAAAAAAGTAACTAATCATCAAAACAATTTTTCCCCCTATACAATCATGAACATATTTGATTGATTACCAAGCACTATGAACTTGGCAATTGGCATCTTAAAAAAAAATCGGCTATAAATTGAGTGGTATTGTGTTTGAGTTTGAAAGAAATCATAATTGTTCTGATTATAATTGAGTGTAGATGATATGCGATCTGTTTGAACGAATCTTAGGATTATGTTGATATGTGAATAGGACTAGATTATCTAGTTGTAGTTGTTAGGGATAAATTAGTAACTATAGCATTAAGAGAATATGTAACATGATGGATAGGATATATATGAGTTATAAATTGAATTGTAGTAAATTTGTGGAGTACTAATAAAAAAAAATTATATGGTGATCCCGTTTAAACCGAATTAAATAATTTGCTTGTAAAACCAAACCAAATCAAATATCGCAATTTGTATTAAACAAAACTCCTCCATGTAATTAAAAAAAAGGGGAGGGGGGGGGGGGGGGGGGGGGGGAAAGGAAGCAGAATTTGATCAAGCAGTGCCTGCTTGGCTGCTTCTGAAAGACGAAACAAACGGCCGTCAAAAAATCATCACGGAACTGAACGCGGCCAGTCAGCGACGTTTCGTTTCGATGGGTCGGTCAAAGTTTTCTATATAAGCCAGCGGCTACTGCTCACAACCGCTCTCCCCTTCCCTTCCTGTCTCTCTCTCTCTCTCTCAACTGCTACGTCGTCGTCTCTAGTCGGAGAAAGATCAGTTAAAAAGAGGGAAAAAATCCGTTGGAGAAACCTCCGGCGAGAAGGTCGGAATCCCCCGGTCGCCGCCGACGTTTTCGGATTTAATCCAACCCAAGGCAACAAATCGGGGGCTTTTACCGATTCATCCTCGTTGGCTTTTTTAAGCTCATCTTCTTCCCGACTTTCGCCCTTGGTTCTTCCCCCTTCGGTAAGAATCCGCAGTCTGTTTTGCTCCCTCGTTTATCCCTTTTTTCCCCGGTAAAGCTAGTTTTTCTGAACTAGGAGCTTCTTCGGTCGCCTTACTTAAAGGAAAAAACAAAAGGGGGAAAAACCCAACAAAAACCACTTCGTGATTCAGCAAATCAATTTCCCTCTGTAAATGAGTCAAGGGTGACGGACCCAGAAGCTTGAAACCTTTCAGTTGTGAAGTTTCAGCTTCTGGGTTTGGTCGTTTCTTCAATCGACGGACAACCCAATTCCCCAATTTCTTAGTTTCTCATCAGTTCCCGAAAACAGTAGAATTCTTCAAATTCACCCCACGCCTTTTCTGTAATTTTTCTTTTTGTTCATCACCACCTTGAAGATTGTGAATAGTCAGCCAAAAAAAAAAGTTGGGGGGAAAATAAAATAATGTCAGTCGTCGATGCGTCATTGAGCTCCGGCAGAGAAGGAGCGGTGAGGTTTACCGGTTGCGGAGGTAATCATCACAACAGCTGCGGCTCCTTGCTGGAGGACTCCTCCATCCTCATCTTCCTCAGCGCAGCGGATTCGTTCATCCCAATGCGGGTCCTGGAATCCGACTCCATCGCCTCGGTCAAACTCCGGATCCAAAACTCCAAAGGCTTCGTCGTTAAGAAGCAGAAACTTGTCTTCGGCGGTAGAGAGCTCTCCCGGAGCGCCGATCTGGTCAAGGACTACGGAATCACCACCGGCAACGTCCTCCACTTGGTCCTCAAGCTCTCCGACCTCCTCCTCGTCACCGTCCGCACCACCTGCGGCAAGGAATTCGAATTCCGCGTCGACCGGTACCGAAACGTCGGATACCTAAAACACCGCATCTTCCAAGAGGGCAAGGGTTTCGTCGACGTCGACGAGCAGGAAATCTTCTACAACGGTCAGAGGCTCGATGACCAGCGCCTCATCGACGAGATCCGCGACACCAGAGCCGCAGACGCCGCCGCGATTCACCTCCTCGTCCAGAAAACCGCCAAGGTCAGAGCCCAGCCGCTGAACAGAGATTTCGAGATCTCCATCGCCGCCGCAACAAACCCTAATCAAAATCAGAACCAGAAGCAGAATCAGGAGTCGTCGATTGAGGCGCCAAATCAGGAGCAAGCTGGTAGGGATTTCTGGCTAGAACCCGTGATCGTAAACCCTAGCGTGAGATTAGATTCAGCGATTTGGAACATGGTGAATTCAACCTTTGTCGGGTTGGAAATGGGTCACCCGCCGATCCGTTCGTCGGAAGGAACAGGCGGGACTTATTTCATGAGGAACCCATCAGGGCAAGGGTTCGTATCCGTGTTCAAGCCCAGCGACGAGGAGCCTAATGCGGTGAACAACCCGCAGGGACTGCCGGTGTCGACCAACGGGGAAGGGTTGAAAAGAGGGACAAGGGTAGGGGAAGGTGCGATTAGAGAAGTTGCCGCTTACATATTGGATCATCCCATTGACGGACCGAGGGGTCTGAACAATGAGGTGATGGGGTTTGCAGGTGTGCCGCCCACCATTGTTGTTCAGTGTTTGCACAAAGGGTTTCATCATCCTGAAGGGTTCGAGTACTCGGCCAAGAATGTGAAGATCGGGTCGTTGCAGATGTTCATGAAGAATGAAGGGAGCTGTGAGGATGTTGGTCCAGGTCGGTTCCCTGTGGAGGAAGTGCATAAGATCACTGTGCTGGATGTGAGAATGGCCAATGCTGATAGGCATGCTGGCAACATTTTGATCGGCAAAGGAGAAGGAGACGATGGTGATGGTGGGAACAACACTGTGTTGATTCCCATTGATCATGGCTATTGCTTGCCTGAAACTGTAAGTCTTTTCTTTCATATGATCTCTTAGTCATGTACATTTAGCCATGAATTCTAAAGTTACTAAATGGTTTTTTGGGTTTGTGTTGGTGAAATGCAGTTTGAAGATTGCACATTCGATTGGCTATACTGGCCACAAGCAAAGCAACCCTACTCTCCAAAGGTGATCGACTACATAAACTCACTGGACGCCGAATTCGACCTCGCCCTCCTGCAGTTCCACGGCTGGAACATCCCGCCTCAGTGCGCACGAACCCTTCGAATCTCGACCATGCTCCTGAAGAAAGGAGTCGAGAAAGGTCTGACCCCTTTCGACATCGGGAGCATCATGTGCAGGCAGACCGTGCACAAGGAATCGGTGATCGAGGAGATCGTTCGCGAGGCAGAGGATTGCTTGATACCCGGGATGAGCGAAGCTGCATTCCTGGAAACCGTGTCTGAGATCATGGACTCCAGGCTTAGCAAGTTCAACAAATAACACAATGGGTGGCGGTGGTCTTATCTGTTCTATCTTATCTGTTCTATCTTATCAATATCAATCAGGTATATATGAATGGAAGCTTTTCTTTGTTGTATGATTTGGAAGGAATAGAAACCATATATGAGTTTCTTTTCACTTGAAGAAGTCCATTTTGAGTTTGGACTCCATTGAAAGGAAAAAAGAGAAATTTATCTACCAGTACCAGTACCAGTACCAGATATAATATGTTAGATGTGGTTGTTAAAGATAAATCCTGTGTGTGAGGCAGATGAAGAAGCTATACAAAGAATAGTCTCTCTGCAGTTTTTTCAGCCAATTTCCTTGGAGGGTAAAATTGTACTATTGAGATGAGGTGAGCAGAAGCTTAAAAATGGAGAGAGTGAGAGAGAAAGGAATGAATAACATGCAGTAGTTGCGTTATCTGCTCGGTTTTTTGTTTCTATGAGAAGGGAAATGGTTGGATTTGTATATGTGATTATTGTTATTGATGTTTCTTATGGTAACGTGGGTTTTTAGGGCCAATACATGGATTTGTAGGGGAAGAAGATTATTGCCCCGCCAGGCTCCAGGTGAGGAGTAGGCTATTTCAAGGGTGGAGTACCACTCAGATGAAGCTGTAATCTTTAAATCACAATGTTATGCAAATAAATAAGAACACCGTTAACCAACACTATCCACATCAGTATATTTTTACTTTTTATTTAAATAAAAAACAATAAAAGAAATAATAATAGCCAAACTTGTGACGCAGATACGGATAATCATCACCACCAATCAAAGTCCATCACCGCCATCTTTCCTACACTTCAATTAGCCACCTATGATCCAAGTTAGCACAATATTCACCTGCTCATTGTCATTTCACGAAATTATTGACGAAGACTTAACAGTTGATTAATTATTAAAATTTGAAAGGTTTGACTATTATTTTGGAATAGTGAACAGATTCGGCTAAAAAATAGTATTTACCCTTAAAAAAATTCACTATATATATCGTAAAGGGATGACTCAAGTGATAAGATATGAAGTTGATACGATTCTTATGACCAACCATTATGATAAAAATTATTTGGTGATAACGTATAAAATTGTAAACTTGAATTATCTATTGCAATAAATTTGTTGAGTATTCATAAATAAAAATTTAAATAGTCTTTTATCCACAACTTTTATTGTCATTATAATATTATATTATACATGTAACCTAAGGGGTCGTTTGGATGGGTCTTTTTCAAAATGAGACAATTTGGAACAAAAGACTCATTTATTAAAACGAGTCAATTAGTTGAGGAAATTTGCACAAAATGTCTCGTTTGGACGGGATAATGAGATGAGACAATGTGGGTGAGTCCTTTCAGCTAATTACCAATTTACCCTTTACTCACACACAAACAACAGACCACCTTCTTCCTCGCCCTCTACTTTCCCTGCAATTTCCCTTATTCGCAGCCTCAAATCTCACACACTTCTCCGACGAACCAAATTCTCATTTCCAGGCTACACATGCATCTCCAATTGTCGAATGTATCCTCAGACAAAAATCATGCAAGGCCTTGATTGGATCAAGCTAGGGATTTTAATTTTGGAATTTTGAGATATAGGTTTGGAATATCGGCTCCGACCTCCGACATTTGCTCCTTCTTATGCAAGCTGCCTCGGCCATACAAGAAAGAGGAATCGATTTGGGAAATAATCAAGCTAGGGATTTTAATTCTTGGGAGAGGACCAATTTTGGGAGAGGGTCGATTTGGGAGAGGGTCGCGAGGAGGATGAGGGATACGCCACTTTTTCCTTGAACGGTAGCGGTGTTGAAGGCTTAGGGGCTTGATGGACAACGACTCAACGAGCATGCTGTGCATAAACTTGAATGGTGATTTGTTGTTTCTTCTTTTTCTCCTTCTCTTCGAACCCACATGCAATGAACCAATTTCGCTCTCCATCTATTTGTCGCCGCTTTGGTAACCTCTCAACTGTGCTCGTCGTTGGTGAGCTTACCCTCGACAATGAGCTTCCATTTATTTTGTTCCTCTGTTTTGCTAGAGAGGGCAAAGCGATAAGAATAGAAGAGAGAGAAATGGGAAAGAGAAAGGGAAAGGAAAGAAAGGGGCTAGGAAAGAGAAAGAGAAAGAGGGTCAGATTAGGAAGGTAAAGTTAAAAAACGAGACAATTTCAATTTCCTGCCCCCACCCAGGTAATCTCAATTGACCCATAACGAAACATTGTAGATTTCCCCATGTCTAATTGCTTCGATTACCTTTTTCTCTGCCAAATGGGGGAATTGGGTCACATTGCTTCATTTTGAAGCAATTGAGCCACATTGCTTCACTAGAAATACCCATCCAAACGACCCCTAAGTTTGTGGGTTAGTGGATGGATCAATTTAAGCAATAATGGGAGTCCTGGTTTCTCAATTATTATTATTATACATTTGAAAGCAAAACAAAAAACAATTCATGAGGTCTTGGTTCCTCCGAGCTATTACCCACAACGAGGCAAAGAGTCAAAAGATGACGGCTATAACGTCGAACGTCCGACCCATTCGCAATATTTTTTCCGGATCGTGATCCGGGTACCGAAAGCCCGATATTCATGTCAACAAGCCCGCAATAATGACTTCTCACTTCGGTGAGGCCCAAGTCACTTCACGGTCCAGTATTGGTGCCGTAATCTGTTTGGCCCAATGTACATTGAAATCCGGCTACACGGTTCTAATATGTAACTTTTTTTTTGGGGGGGTTAACAATTGAAGACGTTCCAGGGTAAATCCACAATCATGACTTGCAACGCGCGATCAATTGTTATTATCAACTGAATTAGAACGTCCTGAATCCTAAACTCAATAGGGGTTCAATTCGAGATTGGTTGGATTTGATTTTATTTGTGATTTGCCAGTTCAACCAAAATGAGCAAAGAACAAGATTACAAGAGCAGGTTATATTGTGATATCTGTTGAGGCCGGTCTCTCGTTGCTGTAGATGACAGCTCATACTTATCTCAGCCATCTCCTGCCAAACTTCTCTTCATGGCCCATATCTGGCCAACAATTTAATCACCAAGCAAGCAAGCCAAATTCAAGAGAAGCCCTCTATTCAAATCTTGTTAACGTCATGTAAAAAGCGGAGATATCGGCCTACGCTGTAATTTTTTTTTTTTTACAGGAATACAGGATACATCTTGGTTGGGTGTAACATTTTTATTCATTCAACAAACACGGCGGCGTAAACAAATGACATGGATACCAATTAAACTAAGGGATACATGACTGGATAAACAAGAACTTATATACACAATGTAGTATCATGATTCATGAATCAATTTGAGTATTCTCTAATTACAACCATCCAAACCCGCACCCAACTACAAGGCTTTGATTTTCGAAAATTGAACTATAAAATAACAGTTACAAATAGATGAATGTAGATTGAACCAGTTTTCAATTTGTCTTATTCACCCTTACAAGTGGGCATCATTGATTCAACTTCACAAGTTGGGGTTTCACACTTATGAGCAAGTAGCCAAACAAACTACAAAAGCAACACCCACACCTTATTAAACCTTGTAGAGGTTCCCTAAAAAGTTAGCAAAAAACAAGACCAAACCAAAATAGTCCTCCTTTCACACTTCAGTAGGTCATTTCATTCCTCCATTTCCACTTCCTTCCTTACTCCTTTCACTTTCCAAAACACTCTCCCAATTATACCCACTACCACTTTTCCCCCATTCCCTTTCCTCACTCCTTCCCCTTCTCCACAAGAACACAGAATCCAATCCACACACAGAGCTAGAGAGCTGAAGGTTGGAAAACAGAGGAATCAATTAAGATGGGCAAACACAACCACCAGAGGCCGTCACAGTCCGGCCGGACGAATCTGGCATCCTGCATCGTCGCCACAATCTTCCTAATCTTCCTCGTCATCATCCTCCTCATCGTCTTCTTCACCGTCTTCAAGCCCAAGGACCCCAAGATCTCCGTCAACGCCGTCCAGCTCCCCTCCTTCTCCATCTCCAACAACACCGTCAATTTCACCATCACCCAGTACGTCTCCCTCACCAACCCAAATCGGGCCTCCTTCTCCCACTACGACAGCACCCTCCAGCTCGTCTACGCCGGGTCCCAGGTCGGGTTCATGTTCATACCCGCGGGCAAAATCGAGTCGGGTCGGACCCAGAACATGGTCGCCTCCTTCTCCGTCCAGTCCTTCCCGCTCTCGTCGAACCCGGAAGCCGCCGTCAATTTAGGAGGCGCTGCGGTTTTCCCCGGAGTCGGCGTCGGTGGCGGGTTCCCTGCTGTTGGGGTCGGGCCGGGCGGCGGAGCCGGGTACAGGGTCGGGCCGACGATGGAGATCGAGTCGATGATTCGGATGGCGGGTCGGGTCAGGGTGCTCCACTTCTTCACCCACCACGTGGAGGGTAAGGCGGCGTGCCGGGTCGCCATTTCTGTTACTGATGGATCTGTGCTTGGCTTCCATTGCTAGCTAGAAGTAGCAGCTTTTATTTCTTCTCCCCCCTTGATTTTGGTTGGTAGATCGATCTCCTTAGCTAGGCAGTAGTAGTGTTTTCCCCTCTTTTCTTGATCTGTGTACCAATTTTTTTTGGTGAAATTGTAAAAAGAAGACAAGAGATATTTTTACCTTGCCAAAGTTTTTGGTTATTGGTCCTTGTGCGTTTGTGTTAATTTTTTTTTTAATCTTTTGGTCCAAGTTTGGGTATTTTGGCAATGTGGTCACATTCTAATTGGTGAGGTAAAAATGAGATGCTCAGGTAAAAACTTAAGAGGTGATTCACCAACGGAAGTAACAGAGCTCTGATTCTTTTTTTTTTTTTTTACCAAGTTTTATGGTTTTGGAGCTCTCCCTTCTACTAGTTCCTTTGATTTGGGCTTTATTTCTGGCTCTTTTTGGTCGACCAATTAGATAATGTTGGGGGGACTTCTGTTAAAAAAGAGGGAGTGGTGTGGTAAAGGAAAAGGAGATGTATTGATTGTGGTCTAAGTAAAGGGTTCGATGCCATTATTGCAACAATCAATAAAGTTGCTTTCTTTCCACTTCAAAAATATCACAATTCACACAATAACAGTCACAGAGCTCATACGGACAGTGAGAAAATATTTACGGTTTTTTCATGAACTATGAGTTTCTTCCGTATTTTGTTGACTTCAAATTTATCTAAAATGTTATGGATATTACACTATGAGTAAATATTTTTTTTTTTTTAACCGAAGGTAAGCAGAGGCAGTGAGAAAGTGAGTGCTAGCTATAACAAATGAGCTGTCTCTGCCACCTCCCATTGTGGACTTTCGATTTTTACCACTTGACATGGCGGGACCCACCGCCCGACCATTTTTGGGACACCGCACCGGTTACGAAATTACAGGCGTGGCAGAGAGAGCAGTTCAGGAATCCTGGCTCCGGCAAAGGCCCGATATTTGTTGAATCATGGCTCCACCATCCTAGGGATTCGAGCTCTCTTGTCCTTCCTTCCTTCCATTACCCCATTTTCTAATGACTGTTCAAAATATCATTAAATGCAGATGATGACAATTATTTACAAAGCCACTAAACAGCTGACTAACTTCAACAATTCATTTGATCCCAGAACCTGCGATTCTACAACAGTAGCAAAAACCCAAAACCATTTTCACACTGCTAACCAAATTGAAAATGGAGGGAATTGTATAGGAACCATGCAAATCGCTTTCTACACAGAATGACAGTTTCGCAACACAACCATCAGAATCAGACCATACAAATCCAGTTTCTTTGGAGCTCCAAATCCAAACAACACATATGCACAATGGATGATCAGATTAAATATGGGCAAGAAAAGGAAAATGAATCAATGAAAGAATCAAATGTGACGCAAATTCTGCCAGACACAACCAACAAGTCTAGGTGTACTTGTAAATGTTGGATTGCAGCTGCAAATCCGGCCTCCACCACTGATGAATCCCATGAGCTTCCTTGAAATCCTGCGCAGGGCTCAAGTTCACAGCCAGCACTGCCGACGGGATAAGGTGCAACGCCTCCGAATCCCTCCCCATTGCACTCATCAGCAGCCCGCCCAGCGAGTTCTGAGTCGCCAGCTTCTCAATCGCTCCAATCCCAATCTCGTCCATCTTCTTCCTATGCTCGAAGTACCCCACGTACTCCGAGCATATCGGGTCCCCTGGATTGACAAACACACAGGGGACCCACGACGAGAGAGCTGCAAAGGGATCAGTAGCCACAGATCGACTGTCTGCTTGCTGGTTGTTGTAGTTCCTCTTGGAAGCGAATGCGAGGCCTGCAGTGATCACGCTGCTGGCGATCCGAATCCCATGCTTCACTCGCTTGTCCTTGATCCTCTCGATGGGGGCAGAGAGGAATGGCGAGTTGAAGAGGAATGCCGGGACGAAAGTTCCATTCTTGGCCATTGTTTTCCCTGCCAGCATTGCCATGGCTGCTCCTAGGGAGTGTCCAGCCAGCCAGACATTGGAGTCCCCTACGGAAGCCACCATGTTACGTACTGCTTGGATTGCTATCTCGAACCGGGATGTCTCGTGGAGCCCATTTCTGATGATGTGGAGGTCAAGCTCGACGTCTCGTGCGAAAGATTCAGCCTTGGTTAGGGTTCCCCGGAAGGCGATCACATAACGTGGGCTTGCATCGAGGGACTGGTGGCCATGAGGCGTTGGTGGCCTGTACTCGTAGATGGCGCCGAAGGTGCAGTGATCAGCATCGTCTACCAGCTGCCGGAGCAACTTGAAGTGGAAAAACTCCCACCACGGTGGTGCAAGGGCGATTGGATGTTCACGTTTGAGCTGGCGGTCTCGCTCTAGAATGTAGACGCCTTGGACTAAACTGGCTGCGACGGATCTTCGATGGTGTGCATTAGACCTGCCATATTCATCGAAGAGCTTGTGAACATGGCAATAGACTGAACATCTTCATTTACATTCGTTTTTTTTTTTGGTTTATCGAAAGGATAATGGGGAAAGTTAAGGCTTACCAATCAACAAAAGTTAAGTGCAAGGGTCCTGAGAGGTTGAAATGTTCCCTCTCAGACTCCATGCTAGCATGTGTGCCTTCTGCGATCTCTAGGACCTAAACAATGCGCTACTGGTGCATTCAAGAACAGAACAATTGATTAGCAATTGGTTTTATGGTTGACAACCAAGCTCCCACAATCAAATGCCACTTAAACTGGAAAAGATAATTTGAAGCAAGCCATTCACTTGATTACTCGGATATCATCTAAAAATTAAAGCAGCATATCTCATTTTAAGGTTTCCCAGTTCATAAATCATTTCCAACTCCCATCACTAGGGAAATCCTCAATCATCATAGCTAAGAACTAACAATAAGTTGGATATTGGTCTGAGGATTTCCCATTACACCAAAAAGAAAAGAGACTCGAGTTGAGCACAGCATTGTTCAGAGGTCAATTAAGAACCCTCTGAACAAAACCAACCAAATCCATTTCATAGCAAGGCCAGAAACCCCTCAACACCAGGCGAAACTTCCCTGCTTCTTACAATGGATTTGTATAAGAACCGCAGGCTTGCAAGTAGTCTGCAAGGAAATCACAATCATTTTAAGGGGACATAACCTAATTAAGAGGGTTCATGAACATGCATCTCCGGCCTAGCAACCAGTTGTAATCCGTAAAGTTTCCACCTTTACAAAAGTGGAAGCTGAACCAAATATTTCCCTCTCCAATTCGCGTGCATTCGAACCGACTAACGTTTTCCATATACATCCCCTGCGACAATTCATATTCCAGGGAAGACCACCCAGAGACTAGAGCTAAAAGCCTAGAACCGACAGGGGAAAAAGGCGAACCCAATTCACCGAAATGGAAAGAGTAAAATCCAGATTCGCATAAATCTTACGAGAGAGGGGGAGATGGATTCAGAGAAGAAGAATGGTAGACGACTAGATGCTGAACGTATGTACCTTTTGATGATTTACCAGCCGGGAAGGAAGGGCAGACCAATCCGATGATGAAATCAAGCGACAATTAAGATTCCTCTCTTGTTCCTCTTCTTCTTTTCACGTTTGCTGAATTTTGGGCTGAGAATTGAGATCTAGAAAGGCAAAATACACTTGTATAGCCATAACTTTTACGTTTGTGACAAATATAACTATAACTATCGGAAAACACAAAATAGCCAACAAATCGGATGGTCATGTGACAAATTTAGCCATTTCCGTTAGAAACTTTAACGGTGTTAAAAGCTCCGTTAGTTAGGTTAACGTTAGGCTGAATAGGATGCCTAATCATCACCCACGTCAGCGACCAATCATCATATTATTGCCACATCATTTTGAGTTATAAAAATAATTAATTTGAAATTAAAATTTTTTTTTCTAACTTTCCCCCTCCCCTCTGCTGTGCATTATCTCTCAACCTTCCTCTGCCATCGTCATATCTTTAAAAAAAAAAAAACTCAATCCTAACAACCCAGATCAAGAACCCTTCGTTGATTTCCCAAATCAGCCTTTTCCCATCCCAACCATAACCAAAAGCCCCAAATCCAAACCCAGCCTTCCGTTCCCCGAAATCCCTCCATCCTTCCGACGCAATCTTCAATCCGTGTCCCCAAACTAGATCCCGGCGACGTTTAGCCGCAACAGAAGTGGCCGTCGACGCGAGCGCCGGTAGATCCAGTCGCGGTCCAGCTCCTTGTCGCATCCGCATCATCACCGTCGAGGATCGGTATATCCAGTCGTGCTCAGCCCAGTCAAACCTTAACTCCAGCGACCACGAAAGCTCAGCCATAATCGACCTCCAAGTCGTCGCGTCGACACAAACTCGACCTCTAGTTTCGAGAAGAACAGGAGCTCCAGCCGACGGATTTGACTCATCCCCGCTGTACGTGCTCAGCTTGCTCGACCCAGATCAGTTGTCGCTCTGATTCGAGATTCAAACTCAAAAATACCCAAAATCTCTAGAGAATATACCTAACCCCCTCCGCCTCCGATTCAGATATGCCTCACCGATCCTACCGCACAGCCAAGCCCTGCAGCTCCTTCGCCGCAGCCCTCTCCGCCTTCAGCTCCTCGTACCGGCTCGCCTTCACCATTTCCCCCAATCGAACGAGCATCAAGCCGACGTTCATCCCCAGTTGCTCGAACTCTCTCAACTCGCTCTCCGCCTCTCCCACATCTTAAATCTCTGCCTCATCCGCGGAGCCAACCATGGACGAAGCTACCATGATGGCGACGACGATTGAGGATGAAGAAGTGCTGGTGGTGGTGGTGGTATTTTAGGTGGCGATGGGTTGCGGCGGCGGCTTGAGGTGCTTCTCGACCTCGAGGGGATCCAGCCGGCAAAGAGGGTGTCGATTGAAGCGTTGATTTCTAGGGATAGACAAAGGGCAAATAGATTTTAGGGATTTCATGTGGTTGTATTGGGGGATTTGTGTTAATTTGTTTTTTTTTTGTTTAAATTTTTTTTTATTTTTTTTCTTCATTTCCACGTCTGATTTCCACGTCGGAAAGTGGGGTAACTTAGTGGCCAACTCAGCGCAAGCCGTTAGTACAGTCATAACGTCTACTAACACCGTTACCAAAATGGACGGAATTGGCTATTTGTGGTTTTCGAATAGAAATGGCTATATTTGTCGAAAGTGTGAAAGTTATGGCTATACAGGTGTATTTTGCCATCTAGAAACTATAAAATAGATTAGTGTTCGATGTTTGTTTGCTGTCAGTTTAAGCGTCAATGAGTGCAGCGAAAGGAAAGGGAAAGGAAGGGGTCTGGTAACGGTAAATGCATTTTAGAATCTGAGAGACATCCTTTTGGTTCGACTAACATCGGCCCAGTGCAACGGGCTTACTGGGCCCAGTTCAATAGCCCAGAACGCTCGGCTTCTGACTGGGCTTCCAGGTAACCGTTCCAATGCCTGTTCCGCCTTCCAAAAGCCCATGTCTACATGATGTAATGGAAGAAATGAAATATCTACTAGACCAAACCAGACTACCAAGAAAGAAACCGGCATCATCACGCAGAGCAGCTCCAATCATAACAGTGCAGCACATAGCTCGGCAAAACAGCCATTATAGACAGGCTCTTTCTGCATCCGTCAATTCGTATTACAATATGAATCCCTATGCTACTAAAGCCAGCCACATCAAAGAGAAGGGAAGTCTCCATAGCTCACGGGAGGAGAACTACATAATGAAAAATGAATCATCAAATGGCAAACAAATGAAAATCTCATCAGCTAATACTACAATATCTGAGCCCAACATTACCAAACACCATATTCCATTCTTCTGCATTTGAAGGAGATCATCAACGACATCACCTAAATATCTTTACTTCGCCCAAGCGACTGCGTCGATCTCGGCCTGTGCAGACCTGTATAACTCCAATCTCTTTGCAAGGTCGCTGCGGCGCTGCATGACCGCAGGGTCTTCGTTCAACAATTGGGACAATTGCTTTTGCTGCAACATAACCATTAGCGTCTTCAAGTTAGTTTCTGAAGTAAATGCAAACAAGATGGGGCAGGATATGGAAAAATGAGAGAGCAGACCATAGTCTCTCACCTCCATTTTTCCCAGCTCAGCGAAGAAATGGTCGAGGAGGCTTCGTTTGGCCTCACGGACTTGGCAGTAGACGATGGACTTGGGAATAGAGTTACGTAAGGTGGCACACACCATATTCACATAGGAAAGAACGGTGCTGCCTGTTCATGGGTTTCAAAGTAGAAAATCAGTGGAGTTTTATAATCGAGATACCATCATAAGATTAACAAAGAAGAGTACGATAAGCATGTTTTAGGAGTGTGAAGTCGCCGAAACCTACCAATTCGTCTAAGATATGAATCGTTGTATCTGTCGAATATGGAATGAGTAGGGTTGCCACCCTTGTCAATGTCTTGGGGAAGCTTTCTGAAGAAATCAACAGTCAGGTAACTACACTCCATGTCAACCAGCTTTAGGGTTGCTTTCTTGCTTTCTTCTTTCATCCGGCCAAGTGATTCTGCAGCTGCGTTTGTAAGCTCTACTCTGAGGCCAGGGTACTGCCTCAGCTCCTGTTAGCCAAAAAGGAACTCACATCAATCCAACTACCCCGGAAACGAAGATAATGAGGATAGTCAATAATTTTTAGCATACCAGAGTCTCAAGGATGGCTTTTTGTACCAGCTCCTTCAATATGGAATGAACCTAAAGCAGTGAGCACAAAAATTATATCAGCGGGAGAGAAGATCAACTGTCAGACCCAAAAGATCGTTTTTCCAATTAGCATGCATACCGCTTCAACAGCTGCCTCAGCAGGACCTCGGATAGTAACCAAAGAAGATTCAATTAGACGACGATATCCCTGCTCGGGAGCTATTAAATGCGGTTGGTACCCATCAGCTTCAGTGATCAGTTTGCGGATATTCTCCATTGCAAGCTGCTTGTCAAATTGCAACCTCTTCAGCGCAGCAGGAAGCTGGTTATCGAATACATTGTACACCTTTTCACCTCCTGGTCGACTGTGAATGGCCAGTTAAGTGAAACCATACAGACTCAAATATATAGAACTACCATGAAAATAATCAGAGGGGTCTTAGGACCCAAAAGGGGAGGACATAAGCATTAAACTTACACTCCGTCCAGATGCTCCTTGTATATTTGATCAAAAAGACGGCAAATCTCCATGATCGAATATAGCTTCCCCTGCAATCAACCAATCATAATCACTCAAGACATTCTAGTGGATGGACATATACACAAGCACACACAATAGGTTTTTTTTGGGGGTGGGGGAGGAGGACCATCAATAACAAAGAGCAAACTTACTCCGGCATCAGTAGCAATAGGTTTTCCAAGGCGACTAAGCTCAGCTTCAAGCTCAGCAATTGTCTTGTTAATAAGAGACTGAAGGCCAGGGATACGGGACTTGATTACAACTTCTAAATGCTGCACCATAAACAAAGTCAATCATCAGGTCACTACTGCATCTAACTCATCATTCAAGAGAAAGAGCATAATTCCAATGGGCCTACTTTGGACAGCATTTTTGCTAGGTGCTCAGAACCCATTCTGTTAGCAAGGTGCTTGTACTCTGGGGTGGTTGCAAAATACTCGCGCTCTCTACGCCGAGCAGCGATCATGTCCACGTTCTTGTTAATGTCAGCTTGTGAACGGTTCACAACACCAACCCAAGGAAATTTTAACCGGTAAGCTTTTCCTTCCAATATCTGAGTCAGTCAGAAGAGCATCTTAGAGCACAGTTGCCAGAAAGCTTTAGTTTCAGCAGTACATCAATTCAATATCTAATCTACTCACTTCAGATGCATCGGTACCCTTGTCCATGAGGTCAATCTTTGTCAAAACTCCAAAAGTTCTCTCTCCTGAAAACGCAACAGGTAACAATCTCATTATCTGAGAAATATATTCTGATGGTAGCAACTAGCACATGGAACTAATAAATTTGAGAAAACATAGTTAACACAAAAGGCTAAAACTAACTAGATTTAAATATAGCAAATTCACCTGTAGGGTCCACCTCCCGGGAAATTTTAACAGCATCCGAGGTGGCAAGATCTTGGTTTGCAGGTGACACTGCTAAAATTAAACAGTTGGGCTGCAAAAAATTTAGCAAGTAGTAAAAAATAGTAACAATGCCAAGTTCCAGAGTTTCAAGAACTTCTTAAAGGCAACCGAAACATCAAAGAAAGCAGGGATATATTTAAAGCCAGACCAAAACGTCGGTTACTCATTCATCTCACATTTCGAAGTAACTTAATGAAAACTTAAAAACTATCGTGAAAGAGGTGTAACAAAAATCAATTTCACTTCAAACAATTGCCTTTGATGTACCTTCTCAATAAAAGAGCGGACCATGTTCTCAATATCCTGCACGATACTGTCAGGTTGACCGTCTGCAATTTGCAAAACAAATCACGTTATGACTTATGACCCACAAAGAAGCTGCAACCAAATCTCAGAAGCAAACAGTTCCATTTCATATCCAGCTATATCCGCCAAGGTCAGCTATACTGCCACTGATTATTCCTTCTTTTTTAAAAATATATCCAGCATGCAATCGCATCAAATCATCCAACTGTGCATGCATTGAAACCTTTACGAAGTTCCAACTATTCGTCCATCTCATCCAAGTACCTTAAGTACTCCAGAGGCCTAGAAACTAACTAGAAGAAGACTATAGCTTTGGAATACTGGTCAGACAGACCTAATGAACAAATGCTACTTACCAACTGCTACTTTTGTGAGCCCGGGAAGATCAATCAGCGTAAGGTTAACAACTGCAATATCAAAGAGCCATCAGAATGCAGAATGCTTATGACAACAGATGCCAAAAAAACTTAAAATTCCATACTGGACCTCACCGTTTGGAGAATATATGCTGAGATGGATGGGAACACTAGAAATTTGTTTAGAGCGGCCTGTCTCTCTATCAGTCTCATCTGCAATCTCTTTCCGCACAGCAGCTGCACGATTTGCAATGAGTAAATAAAACCAATTGCGCACACAATTAACAACATCACTCCCAAGTGAAGTCCACACATTAACTATCGGAAGCCACATAAGCGAAGAGCAATGCGTAGGCATATAGACATGCCTCTCGTGATCAATGAGTAGCCACATACGATAACATTGCTCTAAGCACAATCAGAACATTCTGAGGACCTCAATCTAGTCGATACATTTGCTAACGGACTCCAATGTAGGAATTTCCTTGTGGGAGTTCGAAAATCTTACCAAAATCAGTGAACCTTTTCCTCGGCAGGTGGAGGAACTCAGCATATTCTCTGCTTCCTTCATCAAGCTTATGAAGCTGCAGCACCAGAGGTCTTCTAGTAACAATCCCTGACAAAGTAATTTCAGAGAAGATGACTCATTATAGCATATTTACCATGTCACAGAAAGCTGAACAAGAACAGCACTATATCAAAGAGCAACTCGAGGTAGCGATTGTTACCAGATCCACGAGGCAAGAAGTCCTTCCCTACTACGCTCTCCAACACCGACGACTTCCCCGAACTCTATTTCAACATATAACAACCACAACTCAATAACACCATCTTAAACTTCAAATTCACGCGGTCAAAAGCAATAAGCAACCGCCTAAACAAGAGAGCGGGGATCCGGAAGGTAACCTGGCCACCGACGACGGCGATAGCCGGCAAGGAGTCCCAAAGAGTAGGCAACGCGCTAGCTTCGCCGTGATCACCGAGAGCAGTACAAGCTCTCTGAATCTTGTTAACTAGAGAGATCAAATTGTCCATATCTCCGAGCTAATCAGATAGGAAGGAAACAAGCAGGAATCTGAAGAGAGTCCCGCCGGCGCAGCCGCCCGCAGCCGTCAGGTCGGAGATCTCCCTGGATCTGAGGAGTTAGGCGGGGGATCTGCCGGAAGGAATAGTTGCGGTCGAAAGTGTGAAGGATTTGTGGCGATGCAGAGGGAGAGAGGGAGAAGCCGTGGTGCGTTTTAAATGAAATTGACACAGAGATGACTTCAAATGGGGAGGAAAGGTAATTAGGAAGTTATCTGTGAAATGGAGGGAGGTGTATATATTGGATGGGAGGGTTTAATGAAGATGAAGACTAGAAGGGAGGACTAATTGGGAGAAAGATTTTTCGATGCTTAACGCAAAATTGTATTGGGCTTTTTTTTTATTCTTTTTAATATTTTAAGAAGAGAAGGCTTCGGAGATTCAAAATACCGACCGGTGAATTCAAATTCAGCCACGCTATGGAACAAAACGTAGGCCCACCGAACATCCACTATCTTTGTTTTTGGAATTGGGCCGATCCCAAGTCATGATTGATTCGAACCCAACGGTAGGAAAATGCCATTCAAACTAAACCTCTCCTCATTAGTCATTACTGAAGCTTTATCCTGGATTTCAAAATTTCCCCGACTTAGAAAATAGAAACTGTTATGAGCGAGCAACTTTTATACCCCTGTAAACGGCTAAACGCAAGGCCAAAGAAGAGATGAACAAGAAACTAGAGGTTGGCGTTGGACGTTCTTCTTTTCTCGTGATAATTGTCGAAATTTCCTTTTTTTTATTTTTTTTTACTTCAGGCTGGGCTTTCGTCTCTAGGAGAGCCGATGAGTTGGCGGCCCATACATTTGCCCACTTCAGTATGGCTGGGGCTCATTGGACCGTGCTGGGCTGATAGACAGACTTCCTTAGCTTTGTTCAAGCTGTTCCATGATTATGATTACGTATGGTCCTTTCAGTTTTTTTATTTTATTTTTATATAAGGGTGATTGAAAGAAAGAATTGAATGCATGCAATACAAGGCCATACATGCATATATCTCCTTCAATGTACAAATTTCATGTTAATAGCTCCATCTCTTCCACAAGAGATAAGAATTGATCTTTGATGAAATTAATAATTTGTATTATGACCAAATTTAGTTACAAAAACTAATACTTTTCGATATCCAAATATGCTCGAGCAACATCATATTGCAATATGAATAGACAAGAGGACACGTGAATGATAACACAATACACGGCAACTTAATAATGGAACGTAATCTTAATCTAAATTTCTAATTGAATCTCTTATATTGTAAACATATATGTACCAAGTTCTCTTCGACTTTTTATCGTTAATTAAGTATTTAAACCCATAGAAGAGAGACTATATGCCAACTGCGAAGCATCATTAACATTCTCGCATTTGATTTGGCCTCCCAGAACCTCAACCCACGTTCTCTGCTCTCATAAGAATCCGCAATTGCTGCTGGCCTAATAAACTATTGATCTCATGTTGTAAAAGCGCCCATTCATCCCACCGATCCCAATGATTAGGAAATTCAAAACACCGCCAACGAGACAAGCACGAGCAATAATAATCCTCTCTCTCTCTCCCTGACGGTGGTGCCGTGCCACTGAATGAATGCATGAATGCTGCCTGGACACTTGTTTAGGTTCCCACTATTAGGCCAAGTTGGACTTGGAGAGGAGAAAGAGAAGGGGAAGAACATCTCAAAATGTGGCGTGGTCCTCCTCTAATTGCCACTTTGACAACCAACCAGGCACAGAATCTGCTCTACAATAAACAATAATTCGTTCCTTCTTTCCTTTCTTTTCGTTTACCACTCATGCAGCAGAACAGCTTGCTTTACAGAACACATGGGGGATCATGGAACAGCTCTCTATTCATAATCTGTGAACAATGTGGCAGTGGTGCTAACAATTAGAGACCCAAAACAGACCAACCCTAACCTTAAACCCTCTTTACACATATCTAGAACCCAAGAAAACAGAGGAAAAGAAAAGAAAAACTCAATCCTAATTTTCTACTTTCAATACTGGGCAGGCAGGAAGCCCGCAGCAAGATGTTTATTCAGGAGATGTATAGTAAGAAGAGCAAGAAGAACAGAAACCCTCTTTCTCTGCCTACAAACAGTAATAAATACCCTTTTTTAAGAGGAAGGAAGAATCTACACCGATATCATATGCTTCTTTACTGTGCTTTTGTACCTAAAGAAAAAAAACCTGTGAGAATGCTGCTGTGTCTTCTTCTTTCTTTTTCCTACTTGGTTCCGTTAGGGGCGTCCGATGAATTGTAGCCGTAAGGGTTGTTGCTGGCCCAGTTCCATTGGTCCCGGCACATTTCTTCAATTCCAAATTTGGCCCTGCACAAACATTTGTGGGGTCGAGACCTTTGAGACTGAGACACGGGCGCTTTACTATGATTAAAGGAAATGAAAGCAAAAACATGTAGGGACTCTCATTGTGATTCCTGTGATGCTGACTGATGATGAACTTTTTAAAAAGGCTGGTGATTTTGATTTAGCAACTTACTTCCAATTCAATTCACGTTCTGCCTTCCCTGTTGATGCGTACACTATTTCAGCATCGCCGGGTCGCCGTCCAGCCTTTACTAGAGGGATTTTCTGGTGAGAGTGATGGGAAGAGTCAGTATGAAGCTTGGATGGCAGAGGCCAAAAATGGGTGAAGACTTCTGTGAGAAGCAGGATAACTAAAGATATATGCAGTTTTGACAGTGGGGTGTACCTTTCCGGATGCCTTCTCAAATGCTGCAACCATCTCCAATACTGATGTTCCTTTCCCTGTTCCCAAGTTGTATACCTCACAACCTGCACAATGCACCCATCCAACATTCTAACTCAGGAACTTCTTCACCTACTCACTACTTGTAAATTCATATACCGGTAACTGGTAAGGATACACATTCATAATGTGGGCAAAAGACAATATTCCCCCATGGACAATCAAGTTTGAGAAGGGTGCACAGCAGAACCACAAGAAGCTAGAGCAGTCTATCAAACTGTATCCTTATATAACATTTACACCCAGCCGGATAGTCCAAAATGTTGAATTCGAATTAGACAATATTGAAGGCAATTAATCTGGTGGGGGTTCAGAACCAGAGGACTCATGCATACAACTGTAAGCATCTGGACAGGATGAAAGGTTTCCAGTATAGTGATAACTACACCAAGATTGGGTGTCAAGCAGTGGAGAAAAAATCAAACAAAGATGAATAATTGAGGTGCATACCTATATTGGGTGCATCCAGCTTACGCAATGCAGCAATGTGACCATCCGCCAAATCAACAACATGGATGTAATCACGGACCTGCAATGAGACAAACTTTCGCTAAGCCAACCACACAAAACATTGGATTTTTAACTTGCAGAATAAGTCCATGAACAGATAATGAGCTGCCTCTTTAATTGAAACCATGATGATGATGGGTTAACCATTCATTTCTAAGTGGCCATGTAACTAGACTAGCACCGGAATAGAAGCAAGGGCAACCACACAAGTAGCAAAAGTCGGGAACAGCATTCTTGGATAAAACTATAGCCAGACTTGGAAGGGTTGACACTGTAGTCGTTCTTGGATGGACTTTTCAGCCAAAAATGCAGAAGGGCTTACATGCAGAGCAGGTAGAAGACAGAATGTAAAAAGAAAAGCGTGAAGCATACCCCAGTTCCATCCTTGGTCTTGTAGTCAGTCCCAAAGATAGTTAGATGAGGTCTTCTGCCAACAGCAACTTGCTGCACATAGGGCATGAGATTGTTCGGGACTCCACGTGGATCCTCACCAATCTTACCACTTGGATGGGCGCCAACCGGATTGAAATACCTCAGCAAAATTATCTTCCATTTTGAGTCTGAGTGGTAGACATCACGACAAATATCTTCAATGAAAAGCTGAAAAGACCAACCTCGTAAGATTAGCATTTGCGCAAACAAAGTCATGGCTGTATTCTACTCTGAGCATTGTATACTTTCTACATAACTTAACAATACAGATGAGAACCTCATCTTCTAGTTACAGCTCTTGCACTAAAGATGATTTCTCCCAGATCCACCTAGTGTTAACTTTCGCCACACCATATATGGAACAAACTAACCAATATCCTTGAGTACCCAGTCACTCAGTACAGACCCAACAAAGATTAGTAGATACCTTGGTACGCCCATATGGGTTCATTGCACTGATTGCAGATTCTTCTGTACATGGCACTTCCTTTGGCCAACCATAAACAGTGGCTGAAGATGAGAAGACAAGCTGAAAACACAAGCCAGAATGAAAAGATCATTAGCACAATGCCCTACTTGGCAACAACACAATCCCCACTCACAGCACAGAAGAAAATACTTACATTCTTGCATCCATGGGCAGCCATTACTTCCAGCAAAGCAATTGTTCCAATGATATTGTTGTTGTAATACAACAAGGGATTCTCAACACTCTCGCCAACTGCTTTCAGTCCAGCAAAGTGGATGACAGCATCAAATCTGGAAAGGGCAGTTGGAGCAAGAGACCTTAATAATTCACCTAATCAATATGGAAACATATAAAATTCAGGGATATCAATGTGTTAAACTCATCATACTTTGCCCCCGTGAAAATCTTCTCCAGAGCAGATTTGTCCCTTAGATCGGCCTGCAAATTTGAACCCACAATCTCAGTAACGAACACACAGTTCCAAGGAATAACTATACATGGAAACTTCTGGATTTTGGCTACACCAAGTATATATATTATGCTGAATTCAGTATATATCATAAATAACTGCTCATAATTCACAACAGAACTGGAATGGACGAATTTCAGAGACCTAAAACCACTTTGCAGAGCATAATTGAGATACTCTAAACTCACAGAAAGACCAAATAAAAAAAGTAGAAAAGAAGAAGAGGAATGAATCAGCAGCCCATACTTCAAACAAAAAAAAAGTAAACCACAGGAAATAAAGAAACCAATCAAATCAACATAGGAAAACCAAAATTGCCGCCGGCCACAGAGAAACGGGAATTCCGCGGAAGCGAACAGATTCGCCACCGCGGTAGAGCTCTTCAATTCCAGACAATTCGGAAACCGAACGAAATCAATTCAGTAAAATCCACACAGCCGAGAGAGAGAGTTCTCCGTCCAAGGGCGGGGGAGTAGCGGGAAATGACAAACCTGGTGGAAAGACAAATTATCGGCGTGCTTGCCGGCGAGGTCCTTAACTCGGCGGAGGGCGAGTTGATTGGAGTTGTCCAGGCTGTCAACGACGACGGCGCGGTAACCGCCTAAGAGCAACTGGAGCACGGTGTGAGTCCCAATGTAGCCGGCGCCGCCGGTGACGAGGACGCGCTTCGCCATAGAGTATAGAATTCCAACGGCAGAAGGACACAAAGCGAAGTGAGCGAGGGGAAGAAGAGAGGTTTTTTGCGGGGTTTTTTTTTTTCTCGGAAAGGGGGGAAATCGTTGTATGTTGAGGCCGAAAACAAGGGGGAGATAGAGGGGAGAGTGATTATATAGGGGGGAGAAACGGAGGAGAAACGGAATGAATTGCGTGCATTGATTAGGAATCTGCGGAAACGAGAAAAGAAAACTGAAAGCTCACTGGAAAATAACATTTTAATTAATTAAATCAAATCATGAAATAATAATAATAATTTAAGTGTTAATTAATGTCATCTCATGACAGCGAGCGAGAGAAGAGGGAGGGATTCGCTTTCTTTTAATTAGGGACCCGAAACAACTTAACTACGTTTTTCATAAATTAATTAAGTACGGATTATAAAAAAATAATAATTAAAGAGGACTTAACTGAAGCATATGAAAACTTAACTGCAACCTCAAAAGAGATAACTCCGCTGAAAAAGCGCAGTTATAACTGAAACTTTAAGCTTGGCTGCGTGGCATAGTTAGTAAATACTCCGTTTAATACACGTATATGTACCCGTACGTACTTTATCCGTTTAAAACTTCCGTATCCGTATTATTGTCAAGACGTTTCATTTTTTCCCGTTCATTGGATGGTTCCCGTACTAAACACGTATAAAACCCGTATAACACGTTTAATATCCGTATTTAATGAATTAAATTGTGAACTTTACTATTATTTATATATTTATTTATTTTTAAAATAATTACTTTTTATATATTTATTGCTATTAACGTACTATTAAACGTAACTTTAGCTTAGAGTCGACGTAAAATACCCGTACGTAGTTTTTACGTAACTTTTCCGTACCGTAATTTACTAACTATGCTGCGTGGACGCACCACTTAATATTAGCCGTAGATCTCTATGGAAGCACTACTAAGAGCATCCACATTAGTATTGCATTCTCAATTGCAAAATGACATGGCATAGGTGTTTGCAATTGCAAAACCAATTGCATTGATGTAGCTACCAATTGCATATATGCAAACTTGCAACAAATGCAATTGCATATGCAAGTCAAACAAGCCTAAAAAAAGGGGACTTTTTATTTTATATTGTTTTCTTTTCTCTTTTACTTAATTTTCTATAATTTAAATATAATATTTAATTACATTTGCAATTGCAAGTTAATTGCATTGATGTAGGTGATTGAAATGAATGTGATGTGGATTGCAAAAAAATTGAGTTAACAATAAAAAACATAAATGCAATTTTTTTTGCAATTGCATTGATGGAGATGCTCTAATCGTGGATTAAAATATTATCTTTAATTTATTGATGCACTATAATGAAAATAGTGTTCGTTTAGTCATAATACTTTTTTTTTTGTCTTAACTATACGAAATTTGTTGGAGGGTTTTTTTTTAACTTAGTACATAGAAAAATTGTGAGATTTACTAAAATGTGTATTAGATCCAAAATAGTTAGAATGAAGATAACATATATAACTTTTCGTTTCCGATGAATTGTTAACACTCGTATCAATGACCAAGATCAGACTTGTCGTTTATACGGTAAGATAATGAAATGATTCAAACTCTATTTCAACTCATCCACAAGGAGGAGTGAAGTCATCATGTTTAGTGAACTCAATCCAATGAAGGATCCCAAATGCTTGATATCGGGCTTAGTGGGTCTGCTTTCCCCCTTAAGAGTAATTTAAATCCTAGTTAGCGAGAAGTGTTATTAGGTTCAAGTCAGTCTAGATCAAACTCTTTGAACATTTTTTTGCGTTGAAGTGAATTAAGGTGGTTCAATAAATTAGGTATATACCTAACAAACCCAAATTCTTTAGCCCTCTCTCTAACAAAATTGTAATTGATAACTTTTCTCACTATAAATGTCACAGTAAGTTATAATCCATCTAAAAGTCCAAATTACTCTATATAGAGTTTGAATTAAGGTTGTTTCTATAAGTCCTAAATACACCTACCTCCTTACAACTTAATTTCTTATTAAGGGCTTGGAGTCCCATTCTACCGTCTGCACCTAAGAACTCAACGAACTCATGCTAAGCCCCTTCTCATAAAAGTCAAAGGTTTAGTCTCCAAACCCTATCTCAGAATTTATTGACTACAAGAATCCTACTTTTATTAATCTTTAACACAATGAAAGATAGGCTTTGACAAGCACGAAATTTAATCGATAATAAAATATATTGAGTACCGCTAGACCATGTTATATATCTAACTTAGCCATGTAATATGGCTATAGTCACTATCAACTTTTTACAAAGTTACATTCTAACAATCTATAGCAGGGAAACAATCGAAGTAAAGTAACTAAGCATACTCGCATCAAACTACAAAACATTAGTGTAGAAAGTTTGAGAGAAAAAAAAAGGAATTATTACTTCTGATTTCCTATTAGGATCAAATTGAGTTTTTTTCTTCCTAAACTCACCAACCTATCATTTAATTGAGAAAAAACAAACACACAAAAAAATTATCAAAATAGATTTTATGTGAGGAAAATTTGTGGGGCAAAGTTGGGATTGCCACGTGGTGGGTGTGGTGTTTCTGTCTGTTTGAACTACACAAGGATTTTGCATGGAGTCGGTCGGTGAGTGTAGGGAGAAAATCCCAACTTCTCTCCAAGCTGGAAATCATTCATTATTATCAGCACAAGTTGTTTGTTTGGATTCTCTGTTTGCGCCTCTGGCGAATGAGCTAAAAAGGTGTCTTATTCCCTCTTTTGTTTCTCCTCATAGTAATTGCAGGGAGCGGATAGTATAACAACACTATGAGTGTTGTTATACTAACAACAAGATTCATTAAGGATAAAAGGGTAAACTAACACAAAATAACAAATTAAAAACTAAAATCCAAAAATAAAACCATATCTCAGCGATGGTATCTCTTCATGTCTCTTCCCTCTCGGCAACTTCTCCTCCACCGTTGGGAACGCCGCGAACAGCAGCCGGTTCGCATGGTCGACCCTCCTCGTGGCCCCAGCGGCGGCGACGAAGGCGTTGCTGACTTTGGTGGCCTCTCGCTGGGCGAAGTCGCGAACCCGAAGAATGAGAACGGCGGCGGAAGGAAAGAGAACGGCAACGCGCGGCGGCTGGAAGGAACGAGCACGGCCGCAATCGCCGACTATGGCTTCGAAGGCCACGCATCCTAGGTTTTCTTCTCCCCGTCAATTTGCCCGAATCTTGCCCCCCATGGAGTCCAAAATCTTGGAGATCAACTTGATCTCCGCCCAAGGCCTGAAGCCGCCGTTCGCCAAGCTCCGCCAATTGCAGATCTACGCCGTCGTCTGTATCAACTCTGCCGCCAAGCTCCGCACCCAGGTCGACCGCGTCGGCGGGGTCAACCCTACCTGGAACGACAAATTCCTCTTCCGAGTCTCCCCCAATTTCTTCTCCAATGACACCTCGGGGGTCTCCGTCGAGATCTACGCCTTCGGCTGCCTCCGCGATTCCCTCGTCGACATCGTCCGCTTCTAGTGAAAGAGGGGTTTTTTTTTCGTTGAATAAGATGGGTTATTTTCTATGGGTTATTTTCTATGCCAATGGCAAAGATGGGTTTCTAGTGAAACTTGATAATTTTCTATGGATCCCAATTTGCAGTAGTGTTAAATCTCATTCTGATGCTATAACTTCGGTGTGTATCTCCTTGATAGGTTTTGTGATTTGGAATTTTATTACTACGGCGGCTGGTTTTTCAATGTTTGGTTGAATGTTGACAACTGAGCGTATGGATTATACAGCAGTATATTTCCAATTGTTATGCAATTCACGCACCAGAAACTTCATAATGCAAGCAACAAACGTGATAAAACAAATTATAAAAAACACACTAGAAATCTTCTAATGGAAACAACAAATCTCCTAAAAACATACCAGAAATCACATAAAGCAAACAACAAATATTTCTAAAGTACCCAGAAACATCCTAATACAAACCACAAACACGACAAAGCAAACCACAAAAACAAACCAAAAACATTCTAATGTAGACCATAAATATATTAAAACAAACCAGAAACCTCGCAAAGCAAACCACAAAAGTTTCGAAAGCACACCAGAAACACAATAAAGCAAACCACAAACACGATAAAGCAAACCACAAAAACAAACCAGAAACGTCCTAATGCAAACGAAAAATCTATTAACACAAACCAGAAACCTCGCAAAGCAAACCACAAATATATTAAAACAAACCAGAAACCTCGCAAAGCAAACCACAAAAGTTTCGAAAGAACACCAAAAACTTCTTTATGCAAACCAGAAACCTTCTAATGCAGACCACAAATCTCCTAAAACAAACCACAAACCTCACAAAGCAAACCACAACATTTGCGAAAGCACACCAGAAACCTCCTAATGCAAACCACAAACACAGTAAATCAAACCACAAAAAGCAAACCATAAACGTCCTAATGCAAACCACAAATATATTAAAACAAACCAGAAACCTCACAATGCAAACCACAAAGTTTTTGAAAGCAAACCAGAAACTTCTCAATGCAAACCACAAACACAATAAAGCAAACCATAAAAGGCATAAAAAAATATGAGAAACCAAACCATAAATCTCACAATGCAGACCATTATATCCGGTGATCGTTGACCGGTCAACGAAGACCGTTGACCGAACTCCGGTGACCGTCAGTGAGCAGATTCCGACGCCGATAGGCATATTCCGGCCCCGATGACTAGATTCCGACGCCGGTAAGCATATTCCGACGCCGGTAAGCATATTCCGATGACAAAATAGCATATTCCGGCGACAAAAAGCATATTCCGGTGACCGGCGACCATTTTCCGGCGACCGGTGCCAGAATTCCGGCGACCACATTTTTGGGCAGAAAAAAATATTTTTTTATTTTTTATTTTTTTATTTTATTTTTATTATTTAAACATATTTTTCATAATGGCAATTATACCCCTGCTTTGATTTTACACTAGGTCAACTTATCTAATAAAAATTCATCACAATCCTAGCTTCCTATTGGTTGGAGACTAGTGTTGTTACAATAACAACAAAAGGAGTGTTGTTATAGTATCTAGTCCCGTAATTGCATGTACTTAAAGGAAAACACTTCAAAACAACTTCAAACATGCAAAACCAAGAAATGGCCTTCAACGCGGAGGGCCATTGGTGCATCAAAGCACTTTCTGGAGCATTCGAGTTGAGAGAAACACTAAATTATGTGAATATCAATGGCTGAACACTAGAATTATTTTAGGTTAAACACTGTCTCTAGAGACCGTGATACAAGCATGGTGGAACTGGAACTTCATATTAATCAATCATGCCAACCTTATGAAATCGCTCCTAAATTGCTAGTATGCAACCATCCAAAATGTGAACTTCGGATAAAATAAAATTATCCGAAGAGGTTGACAAAAATAAGATATTTCAGTTACGCCTATTCTACAAGGTATGACTTGACATATTAAATCTTACACCAACCAGATACGTGCAAAGGCCGAAACAAGAATGGTCTTTGACCAATTTGGTGGAACCTATGAAACTTTCGAAATAAACCGGTAGTTAATGATTGATCATTGAGTGTATGCCATTGCAATGCTCACTAACATATAGAACCCCAATTATGCATACCAATCTCAATTATCTTCACTTCACATGTGGAGGGAATCATGTAATTAAAAAAATCTCAGCTTAAAGACCCTAATTGTGTGGACTAAGCTCCAAACCTTTCTTTAACTTGGGGTTAAGCTAACTGTATATGGATTGAATTCAAAAGAATATGTAAGGCATCACATAAGGAATCTACTTCCTTTGTACTTTTGCACATGTTAACTTCTTCTCTTATTTTTAGTTTTAGTGTTATTTTCTTTCATTTTTTCCCCATCTTCCTCGATGGTGGGAAGGAATGGTAGATGGGACCTGAATTTGCAATTGCAGTTCCGGAGGGTAGCGTCTTTACCTGAAGACAACACCAAACCAACCTCTGCATCATCTGCCAATTTTGCCCTTTTAGTTTTTTTTCTTCTTCTTCTTGTGATTTCACATGTCCTCCATATGGTTTGTCCAATTATTATTATGCTGTCTTTATCGATTGGTCCATAATAACAATAATAATATGTTAATTGTACTTTAAGAGTTCTAAGACAGTGAATCAAGCCCAATGAAAAGCAGCCATCAATCATCATTTCATTCATTCATTCATTATTTGATTACACCATTTAGCGCCAAGGTAGTCGACCAAATCTTTTTAGGACAGGTGCTTCTAATTCTTCTTAATCCACGCCATTAGTTTTTTTAGAAAAAGAAAAGGAAGATAGATCAACCATATTTCCATGTCTTGCACAAACTTATAGATGGCCATAAACCATTATGCAAACCAATATACATATTTTGTTCTAATGGCACTTTGATTTGAGATTTTATATGAATACTAATTCACAGGAAATAGGACTCACAAGTAACAAAATTGCACTATATATGTCATCACAACAAGGTTATCCTTGTCATATAGTAAATAATTAACCCATTATAACCTTAAAGAAGACAACATCAACTCATCAAGCCAATTGTAATCGCTCTATTTTTTTTTAATTGTATCTGCTCTAAATGAGTTGCTAACAGTTGAAATCGTTTTACCCTAAAATCAAGACTTGAACAACAAAAGATCAACAAAAAGCAAATATTTTCTGGGGTCATTTGGATGCAGGTTTTGGGTGTGGGATTTGGGCACAATCCTACATAGTGTGGGATTTTAATTAAAATCACTCGTTTGGAAAGCAATTATATGATAAGAGATTTTAAATATTAGAGATTTCAAAAACCCACAATTGTGGGATTATGAAATAGATGATGGTGATCAGCTATTTTAAAATCCCACACAAATTCCACAAATTAAAAACCTAAGTTTTTAAACCAGTTATTTGAGCCAAATTAAAATCCCACAAATTAAAAACCTGGATCCAAAGGACCCCTCTATGAAAACTGGACCAATATAATAAAAGGATATTGTTATTAAGCATTTACTTACGGGGTCGAGACCCTTAACCAGCAAGACCGGAACTAAGTACCAAGTACACTAACACAGTATACCGCCAAGGCGCCAACCAAACCGTAGTCTCTTTCACTCTTCTTCAAGGGATCTGCGTGACGCAGAATTTGGGTTTAGGTGGAAATGGTTAGATGGATATGGATTGGTATTCTGCCTTCCACACTTTCCGTGAAAACCTTATCAGTTCGTGTTCGTCAGTGTGTCGGTACGTAATGAGCGGTGGGCTGTTTATGTCATTTTCTACTGCGCGGAGGTGAACAACCACACGACACGGGAATGAGCAAATAAATTTCCTTTTCGTCCGATCACTCCAGAACTAGAAGAAGTCGATTCTCCACACCCAACCCCACCGACCAAGAAGACTCTTGAGAAACCCCAAATGGCTGGCATAGAACGAAGAAGGGGAAATAAAGGCGGGATTTGATGTACCACGTCATGTCTTGTAGGGTTAACAACACTAATTGAGTCTTGTAGATTATGAAAGTTGGGCTATTTGAAAATTTGAGCAAAAATAATACGATTGAGCAAAGTTGAGATCATATTGGAGTATTAAAGGAAACATGTATTTATATTACCGTCGTATGTAATAATAGTCAATTTGTCATTAACCAATTGGTCCCAATAACAATAAATCAAGTTGTTGGGAGAAAGTTATGCTGGATCTTATATTATTCTCTAACACGATTTATATACTCCGACTGCCCGGGTAATACGGTAAATAACAAAAGGACGGTTAACCTCGAATATGGATTTGAGTCGATGTTTTGAAAGTTAGACCGAACAAAGGACGGTGGAGACCAGAAGGATAACGCCAATTAACCTATCTCTAGTTATAAACTAATACAGCTTTCTTTACAGTGAAACGGGAGATTTTGCTTCTGGACTATATGGCTCAAAAGTATAACAGGAGACCAAGAAACAGGACAGCAAATTTTCAAGGGAATGTGCGTCTCACCCAATCACTCCAGTAGCCAGCTCAGGACACTAGGGATGGCAATTTACCCACCCATGGGTAATTTTGCCCAAACCCAAGTAGACCCATTTATTATGGGTAGGGTTTGGGTGATGTGTGTATGGGTTTGGGGTTTGTATATGGGTTTGGGTTAGATATGGATATTATCTAAATGGGTATGGGTTGGATATGGATATCCATTTACTTGAGGGTGTCTTAACTACACATGCAAAAATTGGACTTATTTGTAAAACTTGAAAATTTTAGGTACCAAAATGTAAGACCAAAAAAATTTAGGTACCAAAACGTAATTTTTCATCGATATTTTGAGGACTTATATGCAAAAAAAATTAAATTTAGGTACTAAATATGCATATCTATTAAGTTTAGGTACCAAACTGTAATTTATATTTGGGCATGGGTACAAACCCAAATCCATTTGTTATAAACCCAACCCAATCCAAAGTAAATGGGTATGGGTACAAACCCATCAAACTTTACCCATATCCATATATTTGGATTTCATACCCAACCCAATTGGGTTGGATAGTAAAATACCCATGGGTATGGGCATAATTTCCATCCCTACAGGACACCCACCACAAAAAAAAAAAAAAAAAAAAAACCCAATTACGTGAACTGGATGGTAGGTTGGTTTTTTGTCTTTACAGCAAAGAACAGGTTGAAACCCATAAGGTTCTCTCCTCGACTCAAAGTGCCCCTCCAATGTCCTAACTGTAGGCTTTTAACCTTTTCCTTTTGGGGGGGCTCTTGACTCTTGAGTATAATTTCAGTCTGTATTTTAAATTTGTAATACCAATAGACTCGTGACAAGGAGAAAGGAAGCAAGACAAACCTGTGAAGTAAAGTGGATAAAACTAAAAGTGCCGACGGCCTTTCTTAAGTTGTACACAAAGCTTCCTTGTCCAAATTTAACTGCCTCTTCTTCTCTGCGTCAATCAATACAAGGACCACTTTTCTACATATATGATATATGGATATGAACCGTCCAGCTGGACATTGTAAAATGTGAGGAAATGTTTCGTGAAACACAAGCAAAGTGAGATCACAAGCTCCTAGCACAAGGTAATTCATCGAACCAAGCGGTCGGCTTAAAAGTGAACCGTCCAAGCAATAAGATAAACAGAGGTTGTTTGATAATCAGGGATTCTGAAAGCACACATGGTTGTGACAATTCATCATCTTTCTTGCCTGAATCTAGTACGAAAACCAAACATTTCACTTTTCACACTCCACCGTTGCAATTCCAACAAACTATCACAGAACACATTCTTATGATTCCATCTACGAAATACATAATGTCTTAAAATCATGTATGAATGACAACCACCAAAGAAGTCTTACCAAGAGAAGGCTCATTCAGATTTCAATACTACGGTACATTTCCAAGACTGCAAGACAGAAGCTAACATTTACAGTATTATGGGTTGAACGTTAAACGAGTAGATTTGCAGTAATTCGTATTAAGTACAGTACCTCAGCAGCTGAGGCAGCATAGTTCCCATGGCATAGCAGGTTTTTGTCCATCTCTACTCGCTACTGCTTGGGAACACGATCGATGAACCTGGAAAACGTTCAGCGTCTCTAGGATACTCGTTTCTACGTGTGAAGCTGGTTTTACCGTTGGCGCAGAAGGCGTATGTCAACCAGAAATTTTGGGTGTTGGGATTAGTTAATATCTGTGTGTGTGATGAGCAGTAATTTAAAGCCATTCGGTAGGCACCGTTTGAGAACCGAGGAGTCTTTCGGCTTCATCATTTGCTTCTGCTTGTAGCTTCCACCTCTGATTTCAACAAAGTAGAACATTTGACACTTGACAGTTGGAAAAAAAGAATACACCGGGGATAGCAGAAATGACAATGGAGCAAGTAAATTATTCATTCTTTTGAATAACAGCAAAACCAGAGAAGTAATATTGCTTATCCAAGGATTCCATCAGTCATTTAATCCAAAAAAGTTACATAACTAGAACAGATCATGTTTCATTTATCAGCTTCCCTAACCCCGAAACCATAAAGCCTAGGATTCCAAGATTGGCCGAGAAATCTATCATTCAGCCTTCTAGAGTGCGCATAAATCTGTTTTCACCTTGCCTAAAATCACAGTGGAAAAAGTAAGAAGAATTAAGGATTAAAGAGTGTACCTCTTCAAGATCTTCCAGCTCCATGATTTGCTCTATCTGTTCAGCAATGCTTTCCTGAAACCAATAATTATCTAGTAAGCTATTATTAAACATTTTGAAATAAGGAAGGATAAATGTTCAACTGTTATCACGTACTGCATTGCCAACCGCTTCAGCAGCAAGAACGTCAGAGTCCATTTCTACCTCAATTTCAATCATTGAGGAAATCTGAAATAAACGAGCCACTCAATAAGTTCAAAGAGGGAACGGAATCTTTGATAGCTATGTAATTTGTTGGTCAAAGATGATAACATACTCTAGCATAGCTGTCAATAAGTTCAATCCGCCCTTTGAGGGAGTCTTCCAAGCCTTCACGGACCTTTTTCACTCTAGTTCTTCTGGCACTGGAAAGATCCAAATCCAGATCATATACTTATGAAGCTCATCAGAGTTTCATCTCAAAAGAATAAAATTAAGCAATGTTAGATTTTCACCGATAAGAAGGTTCTCCTACAGCAAATATCTTGTTCTCCAGCTGGCACATGCGAGCTAACATCCAAACCTAGACAAAGCAACCAATTAACTTCCCAATAATATGACTGCTGAAGAACATCATTCATCAGGTAGTAGTCATACTATGAATTTACAATTTTATTTCCAATCCCGAAGGTAGCTTGGCTCGCCTAGGGCATAGAAAAAACTACATAAGCTGTGACTGAGCTTCAGCAGGACTATACCTCCTTTTCAGCAGCTTCTTTCAGATCCTTGATGCGGGCCTGGAGGACGTCATATTGAGACAATAGCTGCTGTTTGATAGATATGGCATCAGCTGACCTCTGAGGAAGCTGCAAATAAGAAGCACAAAGAATCTCTCAATGCTAATCGCTACAAAGTTTAACAAAGGTTCCCAAAAGCTATTCTAGAAATTTCAAGCATCAGATTCACACAAGCAGAAAGAAGTAGTCATAAAAGCTCCAACAAAAGGTTTTGCTAGGAATACTATCGCAGGGTTTGCAGAGCAAAAGGTAAAATAGGAGTGTGCACTTAAAGCAGCACACGTCCTCCTCCCTACACTAAATATTCAGGTCAGATCAAAACTAAGAGCTGAATTTAAAAGAAAAAGCAACCTGATAAGGGGAAGAGCAATGGAGTATCTAAAAGTGAGCATACAGTGTGAGAGCACAAGTTTATAGGCAGGAAGAAGTGCACAAAAGTTAGAGCCTTAACAACATTAGTAATCTCATAAGACTGTAGGAAGCCAGCTGAAAAGCCTAATACCAGGTGTCAACACAACAAAGGTGGCAGCTCACCTGATTCATCTGAGGCAAAACTAACGTATTTAGGGCTGCCCCAACACTAACAGATGTAAACGCAGCAACTGAAAGTAACCGAGGCAAGCTGGGGTCAACCATTCCTGATGCAACATCTCCAGTTGCCAGAACTGCAGCAAGAGGAATAAGCACAGCGGGATTAAGCAAGGATAGTCTCCCATCTTTCGCAGGAGCTCTCAACAGTGGAGACTCCCGGCCATTAACATGGTTGGTAAGGCACATAGGCTCCCCAGGATAGACATTAGAGGCCTTTGGACTAAATTTGAAGGGTCCCACGCTTCGGTATACATTGGATGGAGCAGCTGATGCAATAGTTACCCTTTCCCCTTCTTGGGCTGGGAGATCGACTGTTTCAGTAGCAAACCTTTGTGTACGTGCTGTACCAGAAGGTGTCTGTACCTGAGAAGGGTAAACAAATGCATAATTGAAGAAATGCTTGACAACTCAAGCTTAGCAGCTAAGAGAATTTATGATACACAAGCCGGTAAACTGATCAAACATGCAAATATAAGCTCATTCTAGGGGTTTTCGACATGAAACTGAGGCTTTAAGAGGGCATAGCATCTCAGTAGCAATCATAAAGATTCCTCAAATTCACGCATCCTAAGCCTTACCAACAATGAACTAAGTGAAATTAACATTTGGAATTTCAATCGACAGAACATCACAATGCCCCCTTCTAAAATCCATTGGCAAAAGTGTGAAACATGTGAATCAAGACTAAGCATTCCAAGACGAGAAAGCTAACCACAATAGAATGAACAGCTGCAGGAATTCTTCGCTTCATTACTTGCAGAAACCTTAGCCCCCTTTCCCATGCAGGAAGATCCATGCTGCGTTCGGCAGGAGGGAGTTCCTTAGAGAAAGTGAATTCAGGATCAACAACATACACAAGCATTTACTTGGTCATGCTGAAGCAGGGAAAGGCAATGCATGGCAACAGGTCACACCAGATGAGTAGCTTGATCGTAGCACTTCTATACACCAACCTGATTTCTTCTGAGCTGATACTAGTTATGTCTCCAGAAACTAGCTCGTACTGATAGCGGCACTTGGAACAGGATGCAATCTGCACTGAGAATGCCCATTATTCCAGAAGCTAAAGCACTCGCTTCAAAGGCAAATTTCAACCAAACCACTGAGACTCGTTCGCCACGACCAAATCGCCAAAGCTCGAGTATGTATTACCTGAACCCCATGCTGTGGTTGTGCAACTGCAACAGCAACGAAACAAGTCGGACACCTAACAACCCTTCCGAAAGGCACCTGCAAATCCTCACAAGGTTATCAGAATCGTAGCTAACTTGAGAAACATATTGAAGCCAGAAAACAGAATCAAACTATGGCAGGTGAAGAGAAAGGCTGTTCACCTCTTCACTAGGAGACACTCCGACTCGACAAATGTAATCAATCGTTTTAAGCGCATCCGAGACCTTCAACGACGCAGCGAGGCCCCGCACTAAAGCCGTGTAAACACTAACATCCGGCCTCGACCATTTCCATCTCTGAACCAAACCGTCATTCTCACTAACAACTAAGTATGCAAAAACCAGGACTCAGTTCAATTGAATTGCCAACAAAAGCTTTAAAAGAAAAAGATTCGTCTACAACTCTAGATGTGGCAAACACAGCATACCTTGATCGAAACTCGAACGCATGGCGTAGAAAACAGACAAGGCCAGCTCAAAATTGTTCCGATCAAGCGCGGCGTTTATAATCGAACAACAGTCTTGCACGCCAACCACGCCGCTGCTCCGCTGCGTCAGCTCAGCGACTATCTCCAAGGCCTCATCGGCGTGTTTAGCAGAAGAGACTCGTAGGAGCAACGCATTGTCGTCGAACAAGTTGCAGGCGGCGGCTGCTTCGCCGAGCGAAGCTCTGGCTCTAAAGGCTTTAGGAGAGGCGCGGAAGCCGGTGGCGGTGGCTAGTAAGAGAGTAAGGAGAGTGTTGGTGAAGTTGTTGGTTGGAAGAGAGACGTCGCGGAGCTTGGAGAGGTGAGGAGCGGGAGGGTGGAGGAGGCGATAGAGCGTTGGGGAACCCAAGTTGAGAGTCATAGCACTGAGAATTGTACGTTGATCGGAATCGGTTAGAAGACGACGGGGAGAGTTCGAAATTCGGGAAATGGCGGAGTTCCGGCTTTAGGAGAATTGGGTAGTAGAGCTGCTGAAAATTGAAAGAAAGGATGAGGAACGAGAGGCTGAAACTGGCGGGGGAATGAAAGGGCAACTCCCTCGGTGGCCATCGCATGCAAAAATAGCAAAATAATTGGAGCTGCGGGGAATCGAACCCCGTACCTCCCGCATGCGAAGCGGGCGCTCTACCATATGAGCTACAACCCCTTAATGGTATTTGATTTGATTTTATTTTTATTTAAAGTCTTGATAGACGTAGTCCTCAAAAACGAATCTTCATTACATTTTCAGAAGACTCCTTTCTACTACTTGACACTTGACAGATAGACGGACACAGCTACAAAACGGTGCTTCTTCTTCGTATTATTGTTTCTGTCGCTCAGCTATGGCCTCAAGCACCTCCATTGATTCTACCCTTTCTAACCAAAGGTAACCAAGCAAGTTCAATTCCCTTTTCTGCTTTACTTGTTTTCCTGGGTCTGTCTGCCTTCTTGCCCCTATTGTTTGCGCTCCCATTCGTTTGCTTCTCACATTTGCTTGCTCCCTCTTAAATAGCTTCCACTTCTGGTAGTAAAGTTGGCTCCTTGACTTCTCTCTGTAATGATTCTCTTATTTGTGTGGCGTATTTCGATTTTCTGGGTTTGGAGGTTCTTCTTTGAGTTTTTTAGTGCGTAGTGGTTCGGTTTTTGATGTTTCATGAATGGAGAAGGCTAAATCAGAGGCAAAAAAATGACTTGCATCTCTTTTATCTGGTAGTAAAGTTGGCTCCTTGACTTCTCTCTGTAATGATTCTCTTATTTGTGTGGCGTATTTCGATTTTCTGGGTTTGGAGGTTCTTCTTTGAGTTTTTTAGTGCGTAGTGGTTCGGTTTTTGATGTTTCATGAATGGAGAAGGCTAAATCAGAGGCAAAAAAATGACTTGCATCTCTTTTATCTGGTGTTCTTTACAAACCTACCAATCTGCATCTTACTGGGTACTGCATATGAAACTCAGATCTTAAAGATTGTTGCTCAATTGGAAACAAGATTTCAGTTCGTTGAATCTTAAGCTTCCCCATGTTTCCTTTCCCAGGCTATCAGGGAAAGTAGCACTGATAACTGGAGGAGCCAGCGGGATCGGAGAGAGGATCGCTCGCCTCTTCCACAAACACGGAGCTAAGCTCTGTATAGTTGACCTGCAAGACAACCTCGGCAAGAACGTCTGCGACTCCCTCGGCGGCGAACCCAACACCTACTACCTCCACTGCGATGTCACGAAAGAAGAAGACGTTTCTCGAGCCGTGGACTTCACCATCGAGAAATTGGGGGCCCTTGATATCCTGGTTAACAATGCTGGGGTAACAGGTCCACCTTGTGCAGACATCCGAGACACCAAGGTTTCTGATTACGAGCTGGTGTTCGACGTGAATGTGAAAGGCACCTTTCTGGGGATGAAACATGCAGCGAGAGCAATGATCCCATCCAAGACAGGTTCGATTGTGAACTTATCCAGTGTGGCCAGCACGACAGGTGGGCTCGGCCCTCACATTTACACAGGGTCGAAGCATGCTGTCCTTGGTTTGACCAGGAATGTTGCTGCTGAGCTTGGGAAGCATGGCATCCGGGTCAACTGTGTTTCTCCCTATGCCGTCCCAACTGGGTTAGCTCTGGCTCACTTGCCGGAGGACGAAAGAACCGAGGATGCCATGGAAGGGTTTAAAGCTTTTGCTGAGAAGCATGCCAACTTGAAAGGGGTTGGGTTGACACCTGATGATGTGGCCAATGCTGTGCTCTTCTTGGCGAGTGATGAAGCGAGGTATGTCAGTGGTGATAATCTGATGGTTGATGGTGGCTTCACTTGCACAAATCACTCACTTCGTGTATTTAGATGAGGAGTTGCAGTCCAGAATCCAGATGGTCATTCTGTAATTGCATATGCAGCTCTTTTCTTCATTTCTTACTTCCTGTTTCAACCCAGTTCTCTGCCATTTCCCTTCCAAACAAAAAACCCAAGATAATCTTATTCTTGGAATAGATTTTCCCTTCATTTGAAGGTCATATATTCACTATTTCCAAAAGAATGCTCAGAGCTTGTATAAAGCAGAATAGTGCAGGCAGGCACTACTGTCAACTAGATGTGGTTTCATCAACTTGTATCATTAGACGTTCAGAATTCAGAAGTCTCAAAAGTATCATACATCAGCCAATTAAACCAGAGTCTGCAATGTCAATGATATGGAAACCTAAAATAGCTAGTTGCTGGTTTTCCTGATAGACAAGAAAATCTGCAACAAAACCTATAAACCAAAATCAATTGTAAGTACTAATAACAAGTAAATATATCAGCTTTTTCATCTCTATCTATACGCAATAATGCATTCAGCGACAGCAGCGAGCATCTGTTGCTGAAGATGTCATGATTTGGAAGCAGGGGCAATTGGCCATATGTTCTCTTCATAATTGGTCACCATAACAGCATTACTAGAGAGATCAAATGGATCATAAGGAGGCAAGCCAGAGACCTCAACCCATCTGAACGTTGATTTCACACGATTGTAGTAACACAGTAGCAGAGGGCTGGACAGTACCCTCGGCGCAATCACAATCTCATCTTCTGCTGAATCACCGCCAGAAGCCTGTCCAACAACCACGAACAATGAAGAATCCACCGCCGCCGTCCACGAAGTGAACAAAAAGCTGCGCTCCACCCAAACAGATTTGCGAGAAGAATCGTCCAACTCCCAGAACGTCAGCTTAGCATCCTGTTGAACTTGAACAAACTTAGCTATAACCACACGGCCTCCCAATTTCGCCAGACAAGATGTAGCAGCATCTGGCGGTGCATTCCTGTGGAGTTGGATTTCCTTGAAACTTTCTTCACGAACATCAAACGCCACCATTACGGCCTGCGCTCGCTTGCTCGAATCTCCCCAGCTCCTGAAATACACTACCCCGTTCAAGCAAAGGCTCTCCCGCTGAGGGTAGTAAGGAGGCCCACTCTCCAGCTCTCTCCACGACGTCGCCGTCCCGCCAACGGTGAACACTCTGTACTCCGTCTCCTGCTTCCCGTGGATCCTCCACGAGTTCAAGACCTTGTAATTTTGGGAAATCGGATCGAACCCAAATGAATTCACACAGTAATAAGTGGGAGGAGCGGGAATCGCGCGTGGGTTAGAGACAAAAGGAAGCGTGGTGGAACGCCCCGTGCTCGGGTTACAGACGACGGCGGTGAGGCCGAAGTCCAAGCAGACGATGCCGTTGATGGAGTGGGTAGTGTAGCGCGAGAATCTTGGCGGGATTGTGAGGCGGTGGGTGGCGGAGCCGCCGTTGAGGCCGGAGATGTAGAATGTTTGAGCGGTTTGGAGCTTGGTGGGGAAAGTGATGAGGAGGCCGGAGTCCGGTTTGGTAATGGGTCGGTGGGAGCGGGCGAAGGTTTGGTCGTTGATGATGGAATGGCAGAATTTGGAGAGGAACTGGAACCGGACTAGGGATTTTACCGGGAGGGCTGTGAAGATGTCGTAGATTACATCGAAGGGAATAGGATCCCTGGTGCTGGTGGGAGGATTGAGAGAGGAGAAATTGGAATTGATCGGATTTGGGATTTCTTGATGGTTCTTGCTCTCTCGCCGCTTCTTCGCCGGTGGGCTTTCCATGGCGGACGGGGGAGCGATTGGGGTTTTGACTTGGGAATTTGCTTGATAAGGAGACGATGGAGAGATAAACTGGCGAAGAGGGGTAAGGGAAGTGAACGTGAATCGTGTGTCGTGTGTCGACGAAGGAACAAAGAAGGAAGAACGTTCTTACCAAAAAAAAAAAAAAAAAGGAAGAACGTAAACCAGACGAAGTTTAATGGTCCGAGCCAAGTATTATTGATTCATGTATATTGCAAGACATTCGGCTCGAATGCCACATCGACAAAGTACAGGAGAGATTCGTAGTTAATAAATATGAAATCGATGTTAACTGACAAGACGCGTTTTTTAGTGAAACAGAAGTTAAATATGATATGAGCGGAGTACAACAAGAATCGGTGACCTTATGAGAAGTCACTTTGAATTGCACCCTAAGTCAAATATTGTGAGGGTCGAGGCCCAAAGTGGACAATATCTTCGTCGGAAAAAATTGGGGTGAAACGGAACTCCGAAGTTAACGTGCTTTGTGCGGAGTACAACAAGGATGGGTGACCTTATGAGAATTCACCTTGAATTGCACCCCAAGTCAAAAACCGTGAGGGTTGAGGCCCAAAGCGGACAATATCTTCGTCGGAAAAAGGTTCGGGATGTTACATATATTCCTTTTCACTTTCAAAATATAACAGATATTTTTTTTGTTTATTTTGGAATTTTAATTTTTTAAGCATCGGAAATTAGATTAATTATATTCTTCAAAATAATATTTATTTTGTAATAAAATATAAAAAAAATTATGACATATTTTATGGTTGTTCATCATGTTAATATGAATATGAAAAAATCTACAATGTCTTAAAAATATTGGTGCTTTAATTTGTGTATTTATGGTACAATTTGAAGTTGTAGTTTTATATTATGGTTACAACTTCAAGTAAATGTTAATTCTCTTATAATACAACCTCAATTTGTACTTTAAAGCACTAATATTTTAAAATTTAGTAGAAGTGCGCTCATATGAATATATCTACTATTAAATGATTGCATGATAAATGAAATATACTAAAGTTTATCATCATCATCTATCATTTATAACCATTCACTACCGTCTACCATCATTTATCACTATGATATAAGATGGTAAAGCGTGATATATATATTCCCATAAATATCGAGTTATGCATATCACGATGAACAAAAAAATCATATTTTGAGTCAATGAATCAGTAGTACAGTGTAAAAATGCATAAGCATGAGTTATGTACCTTATCATATACCAAATTAAATTGAGAAAGAGAATATCAAGACTACCTAATTAGAGATAAACTAGATCAAACATTATTCAATTCGAATAATCGTAAAAACTATATCATCTAATTCAAAAAATGTATCTCAATATTACTAATTTGGAGAGAAAATCAATCTCCTTGCTTTTTTATTGTTCTCCGCTCCCATCCATCCCCCAATTCCTTCTTCCTTCCAACCTCTATCTAGTTATAGCGGTGGAAGAGGTGATGAAAGCAATACCTCCAAGCTGAAAGCAATGTTGTGGTTGAAATTTTTATGCTAACACAATTCAATAGACAAACCTATTTTATTCACACAAAAGAATAGTAAAATCTTTTGATATACAATATAATAATTAAATCGTTAAATTTTCACTCACTTGAATTACCATTAATCAATCCAACATGGCATAGTGGCTGGTATCAATTTTTAATCTTTTTGTTATGCTAATCACCCTTAATTATCTTTTATTTTTACAAAAATTGAGATCAGGAGAAAAAACCACCCCATTCTCGCCTTCCAAAGCTCCCCCTCCTTCCTCCGGAAAAGATAAAAATAAAAATAGCCACCAATTAAGAATCAATTGCCATGAAGTCGACACATAACTGCATCATTTGCATTAAATAACAAACCACTAACCCTGCATTAATATAAAAAACTCGTGGTCAAGTCCGTATTGATAGACACATGCTAGTCTAGGAGCATATACACGGGAAACAAGAGACATGCCAGCGTATGCAAAAATCGCGCAGCTGAATTGCAAAGGAAGACGTGTACATATATGGCTACAGAAATGCTTACACGCAGAGAAGAAAGGAGGGAATGAAGATACATAGCAGCTGAACCTGTAGCAACGATTCAGAGAAGGCCCCTCAACCTCTGAAAAACATGAACTAAATTGACAAATCCCCAGCTCGAACAAATCGAGGGAACCAAGGCATAAGAGTATACAAGTACAAACCAAACGGCTAATCTATTTCCCACAGCATTCGAAGTCTAAAGGGGAGAGAGGAGGAAGTCAGAAAATCATGTACAAAAAAACTGGAATTGGGAGCTCTCAATGTTGTAAGAGGTTCTTCAACTGGACTTGACTGACTCAAGCAAACTGACTCCTTGCCCATGGAACCCCTGTTCTGCTGGTGTTACGATTACGCTGTCCCCAATTGTTGTTGTTATGCCGTGCACCATTGTTACGCCGGGCAGCATTGTTCTGCTGCAACAAGGCCTTCATCCTTTGCTCCTTCATATTAGCAAACATTGCATCCAGAGTCTGTGGCCTCTGCTTCATGCCCCCATCGCCCTGCTGCTGTTGCCTTTGAGGTGGCTGCAAAGAAGCACAGACAAAAGTGCAGAGTCAATACCATCTTCTTTTACATAAAATTCGAGTAGATATTCAACAGGCAGACCAAAAAAAACATTAAAGGAGAGTACCTTCGCAGCGAAAGCACCATTTTCACCCCTCCTTGCCATGAAATATCCCTCCCTGCATGCACAACATCACAAAGAAAGAATTGACGCCAGTTTGAAGATGGATACCAGAGAGACCAATACCTAGAGGAGCACCAAGCTTCTTCTCCAAGAGCAACACAGATATCAACTGTCACAGAACTAGCCAGCACTGTAGAAGCTCTTGCAACAATAAGATCCAAGTCCTACTCAGGTGACTAACATTACATCCAAATTAATCAATATATACCCTAACATTTCCATTTCATAGAAATATTTACAATCCTGATTTAAGACTCAAACTTAGATGGCTTGTTGAAACAACACGCTCAAAAGAACTTCCATAGAGTAGCGATCCCAAAAACATATTGAAGTACTGTGCCTCGCTGGAGTTGATGAACAAATCTCAGTGATTGAGAAGCAAGCGCCCCCAGAATAATCAGAAGCGCATTTCAGACAAATACACCCTACACGGAAACCTCCCGGCAAATATTATGCTCAAACTTCACAACAACAGAGTGGAAACCAATTCCAGAACTCCCCACAACCAATAATCTGTTGTGCAATGAACCTTAAACAACTGCCCTCCAACCAACCACTGTATGTTACTACATGAAAGAATGCCAATCGGGAATTAAGCGATCAGGGCTGGCTCACATGAGAAGGAAAGTCATCTCTGGAAAATCATGCTGACCAACGTGCATAAGTGCTGAAGTCAATGGAAGGAGTTGGACTTCATTTGCTGGTGTTATATACAAAAACAAACTTAGGCATGGTGAACCATGTTTTCCCCCCCTTTGGTACCAGGTCACCCTTAACTCTAGGTGTTAAGGAGAGCAGGTGGGAAGAACAAATGCAGCATGGAAGGATCATTATGACCAATCTCAGAAGATGACCAAAGAAATACAGCAGACCTCACCACAGGGTGAAAAGCAAAGCACCAATAAACATAGAGGCCGACATAATTTTAGAAGACCAGGCTGACCAAAAAGTAGTGAACAAGGGTTCACAACGTGTCCAGATGAGAAACAACATCTAACCCTTCGGCTCTGTGATTAGACGGTAATTGGAGATGAAACCAATCAGAAACTCAGATCATTAATCTGTTCACTGTTCAGTTGAGGTGGATCACTTCCTTGTAAACTCACTTCAACATCAGCACATGCAATGCTTCCGTAACCAACAAAGAGCGATAGATATTCTAAGAAAAAGTAATTTGCCTACACAACTTGTGCCCCTCAACTAAGACCCCACTACCGAAATAAATCCACCAGCTCCACAAACTACCCAAGTCACGCGTAACACAATCCAGAACCAATGCTTAACACCAACCAGTTAGGCAATCCATTATGGCCAATAATGATGGAAATTCACCCGTAGTAGCACAACCCCCAATACTGCCACTTGAACATGACCAATCATGAACGGAAGTACCACAATACAATGCGTCGGTAAGCAACATTTAACTTGAATACCACAGGCCACAGAAAATTGAATTACCTGAAATAAGACATGGTGCAGTGATGAGAGTGTGAATAGATGATATATCAAATATACATTCCTAGACAACTCATATAGTTCATAGCTGGTAGCACAACTGCAGAATCTTGAGATAGAGCAGAAAAATACCTTGCTTTGTTTGGATTAGACATCACATTACGCTCGAAAGGCCGATTGCGAAGGGGAGCAACTGCAGCCTTTTGTGCAAACTCTTTTGCTATAGGAAAATGATTCCCCTGAAAATTTGACCTCTTCTGTGCTAAAGCCCCCTGATCACCAAGTTGAATAAGATGCACAATGTGCTGATTAATATTAGAGCAATGCAGGAGATAGGACAAACTTACAGAATTGTTACACAAAATAAGTACCTGTCGAACAAACGGCCTAGAAGCCATATACCTCTGCACCTTCAAGGCTTTTTCTTGAACAGAATTGTTAAACAACCTCTGGTTTTTGTTCTACAGATAGAATATGTTTGCCATGTTAGCAAATCCAACAGCAAGGTCATAGAACCAAACACAAAGGATATTTGTCATGAACAGACTCTCTTACCGGAGCCCTGCGTTGCTTGTTTGGCTTTGTTGTAGAAGTCTTCGACAATTTAATGATGTCATCTAATAGAGCACAACAAGAACAAGTCATGAGCAATCGTATAACAGTAAAGCTGAAACTCTATCCAATGAATCAAGGTTGGCATACCTAAGGGCATGTCCAGTTTCTTCTCTGTATTGGCGATCTCTTCATGAGTGAGTGGTTTGGTCGCCATCTGGGGTGAAAAAAGGATACGAAACCCGGTCACGTATAGAAACTAACACTATGCAACCATTGGAACTTCTAATCTCTTCGAAATAACATATCGAACATATCCAGAAGGAAGTGGCAGGTTTCCTTTCCAGTCCTAAAGAGCAAGAAGGACACATGCAAACACAGGAAAGAGAACCACCCTTGAATCAAAACCGACCAGGGCTACATAGTAGCTCTCGCTGAGATTGTTTCAGGAATGAAATTTGGTTCTGATATCTCAAATCACCACCATGAGCACAACAAAACCTAGTCGATTTTAGAACTCAATAATTAACGAATCTATCAATCAACCATCAGCAGCCACGCCAATTACCGCACTGATATCCACTCAGAAATCGGCTCTTCAACAAAGCATAGCCAAACGACGCCTGCAGCCTGAAGCTCCAAGACTTCAAGAAAACAATCTATTGATTCCAGACTACTCGCGCTCAACGCGTCCAGGGCAAACCGCCGAAAGGAACAGATTACCGCAAGAGTTTCCCTCTCATCCTAAGAAGCTAATAGGATTAGGGTTTAGAGCGAGAGAACCAATTCATCGATCACCCATCACACGACGAACGAATCATCAACGAAACGGGCGGGCATTCCCCCAAGCGAAACGATTCAGGAAAGCCACAAACGCAAAGGCAGAAACACGCGTAGTATAAAATCCGCCACAACGTACCAGTTGCGCGAGGGAGGCTAAACCGGAGGACGGATGCGAGAGAGAGAGACGGGGGAATGCGGCCGCAAACTGGGAGCTTAGGGTTAGGGCTAAGCGCTCCGTGAACCAGTTCCAAAGCACTATAGCGCAACGAGTGATTTCTTCGTCCCAGACTCCCAGTAGCAAAACAGCGATTCTTCGGCGAGAAGCGACCAAGTAGTTGATAGAAGATGCACGCACGAGTAACTGAGTTATATATAGGACGGAAGCCCGATGGATTAAGAAAGAAATTATTACTTCCGGAGTTTTGCTCCGTTTGTTAGGTTTGCCGCTTGTGTTAGAAAGACGATAGTGGAAAGGGAACAATAAATAACCAACCGGCAGCACCGCCTTTTACTTGTAAACATCTATAAGATATATGATGGAGATTCATGACTCAACTTTCTTCCATTTCAAATTTTCTGCAACGAGAGTGAAAGTAGGAAGGGTACTTTCGTCATTGCAATTGTTTATTTTTTTATTTGAAAAAAATATCAGTGTCAAGATTTGAACCCGGGTCTCTTCTAACAAGGACAAGAGTCATAACCAATAAGACTAAACAAATTTGTTGCATTTATTTATAAAAAAAACATACAAGAGGCAAAATTCTGAAAATCAAATGACTTTTCCACCACAGTTAGCTACCCCACTGAGTCTTTCTGAAGCATTTTTAGTGTTGGATCTTTGATTATCATTTATTATTATTTTATTTTGACTTCAATAATAATGGTAGTCTATCTTATAAATGGAGGATAATCTTAAAACCGCAATCCAAATATCATTTATTCGAATATTGCATATCAAATTACAATATTAAATATATATGTGCACACACAACCACATATATATGGGTCAGACTGGTGTACTCCTGGAGTATATTATACTTCAGGTACTCTTCGTGAGATATCTCTATCTAGACCATGATTTTTAACCGAGTTTGGGGTATGATACTCTACCCTAACCTCTAATGGATAAACCCCAGGCCCCGATTCTCTAAACTCAAACCCAAAGTTTAATTTAATGGAAAATTATAATTGACCATTGAGATTGATTGGAGCTCAACAAAGTACATCTAATGTCTAGATCATGTGGAGTATACTATACTCTTGGAGTATACCAGTATACTATACTCCTGTAGTATACCAGTATGTGTGTGTGTAGTGTTTTCTATCATATTTTGAGTAAAATCAAAAGGTAACTCATACCCTTGGTAAGAAATGGCAATCTAGACTTTGAATTAACCTGATTTCGAGACGAGACACTATATTCTAACCCTTGACGAGTGAACTCTAGGTCTTAACTATTTAAATCATAGATCCTAAACCAAGGATTATAAAACCTCATCAGAGGTTGTACCGAAAAAGTCGGCAGGAGGGTATTTTATGCGAAAACTGTGGTTAACCGTGATTCAGTCGTTTCACAACACTACATAGTGCCTACTGGTTTAGTCGAACCCCCGGTACGTTAAGGGTTTTCAATCCTTGCCCTAAACACTAAGATTATGCACATAATTTTTTTGATGTATTTTGATGAAACACGACCTTCGATTATTGTTTCTAATAAAATTGATCTTAGTATATGAGCTTCATAGAATTAAGACCTAGATTTTAATCTGTAAGGGCTTAAGGTATAGTACCATGTCCCTAGCTCCGGCCACTAGACATCATTTTCATACTCAGAGTATATCATTCAAGGTCTATATATCATTTCCTTATGTCATTTTCTTAATCAAAATATGATAGAACCACCCATACTTATAGTTGTGTTATCCTGCTGGAAAGTCATTTGTTCTAAATGTTAGTTGGTTGGACTGCAGTTTTATCAGGGTTGTATGTTGTTTGAAACATTTTGAACTTCATTAGTCCAATATTTTTAGTACTCCTATATTATTTAGGGATAATATCCTATTTTGTGTTGAACTTTGATGTAAATAACAATTTTGGCATGAACATTCAAATAAGATAGTTTTGTCCGAATTTGAAAGAAATTAACAAATTTGACCCGAAATTTGGGTCGGTTATTAATATTGAGGGTCAAACATTTCTTTTTTTTATGACTCAACATACAATGTTAAGGTGACTGTGGTGTGACTTTCACGTCATAGGTATAATATGCTATTTTGCCCTACACTTTCAAATAAGACAGTTTTGTACGAATTTTCAAAGAAATGAATAACTTTGACCCAAAATTTAGGTTGCCGTTAATATTGATGAGAGGGGTACAAAGAGAGATAGTTTCGTGCTTTGGGATTTTTGGGGGCCTGAATCAATTTCTTTTTCCTTTTAATATGATTTATGCAAGTAAATATGAAAATATTAGGATATACTAAGGGTCCTATTTTGTGGTCTTTTTTTCTTCTGAAAAATTCACTTTTTTAGACTTTATAAATAAATGACTTGGAAGCCACATCGCAACCGAAACCTCTCTATCACAACTGTCAATATTAAAGGTCAACCCAAATTTCGGACCAAATTTGTTCATTTCTTTCAAAGTGCAAACAAACCTATCTTATTTGAAAATTCGAGCCAAAATTGTCTTTTACATCAAGTTCATGCCAAAATAAGGTATCATCCCTATGACATGGAAGCCACATCGCAATCGCAACCACCTGAGCATTGTATGTTGAATGGATGAAGAAATTTTTAACTTTTAATATTAACGAACAACATAAATTTCAGTCCAAATTTGTCCATTTCTTTCAAAATTTTGAAAAACTGTCTTATTTGCAAGTTCATGTCAAGTTTGGCTTTTACGACAAACTTCAAGGTCAAAATAAGGTATATCCCTATTATTTATGGTCAACTTACCAATCAAAGTAGTCAGTGAAAGTATCAGCAACACTGACAAAGACAAACATATGTAATTCAAAATTAGTTGCACTCAGCCTTAAGTTTGAAGCTCTCTTGAGAACCCGGACTATTTTCTAGGCATCTTCGGGGACTACGACTAGCATGCTTCCAAACCAGCTGATCCTTATTATACTTTCTATGAAGAGGAATAATATGGGTGTATCTGTTAGACATTAATTAGGGTTACAAATGATCTCATTCCTAAAATCTGTTAGAGACCAATCTTTTTCTTTCCTTCTGATGGTTCATTATGTATGTTTTAGGAAAAACAACTCTAATCTTGAACTATTTGCCATTTTTAAGTATTGAAAACCTATTATTTTGTATGTTTTTCTTTTCTTCTTTGAACAATTATATTTCTTTTTTCAGTGATATGTCGTATCTTCCTATTATATTGTAAGCATGTTATATGAACATATTTTTTGTCTAGACTTTCCCGGCCAAGGGGCCGGGCCCAGTGCTAGTCTGCTTAAGGAGGCATTCACCTGCGCAACGGCGTACGGTAGATAGTCTGAGTTCCCGCGTTAAACCTATGCAGCTGTGACGTCGTTAAGCTGCAAAATAAGTAAATACCCGACTCGTTGAGGCTAATTTTCATTTTCATTTTCATTTTGTGGATGAGTATTATTCACAAGATATGCTGGATTATTTGGTGGGTTCAGAATATGTTGATCCAGAGTAATATAGTGATTTTCTTAAACTTCTCGCTATTTTAATAGCAAAACACCATCAATAACAGTTGTGTCCTCATTTTTGTAGAACTAACTCTGTGAATCCTTTATGAAATTATTAGTCTTTTATTGTGGAAGAATAGTCATTCCACAATAAGTGAATAACAGTGCTAGATTCAATGCTTAACAGTCGGGACTATGAGTTTGGTTTTGATTTTTTTTTAGTTTTAAATTAAAATCGATAAGAATGTTAACGGTTTTGATTTTTAATTTTAAAATACTTGAAATTTTAATAGTTTTGATTTCGGATAAAATTGGAAAATCTTTTAGGAACCGGTATCACACTAATTCAGTCAATACTATTCAATTACACGCATTGTCAGCAACTTATGTGTAGTAGATTTCTTTCCTATCTCCATGCTTCTTATTTTTTTAGCGGCTCTATTTTTGGGCTTCCCAAATTATAAATTTGTATTTTGATTTATCTAAACCAAACCAAAACCGTTTAGGATAGTAAACGAAAACTGACTTGCCACATAATGATTTTGACTTCGGTTTTTGGGAATACCTCATTTGGTTTTTGTTTTTCATAATTTTTTGTTTTTGTACAAATTGTGGCATCTTTATTCCAATAGAATCAGGGAAAACAAAGTTTGTTACCGCAATGGAGAAATAAGATCAGCAAACACAAAACAATCTCACGAAAGAAGGTCAAGTCTAGCATTATGAGTAACCCAATCAGCAAGTGAGTTGAGACGTCGGGGAACAAACTCCATCCTCACCCAGGGAGTCGAAAGGAGGATGGTGATGATACGAGCTAAGATAGCCAGACATTGCCATGGCCACAAGTCTGAAACCTGCCTCAACGCATTTACCAAAACCTGACAATCAGATTTGATAAATTTAGGGCAAGGATCCTGAGCCACCAGAATCACTGCATTCAACAAGGAAAAAACTTCCGTTTGCAACGGACTGGAACAAAAAAAATTCTCTACCTTACCATCATACACCTGACCATGAGAATTAACAAACCAATTTGACAGCTTAAGAACTAGGAGCTGAAACCATATCCACAACCGCAATGCATAGCGCGCCCGGAACCCTGAGAACCATTTGGTAAAATCCCAGGTGACACAGCCAGTGGTGACAGTCCTGATATACAACCTGAATCCGTCACTCCATAACAAACAGACCAACGAATATGTTCACTGTAGGGGCAACCTCGAGGACGTGGGGAGGGAAGTGGACGGAATCAGATTCTTTATTCCTGAATGCTTAACTCTCAAGGGAAGTATTCAAACCGCATATAAACCCTATTGAACCTCAATACAAAAGAAACAGTACTTTTTATTCTAGCAATTCTCTGCTTCTAACCACAATCTAGTGTGGCATCTAATCTCCCTGGACGAAAGTTGGAGAAAGAAAATTCAATGTAAAGGGGGGAAATGATCATCATCGTCATCAATTGTTTCCATAGATCCACTTCTCAGCATTACTCGTGTAGTTAACCAGTTCTTCCGGCTTGAACCACAACTTGATCTCGTCCTTTGCGGTTTCCGGGCCATCACTTCCATGAATGATGTTCCTAGCAGTGGAGGATGTGATGTGATGAGATGAGAGGAATAATGTGATGAAATGACATGTGACAGAGAAAGAGATCAAAATGCATACCTTCCAACGCCGACAGCCAGATCACCTCGAATTGTCCCGGGCTCGGATTTCTGAGGATCAGTGGCTCCAATAAGTTTCCTGCCATACTTGATCACACCTTCTCCTTCCCACACCTGCACAAGTGAAATGGTCTTTATCTGACTCGACATTACACAGAAAGAATACTAGACATGGAGAAGTTGGGTGTGTCTTCTCATACCATGGCCAAAACAGGACCAGAGCTCAGGAAGTCGCAAAGGCCATTGAAGAATGGCCTCTCACTCAGGTCATGATAGTGCTTTTGAGCAAAGTCCTTTGAAGGAATCACTATCTTGACTGCCACAAGCTTGAAACCTTTGCGCTCAAATCGGGAAATGATTTCTGAAATCTGGAAATAAAAAACAACATTTGAACGTAGATGTATCATTTATGAACATACAAGCAAATGACAAGGAAGAAATAAGAGCAAAGGAAATGCAATGCTCATCTTACCAGTCCTCTCTGCACACCATCAGGCTTGATAGCAATAAAGGTACGCTCGAGCTGAGAGCCAAATTAGCATTCATCAATTGCATGTTAACAAGAAGAGAAGAAAATAACATTAGAGAGAATCGGGAGCTATTTTTGATTACCTCTGCAGCACGGGCCTCCTGTTCTTGGAGCATGTAAGCTGCACATACAAAACAGAACAGAGGAGTTTTCACATTAATACCAGACAGCTAGACCACCATTCACCAACGATCCAACGGAACCGGAGAGATTATACTTGGATGCTACTCCTAAACTGTGCACAATTTGACAGACAAACAACAATCTATATACTAGTCATGAAAATGCAATCCAAAACCAGAGGTTTCACCAATTGCTACGGCTTGAACAACCTGAGCAAGGTGAATGCTCCTCTCCATTCTCTAACTAACCTCACTCACATTTCAATGCTCAATTCATTAATCTCGCTATTCTATGACCACAGTGCAAGACGAATTTCATTACAGTTGAACAGTTCAAACAAGAAATCACACGTCAAGAAAGCCACTGGCGCTTTAGTGGATCCGGACTCCAACGAAATGCCGCAACAACGTCCACACATTAGGTATACCAGATCAGAAAGGAGTCTAACCTGCCATAGGAATCACAAGGGCTCCGGAAATCCACTGCTGAGCATTTGCAGAGCCGGTCCTTCCATAGGCCGAAACGATGAGCGGCGCCTTCCCGCTCAACGAAACCGCCGCCGCAGCCGCTGCAGCGCGTCCCTCTACATCCATAAAAACGGCTCCATCACCATCAGAAATCGTCGAAAATCGAAAATCACAACAGATAATCTGAACGGAAAAAAGGAATGAAAAAAACAGCCTGCTCGTCGACGGATTAATCCGCCGATCAACGACTCAAAAGAGAAAGATTCCAGGAATCAAAACGCAGAAATCCGGTTCAATTGTAAGCACCGACAGATTGGGGGGAGCAAAATGAGGAAACCAACCGGAGTAAAAGCGAGAGTTCTTGGAAGCGGAGGAGAGAAAGGACCTGGCGGCCCTGGAAGCGGATCTGAAAATCTGAGAGCTCATTTTCTCTTCTTTGATCGGAGCTCAGGGAGGGACGGCAATGGAGGAGAGGAAGCAAGGAGGGAGTGCGAGAGAGGTTTAGGTATATAAATGCGAATATATGGGGAAAAGGGAAACGGAGTCTGTGTGGCTCAGAAAGTGAAACAAACAAACCCTACCCGGAACTGGAGTCCGTCAAAAAAACAAACGCCCCATAATTAACGGTTCGGAGGCACACGATCTGGCTGTTGTTTCTTCTTCTACCGTGAGTGAGTTACTTTCACTTTACAGTTTACACTCGCGTAACAGTCTTGTTCTTTTGACACGTGTCCTATCGTTCCTCGTTGTCTAGGTTTAAGAAGGATCCGCTCCATGATTCGGTTTGACACGTCAGTTACGGTGCCAATTGTACAAGAGTTAGCACCGTCCTAATCAAGGGTTAGTAGTGATTTAACTTAGATGTTGTATTGATTTTATGATAATCCGTAGTGATTTCGTTGTTTTTAGTAGCGTTTTTTGCTAGTTATCACGGTGCTAACCCTTATCCTAATCCCATCCCTGGGGACCCGTTGTGCGGTTGGGTAGCTAATGGCTTTACGTTTTACCTTTTTTCTGTTAATCTTTCTGGGTTATGATTGATAGATCATGAAGATCTTATGGTTAATAAGTGTGCGTCAATGATTAATAAACTTCACTAATTTTTAGATTATAATTTGGACCCACCATCTCATTTGATAATGAATTCAGAGGTTATGTAGCTATTAATCTTTCAAAAGTTTGTTTTTGTATTTTACTTTTGTAACTTTTAAATAATTTTCGAAATTTGTAGATATAGACTTTACTTCGCAATGGGCTGAAAATGTTTGTAAAAGTAAGAAATACTAATACCTTTATTCATAGGTGAATTCAAATGTTGGTGGTATATCCAAATGGTCTTTTTTTTAGTTTTTCAATGAGAATGACAAATCAAAGTCGGTAGCATTCACTATGATATCCTACAGTACAACTCTTATTGTATACCTCAAATTGTAGCGTCATAAGCACATACAGTTTGAAAAGTCAAAGTCGGTAGCATTCACTATGATATCCTACAGTACAACTCTTATTGTATGCCTCAAATTGTAGCGTCATAAGCACATACCGTTGGAAAAGTTTTGTTTTATCATTTTCGTCTATATGTTAAATACATACCTCTGGTTACAGGACCATCAACACTTGAATTTTGATAGAAGGGATCATAGGCGGAGGCAGGGTGTTTGGGATGTGTCCCGGGACACAGGTAAGTTTTGGAAAAAAAATTAATACATCCCTATATATATAATCAAATATTCAAATTAATCGCATTTATAGAGTATAAAAGTATTTTACCACTACAATACAACTCAGTGGTTGTTATTTGATTGATATAAAAGTAATTTATACCCTATAAATAAAATCTTAAATTAAAATAAATCTCTAATTGAGTTCTTTATTCTCAATTACCCTATTCAATTTTGTCCAAGAACTATGAAGCTGGACTGCTACTGGGCTCTCCCTTTTCTAGTCTGCTAGTTTCCATTCAGTTTTAATTTTAATTATCAAATATTTATTTATATTTTGAAAATAGGACACACCTAGTTTTACAAACTGACTCCGCCACTGGAAGGATGTCTTGTATATTGAATGAAAATCATTTTTTATACATGAATACATGATACCTTGAAGGGTTATTTTATCAGTGGATTGTTGAAGTGGATGAAGGTTAAAAGAATATATCGTTTCTCTAATGATGGTTGTGAAAATATTATTTATTTTAGTAGGTTTAAATTTTTTTTACCAAATTGATTATGAATGATAAACTAATGATCGAATGAGAAAATTACATTTCTCTCTTGCCTTTTATCCACAATGAATGCATGTAAAAGGGATCCGCTTGGCGCTCGGGGTTAATTGTACACTACAATATGTCACTTAAATTTTGATTTGTTTCACGTTAGCCACTTAAACAATTTTATTGCAACTAATCATTTAAATCTCACTTTGGTTTCACTATTGCTTATTTCATCCAAAACACTAATAGTAGATATTGAATTATACTTTTTCTCGCGGATTTTTAAAAAATCCTCATTCTCCCCTCTTTGGCATGTCCCTTTCTTTCCAATCTCCTCCTTTGTCCTTGATTTGCTAGTCTATTCGTCTCAATATTTGGTACACTTTTCGAGATCTCAAAACTCAAGAAAAAATAAATAAATTTGTATTGTTCTCGCACTAGAGGCGACATTACAAATTTACAACCCCAACTATCTACATATTAACTATCTAGATTAAAGAAATACACTCAATTTAATGAATGGTCCCCTGCCCACAACGGAACTAATCGTACTAAATTGATATTTGGACATAATCGGATTGAATGTACTATAGTTCGATTTTGATACTATAAATGATTTTATGTACCAAAACTGAATTTGATCTAAATCAAATGAACCAAACATGTTTTTATCCAATTATAATCTTCAGTTTTTCCTGTACTTTTAATCTGATCTTGTCTCGACTTGGTCTAATTTTGTCGAATCAATGGCCCCTTTTCATAATTAACCTTAATTCGTGAGTCTCCAAATTAGGAAGTGAAAGTCCAAAATAGGGTTAATTGCATGGTTGGTCACTGAGATTACAAAAAACGTTCAAGTTTGGTCACTCAAAATATTTAAATCCATTGGTGGTACTTCAGTTTACTGAAACGGTTCACGTTTGGTCACTCTCCGTCCAACTCCGTTAACTTTTGCTGATGTGGCAGTCAACTCTCAAAGTTGACCGTTAACTTAATGACGTGGCAACTAAAAAATTATTAAAAATAAAAAAATTAACTTTTATCTTTTCCACCTCATTATTACATTCATTAAAAAAAATACAAAAACTAATTTCTTTTCTACAAGTTTCTCAAGTTGTTACCACTTCCTCGAAAAACGGCAACCGCCGAAAGCAGAGCTCTATCGCCGGAAGGAAACCTTCAAAGAAGTCCTCTCCTCCGAAACCCCTAATCCCTAGCCTTCTGCTTCGGGACGGCACCCAGCAGCCCGCTCTCGTACTGCAGCGACTCCGCCGCCACCCTCATCAGCGGCGGGGGAAACACCGGCTCTCCCTATTTCCCAAATGTCATCTTACGCTCGATCGTACTCTTCAGAGTCCTAAGCGCCGTCGGCGCCTTCCCTGCCGGAATCCTACCGCCAGCAAGAACGAGATCGCGGCGCCAACGGTAGCACTCGGCCGCAGCCGAGTGGCTATGGTGTTCACCAGAATCAGCAGCAGCATCTGCAGTCGTATGGGCAGGGCAGTTCTTCATCGGAGTACTCGGGCTTCCCGTCGGGGACACATCCTGATGTGATTCGGAGCTTTGAGATGGTGGATGTTGATTGGAGTGGGTATATTGATGAGAAGGAGCTGCAACGAGCTCTCTCTTCTAGATATCAGGACGATTAGGTTGCTCATGTTTCTCTTCAAGAACCCCCACGATGCTCTTGGAATTGGTCTTTTATGTAGCCCTTCTTCTGCAACTCTGGGATTAGTTGCTTTTCTCTGAAGTCCAACCTTTACTAGTTTCCAACTTGTTTTTGCTTTGCATCTTCTATTTGTCAAACCTTAATCGAAGTTTTGAAAATGTTGGCTCAATGGGGTTTCTTTTGTGATTCAGGGCCTAAAGAATTTGCAGCTCTCTGGAGTTTGTCTTGGCCAATGGCGGGTAACTACTCTTATACCTGGTGTACAGTTTACTTGCGTTTGCTTCTTGATTTGTGTAACTCGGCTCTTTTCTCGCCTTCGCTGGTCTGCTGAATTTCTGCAATGAGTTCGATAGAGATGCTATTGGCACTGTAAACTCAAATCTCGTGTATTGTTTACAGGCCATATATGATAGATACGATAGGGACAGGAGTGGAAAGATTGATCTCTTCGAACTGAGGGATGCCCTTTACGGACTTGGATATGCAGTCCAAGTATGATGATGGAAGCGTCAGAAGATCGAACTTGGCTTTGATAGTTTCGTCGAGTAAGTTCCTGTGCTCTTAATCAAAGCGTCAGTTCTTGAACATTTTCCTTCCGTGATTTATTGGACTCGAGATCTAATTCCTTGAAGGTTTCCTCGTCGCAGTCCGGCGACAAAGCTCTACTTTTCGCGGTTGCCGTTTTTCGAGGAAGTGGTAACGACTTGAGAAACTTGTAGAAAAGAAATTAGTTTTTGTATTTTTTTTAATGAATGTAATAATGAGGTGGAAATATAAAAGTTAATTTTTTTATTTTTAATAATTTTTTAGTTGCCACGTCACTAAGTTAACGGTCAACTTTGAGAGTTGACTGCCACATCAGCAAAAGTTAACGGAGTTGGACGGAGAGTGACCAAACGTGAACCATTTCAGTAAACTGAAGTACCACCAATGGATTTAAATATTTTGAGTGACCAAACTTGAACGTTTTTTGTAATCTCAGTGACCAACCATGCAATTAACCCGTCCAAAATATGATGACAACAATTTCGGTGAAATAGCGTTGGATAAAATCGGTTTATTCGCATCCAAATACAATATATGGATTGCTTGCCGGTCATTCAAATAGTAGGAAGATATAATGATAAATTAACAATAATCTGTATAAAAAATACTTCGTTGTTGCGGGAAAGGAAATCATCAATAATTAAAATCCATAAATTATTATCTCGCAACTGACTTACGTCAGAGAACCAAACTATTAAGGCGTCCTCTACGGTAATTTTCCTTTTTTATTACAATAAAATACTGTAAATATAATTTGGAACTACCCTTTTGTCGGATTATCTTTGATATTTTTCAAGAATTGTATATTCAAATATTTTTTGAACACTTCATTTGGCCTTTGCTGTCTTGGTTTTATCTACTAAATAAAATTATCAGCTTACCAGATAATTACGTTTCTTTCTTCCTTCGCAAAGTATTTTGCCATATCACATTGTTGGATTTTGATTTTTTTATAATGCAACGTAAGTTACACAAACGAATTATTTTGTAAGTTTTCTTTAGTTGATATGGTCAAATTTTCCTTTTTTAAGTAAATAGACCGTTCCTATATTTTATGTTGAGATATATATTACGTATTCTTATGAAAATTAGCATTTGATCACAAATGAATATCCCTTTAACTTTGTAGTTTCCTAACTTTTATGCATGTCATTTTTATTGCCGCACCGACCACATTTCAAACAACTAAAAATGCTTCTAAAATGCCTTTACTAAATTTGTGAGAATGTACTTATAGATCCATTCACGCGTTGGACGCTTTACAGTTATTGGATGAACATTATGTCAATTTGTAAATAAAATATTTTTGCGTTCATCCAACAATGATGGGCCATTCACCACACGATCTGATAATTGGACACCTTGTAAACACATTATCATGAATGTCCCGTGAGCATCATAGCATGGTTGATACAAAGTTCGAACAAATATTTTGAACATAATGAATAAATTTCCTGAAGCCAGTTATGAACATTATTCAACAATGAATCACATAATAAAGTACTCAAGAAACTTATTTGAATGGATTGTACTTCACCAAGTTGTATTTTCTATTTTGTTAAAAATAAGCCACTTTTAATCTATTTTAAGAGTATGCCAGATTGCTTACAAAACGTTAAGAACAAAGTTTTACAAAACCTCTACATATCGTAACCAAATTAAAGACAACAAAACGTGTCCCGTACTCACTAATCAAAATTAGTTCAAAACCCCCTTTTCCCATTTCCCTGTCTTAAAAAGTTAGTGCAACAGCTTTTTTTCTGCCCCACTTCACATAATTCCTACCGCTGTGCATCATCCTTTTTCTCCGCTCCGGCGGCGGAGGCTGGCTCTAACAACCACCGTTACCACGGCGGCGTCTTAACCGGACTCCATCAATTCTCCTTTCTCCCCCAATTTTCCGACGATGGCTTCATCCCTTCTTGACAACAGTCCACCCTCGACCCCAGGAAAGTTCAAATCGGACAAAGCTCCGCCGTACCTCCACCACCACCGCTCCCTCCGGCTGCAATCCAACATCTCCAAGCTCACTTTCTACTCTTTCCTCTTCCTCGTCCTCTTCCTCTTCTTCTTCCTCCTCTCCCCTCCTTCATCCTCCTCCCCCCGCCGCCAGCTCACCGCCGATCTCCCCGGGGGCCGCCAGTGGGAGAAGAGGGTTCTCAAATCCACCCGCCCCAAATCCGCCGGCTGCTTCACCGTCCTCGTCACCGGAGCCGTCGGCTTCGTCGGCACCCACGTCTCGATCGCCCTCAAGCGCCGAGGCGACGGCGTCCTCGGACTCGACAATTTCAACCACTACTACGACGTCGATCTCAAGCGCGCCCGCCGCAATGTCCTCGATCGGGCCGGAGTCTTCGTCGTCGAAGGCGACATCAACGATGCCGATTTGCTCCGCAAGCTCTTCGACGTCGTCTATTTCACCCACGTCATGCATCTGGCCGCCCAGGCCGGCGTACGGTACGCGATGCAAAACCCTAAATCTTATGTCCACAGCAACATCGCAGGGTTTGTGAATTTGCTTGAGGTCTGCAAATCGGCGAACCCTCAGCCGGCGATCGTCTGGGCTTCTTCCAGCTCGGTCTACGGCTTGAATTCCAAAGTTCCCTTCTCTGAGAAGGACAGGACTGATCGGCCGGCGAGCCTCTACGCCGCTACGAAGAAAGCCGGCGAGGAAATTGCTCATACGTACAACCACATCCATGGCCTTTCCATCACTGGACTGCGATTCTTCACTGTTTATGGTCCATGGGGAAGGCCAGACATGGCTTACTTCTTCTTCACCAAGGACATCCTGAAAGGGAAAGAGATCAGTGTGTTTGAAACTGCCGATGGAAGGAGTGTGGCCAGAGATTTTACCTACATTGATGACATTGTTAAAGGCTGCCTTGGCGCACTGGATACTGCGAAGAAGAGCACTGGGAGTGGAGGGAAGAAGAAAGGTCCAGCTCAATTGAGGATCTACAACTTGGGGAATACTTCCCCTGTTCCAATGACCAAGATGGTGAGCATATTGGAGAAGCTTCTGAAAGTGAAGGCGAAGAAGAAAGCTCAGCCGCTGCCGAGGAATGGAGATGTGGAGTTCACACATGCGAATATCAGTTTGGCGCAGAGGGAGATCGGGTATAAGCCGACTACAGGGCTGGAGTCAGGGCTTAAGAAGTTTGTAAGATGGTACGTTAGTTACTATGGGACTGCGAAGAAGAAGAATGGTTCATCATCCGCCTTGTGAATTTCTTCAAACATGCCTTCTGTTGCGCTGTTCTCTTAACAGAGTTGAATCAGTTAACCTTTTAGTTTCTTAGTTCTTGTGCTGTGCTTGTGGCTGTGGCTGTGGCTGTGTCTATGCTATCAATGGATCAGTTGCAGTAGTTTTCTTACTTTGATTATCAATAAATCAATAGCCTAGTTGTTGACGAAGATGTTGCTGATTGCATTAGCATGTTCCAATTAAAACTTGCTTTACAAAGAAAACATAATACTCGGTTGGGAGAGAAGCATAAACTGATCTTATGAAATTGTTAATGATGATTCCTCTAGTGCTACATCTGCTTAATCTCTGAGGGCGCTGCAGATTTCTGTTCCAACCATAATGTCTTGAGGCAGAAGGATGCTTATACTGATGCCATTTGAAGTTGAGGTGAAGCCAATTAAAAAATGCCTGCAAAGTGGAGTTGATGTATTTCTCTGATTTTATCCTCTGTTCTCCTGTACAGTCCGGTACAAGGAGTGAGAATTCGGTTTCAGCTTTACTTGTCACTTCGCTTCTGTTTTGTTCATTTTCTCACTGTCCTTTTATATTGGATCTGAGTTGTACAAGTTAGTGCCTCCTCTTCTCTGTCACTAAATTACTTGAAACTGTTGGACATGGCAAAGGTAGCCATGGTGAGATGTTCCGATCCTCCTGTTGTTTGCTGTAGTATATACCTGGTGAATTCTCAAGGAAGTTCATTAGCGATTGGGCAATACTCAAGGTTGGGGGCAAGAAGTGGGAAGTGAAGTGAAGTGAAGCTCAACCAGCAAGGTAGAAAATGGAGTACGCAAAGTTCAGTGCTGGTTGGAGTAAGTTTGTGAAGGCGAATTCTCTGGAGGTTAGGGATGAATGCACATTCGAGCTGCTGAAGAAGAATTGTGTTCTTGTGTTCAATGTTACTATTGCCCGTGGTCTTATGTGTTTCTGAGTTTAGATGTCCGTTGAGTGCGAGTAATAGTTCAGGTTCTGATTATGAACTTTGGTTTGTTCAAGTAGTTCTGTTTTCTCTGGCTTCCTAAGTTGTGTTTTTGGAGAAGGAACATCCAACTGTTGTTTTCCCTTTGTGCTACGTTTAGAAGCTTGAATTTTCCTTTAATGGTTGTGTGTGTAACAAGCAGAAAGTTGACCAGCTGCCTTGCCTTTCAGGCTTGAAGGGTTTATATTCATGGGACCTTGATTTAGAAGTTGGATACTTTGTCTTGTTACCAATCAATCAAACAAGCTGCAGAAAATATGAACTAGAAAGAAGGAATTGTGTTCTGGGAAGTACTACATAATGAATTCCAGGTTTAATGAGAGTTGTCAATCTATGTACATAAACAAAAGGATGTGAAGTTAGAGGAACCACAAGCTCCGATCAAATAGCAGCTGAACTAAAGATGTACAATCGAATAAGCCTACGTACAGTTCAATGTTCAGTCAGTCTCGGAATGATTCTTGGTCTCAGAAGCTTCGTTTACAGCTTCTGCACCACCACAGCCATATCTGCAGTCAGTTTTTAGTGCCTCTAACCATGTGTCCGCCTAAGGAAAATGAGCGCATTTGGAAAGTGGATTAAGTCCAGCACAATTGCGAGAGACGTTTCATGTATTATCAAAATAACAGTCAACTGTAGAAATTGCAGCAAATGAGTCGGGTTTTTACACACCTGTACTTTAGAAGCACTGCAACACTCAAACCGAAGGCCTTGACGAGTCATAACGTAGAAAGAATATCTTATCTCATCATCTTCTCGCCTAAAATCTGGTAGAGAACCCACTTCAACAACATCGGAGAGTAGAGTTGAATCTTGAGGACTCAAATCTGCAAAAAGAAAAACTTGCTAGTTTTTGCAGGTAAGAATTTAGCCATCACAAATCACAGAAAATATCATATTTATGGCTGGCAATAAGAAGAACTAGCCAGTGAAACTTGTGTACCTGTGCTTAACAAATAGAAGAATAAACACTGTCCATGAAGGACAACAAATCGAGGAAGCCAATCATCGATATCACTATCATCAAGAACAGGAGGCTCACCAGGTAAAGCTGCCCATCTCTGTATCAATAAATAAGAAAATATGTATTGGAGGGATGTCATAGGTTTATAAATGACAGCAAGCATATAGATTGCATCATTAACAGGAAACACGAAGAATAATGAAATAACAGGAGCAGTTCATACAGATCGAATGTATAAATAGCCCGAGAGGCGAGCTGTGCGCAGAATTTCATCAACATGTTCCAACCTGTTTAAAACATAACAACATTATCCGTCAACTACTACTGGGAATGCATTCTGTTGAAGCACAAAAGCAAAATGACCCACTATAAAGGTAAGAGATTTAAGCTGCTTACTGAGCTTTAAAGTAAGCTTCCCTTTCTTCTAACTCAGCAAGCTCCGAGCGAAGTGATTCCAACTCTGCAACAGTAATCTGAACCTTTTGCTGGCCATCAGGGGTCCAAGGTAGGCCACGTAGACTGAACATTCTCAACATAGATGCAGCAGTCTTCAATTTTCTCGATGACCAGGAAAGGCTTTGGGGCCTATTCTAAACAAAAAGAAGAAGCTGAAGCCAAAATCAACTCTTTGCTTATAAGAATGAAAACGGTATCTCTCTACCGTGCAGTTCAACTAGACAGGAAATATAGTACCTTGCCAAATTATCAACCCTTGGATGGGAAACAGGCGTAGATTCTGTTCGCAGAGTGTCGTCACTGGAAGTTGAGACTTGAAAGTGATCCGGTATGATATTCAGCTTTCCACGACAATCATCCATGAAGCTACACTTTCGAAGAAACAGGAAGAGAAGGATAAAGAGAAGGATCATCAATACTACGGAGATGCACATTGGTAAGTCAAGCATACAGGGTCAATTTTCCAATCCATCCCAGACAAAAGAACTCTTCAGCTGCTGCTCTATGTGCTGTCTAATATATATAAGTCAAACCCATTTTTTCCAATCTTTGGCATATTCAGCAGAAGATTCATGCCTCGCTGATCCTACTGCTATGACTGTATGCATACAAGTAGTTAACAAAGGAAGCAAGTTTAAGCAATCCATTATGTCTAAGATTCAAGCTTCTTAGGCCAAATTCTAATGGAGGAATAGAAATCCACCCAAAAGCTCAATCCCCATAAAAAAAAATTTCACTTCAATCACAGAACTGAATTCCAACACCTGCAAGCAGATTCCAGACAGCAACTTACACATCACAGCCACACCCACCAGTTACCCATTATCAGCGCTCTGGCGAATCCCAAATCACGAAATCCAGATCACACAGAATGATTAAGCTGCTGCATAATCTCCGGAGCTTAAAACCTAAGGCCCATAAAACGTCCGTACAACATCTAAAGTGCACGAATCTACTCGGGAATTTTATCCAGAAATTTCTGAACTCGGATAACTTTCAGCAGACAAGCAAGCAAGCTATGGGAAACAGATCATAAAGGAATAATTGGAGAAAGAAGCTGGAAGGAAGACCAGCTGGGTGAAGGGTTGCTTTACTTACCGAATATGCTACAGTAGAAAAAGACCCTTTATGCGTTGGCGTTGATAACATGAACAGAGGAGCAAGAGAAGGCGAACTTTCCTGTGGTGCGGCTATGGAGGTTTTGTTTTTCGCTACTACTTTTGGCTCGCAGGAAAGTGGCTTGACCTCCATGAAAGCAAATATATACGGCGAGGTTGAGTAGGTATTTTAGTTTTCTCAAAGTTCGGGGAAAAGAAAAAACTCCTAACGGATAGATAAATTTTGGAAAAGGGTTTACTTACTCTGTTACGCAGTCCGGTAAGAGTTTATAGACGAGATAAATAAATCAATGTATTCTTATTTATTAAACAAAAATAAATTATAAAATCTAGCATCATTTGACTCATTATACATTTTTTGTTGATTGGAATTCTCTATTTTAGGTGACATGAAGTTTAATTTTTTATTTCCTGAATATCTCTTATGAGTTGATTATATATTTATGTTGTACTAATTGAGCATTATTTTTCCATACTTGACTATCCGTCGCTTTAACCCAATAATTGAGCTGTACTGTGTGAGTATTTATGAGATTATTTCAATGTGCATAGTTATGAGATATTAGCGTGTTATTGTGAATAATGAGTATGTTAGATAGGTGCATAACAAGTTACTGCGAATCGAATGACCCGTCATGTGTGAGTTCGTTCCCTTCCTTTTTATTGTGTCTCGTTTTTATGTTTAAATCCTTTAGAAAATTTTGAATATAAATTTTCTTACAAACATGTTGCTCATCGTATGTTTTAAACGTCAACGTTCAATAAGTCCATACAAAATTAAAATCCACATATAGACTTCCATATGACAAAGCAGGTAAACAAATTATATAAACACACATTTGAACCTACTCCAACAACTCACAATACACTGCTAGCCAACTTTCGTTGGCTTCATCAACTTTTTTTTTTTTGTGTGTGGTGAAAATGGATACAAGCGTAACTATCTCATTATTATAAACTGAAAGGATGGTAAAACCACCAACATATTTATACAAAAATCGGGAGGCAATCAGAAGATCAGAATCTCCTGCCAGAAGCTAAAGAATAGTCCCTAAACCTAAGTAATCAGACAAGAAGTTCTGAAGTTGACCTCTATTCCTATTGTCAACTAATAGTTGTTAATATCTATCGGCATCTTGAGATGAAAAAGAGACGCGTCTATCAAGTGTATGTTAGTAATTGTTATTATCCACGTCCGAAACCAATATCAATGGCAAAGGCATTGGAATAAGATAACCATCTTCCTTAAGTAAAATATCAATGTCAAATGAATATCAAGACGTGTGAAAGTACACATAAGTTCACATCTTCTATCTCCGTATGTACACTTATTTCATTGGTAATAAGTATAATCAAAATTAACCATTAAATTTAGAAGTGTTAAGAAATCAATGCGTCTCCTCCACTTAACCTTCTTTATATGAAGCAAATGATGGAATGGGCCCGCAAGGAGGGATAGTACGCTGGACTTGTTGCTCGATGGGCTTAGAGGGCTTGTGGTTTATGATCAAACGAAATTTCCTGCCTAGCCCCGAAAGGGTCCGAGTCCGACCATCTATAATTTCATTTTTCATGGTTTGTTGAATCGATACTACACAACACAAGTTAGTGTAACAAAATTTAGTGCTATAATCCGTGGTTCAATCATTACAATATCATTACAAACTTATCATTCAGATAAAATCATATATTCAACTAATATAGTACAAGTATATATTGTTGGCCAAAAACCGGTTGATATATTACTTAAGATAGCCAGTATGACCGCGTTAGTCAGGTCATCACAGATTCTCAACAATACACGTACCTGTCTAAATGACGATAGAAAATTCTCCGATCCAACTAACTGGTTAGTTTCATTCATTGTTTGCAAATCTTATCATAGCGACGGCACGCCCAAAAAAACTAACTACCGAAACCAAAACCATATAAGCAAATTAACCAATATGAAACAGTTGAATCACGAATGGTCCTAGAAATTTTCACTACAATTTGCGGTACATATTACTCTTACCTTGTGGCTTGGGTTTGTAATATAAACATTAAGCTAAGGCTAAGCACTAGACATAAAAGCCCTTATTTGCTGGACATCTTTTAGTGGAAAACATCATTTGGGGGAGAAGAGCATCAAATGGGCCCCTGTGGCTAGAGATATCTACGGCTTTAGGGATAAAGTGGATAACATCATGATTCACGAACGAATTCGAGAAGCCACTAAAATGTTACCAGAAGAGAAGGGATCAATCCACATGTAACAATCACAAACGTCAAAAGATGCTTACAGAGGAGAGAAAAATACAAGAGATGAGATGGCAAGAGAATAGGAATATAGGACTATCCCTCCCACGAGCCTCAAATTTGTGGCCAGGATTTTTCAAGCCACATCTTCCCCGCTTTCATTCTTTCCCCAAACCTGAAACCAGGCTTCTGAAAAACCCATGGCCTCTTCTTCCATCACCCTCCAACCCCTCCATCAAGGCGCCCTCCTCAGATCCAACTTCCTAGGGCAAAAGGCCCTCAACACCAAGCCTCACAGGCCATCGTACTCCTCGATCCCTAAGGATTCGAGGCTCAAGCACGTAGCACGCGCCAAATTCGACCTCTCCCAGCTCCTGGGAGGGAGAGGGCTATGCAATGGGGAGGAAGGCCTGGAGAAAGAACTCAAGAGGAACGTCGAACCAACTAGCTCGGATCCAGATGACAAAGGAAGTCCAGTGAGCCAGTTGCCCGAGGGCGTCCCAGAAGATGGGTTTGACAAGGAAATGATGGGCTTAACAGGGGGATTTCCTGGTGGAGAGAAGGGGCTGCAGAAGTTCATTGAGGAGAACCCACCACCTAAAAAGACTGATTCAGGAGCTCTAGCAGGGATTACTACATCTGGAAAGAAGCCTAAAGCGCCCGAATTGCCACTCCTGATGCCTGGTATGATTGCTCTAGTGAAGAACCCTAACAGTCCATACTACATGTACTGTGGCATTGTACAGAGGATCACAGATGGGAAAGCTGGGGTTCTTCTGGAAGGAGGGGTATGGGATCGGTTAATAACTTTCAGGCTCGAAGAACTCGAGCGCAGGGAGAAGGGTCCGCCGGGGAAAAATCCTCTGTCGGTTATCCTAGAAACTAAGGCTGAGAAAGATTCATAATCTGCCAAGTTTTTTCTATCTATGCCGTATGTTCATATGTATGCTTGTGCAGACTAGGCAGTAATAATAAGTTCGATTTTTGTAAAGATCTTGCAGTATCAGGCACAAATGAAAAAAAAAAATTACAATCAAGCAAGCTTTTGATTTCTCTGTTGTAGTATATGAAAAAGACTCAGTTGAAAAAAATGGTGCTCTCTGTTTTGACAGAAAATCAGTATAGGAAATTTAGATGTTCCAAAGACATTCAATTAGAAAAGACGCACCATCTCCTTTTGAACTTCAACCAGATGATCAGATGCAGCCGCCCAACTGCCAAGTAAACGTGAAAAAAAGATCATTTCATTAGTGAACAACACCAGCAAATCTGTTCAACGGATGCTCAAGCTAAAAATAAACCGTTTGTGGCCATTTTTCCCACTCAAATAATCCTCCTACTTCCTGGCTTAGGAACGATCTCGAAAGCAATAATGAACTGATCTTTCTTTATAAATTGAAAAATAAATGTGTTCTTTTAAGCTAAGAAATCAGACTTCTCATTTAGAAACCAGTAGGTATCTAGGCCATTAACCCCAGTAAAAAGATATTGCCATCCAGCATTGGTTGTAATGCAAGTAAGGATACATGCATGACATAGTAATGAACAAACAAGCAAAATCACTGGCAAACAGCAAGTATACAAGTTCTAAACATACCAAGATCGCCTCAATCTCATCATTAGAAACTGGTGTTCGTTTGGGTTGAAGAGAAGCTTGACCTCCAAGAGAGTTTGAAGCCTTTGCACTGGAGAAGAAGTTGGAAACTACATTTGCAGCACTGGAAGCTTCTTCCATCTTGGTAACAGAACCTGCGAAAGTAAATTTACCAGCTAAATTGACAAAGGCGGTAAGCAGTGAAAGAGCTATTCCAGGTTCAACCATTATAGTGACCCTTTCACATAGCTAGTTGAATAACAAAAAAGAAACTCGAAACTTCAAATAAATTAAGCATTTGCCTTGAAACGAATTTCAATGAACTTTGTTTCATTTCTCCCTTAGGTTTGGAAAAATACATCATGGTTTACGAAACTTGCACGCACAGCATTTCAGATAACATTCGCTACGCAAATCTAATGCTCAAGCCTGCATATCGAGTATCAAACAGCGTCCATCCTCAAACCAGAAAAAGGTTATCATTCCTCACTAATCAACAGAGTTTGCTGAACTCCTCGTTTGACAAGACATTCTAAGATCTTATCACTATAGAACACAGATCCAAACCTAGTAACCCTTACCTCCTCTTGTTGATACCAAGAGATGCCTCAAACCAAAGCCAAAAAGCTACTAGAATGATACAGCGCCCGCATACCCGGAAACAAAATGTCCCAAATTTTCTCAGAATCCATAATCTAATCGTCTGGTTCAAAAGGGTCTGCCACCAGGATTAGGTAACACTCAATCAAAACAAACATCAAGCAGCGTACTCCCCAAGCCAACAAACCAGCTAAGGCCTAAGGCCTTCCAAATTGTAAATCAATTCGCATTCTAATGAATACATATCCAATATCTCATCTAAGTTTCCCGAAATCACCGAACTCGTATCCGGAAAACCGGAATCGAGCGTCACCTTGAGTCGCACAAAAAAAAACCGAGTCGAAAGGCATTGCCGAGAAAACACATCAGAACGTTAAAAAAATCTTCCGCTGAAAAATCGAAGATATCTTACCTGTGGAAGGATTGGGGCGCCGCTGGGGGAACTTGATGCTAGGGATGCGCTTCATTGCCTGTGCCACTCCTGCCATTTTCTTCTTTCTGCTTTCTTTCGATTCTTTCGCCGCGGACCCTTCTTTTTCCTTTCCGCCGGAACAAATGGAAGTTGCTAGACAAATAGACAATTCCCGGTCGTGCTTTCGTACCAAGAGAAGAGGAAGGAAAATAATAAAGAACTCCCGGTCGCACGAGACGGCGACGTATCAGTTTATTTGCTGCCTGTTCCGCGGTTCCGCCTTCGCATTGCTCGAGGCTCGAGCTTCGCTGCGGCTTGCGCCCCCATCCACTAAAAAGCCCGACAGAAACCGAACCAGGCCCAAGTGAGCCTGAGTGAGGCCCATTATAAGCAAAGAGGCTAATATCCATAGCCCATAGCTATATCACTTTCGCATGCATGATAGAATTCAAACCGTTGTCAAAAGAATCACAATGAATCAGCTATTTTTTTTTGTGACAAAATTCTTCTCTCTTTTAACTTAATTGTTGAGTTGAATTTTCATCTATGAATGCTTATGGTTTGATTGTATTATTATCCAAAACTAGACGAGTCCCCTGTTACATGAAAAAAGTGCTAAGAGACGTACGATATATCTATCACTAGGGTGTCATGTGGGTCGCTCGACCGATCCGTCTCTACTCTCCAATATATGCTTTCTTATAAGTGAACCCATCATGATTATTAGTCATGATGGAGTAGAAATCTACGTGAAAGAGCTAAAAAAAATAAGTTTTAGAGATTTGAATATGCATTTGGAAGAAAAGCATTCGCCGAAGATCAGACACCTTGGTTGGACTTGATGTTATATAGACAGTATGCTCTACTTGCACAGCTGCATGAATTAAAGCCAGTTGAAAATGGAGTCACAAAATCAATGGGTAGCTCTATCAAACAGAAATATAATGCATATATGATATGATATATCCACCACATAGGGCCTCTTCTGAACTCAGTTATTACTTATTAATTGCAAGTTTGACAAAAGAGATGGAAAATCAGACAACTTGGTTGGTGAATGATGCAATTATGGGTAGTGTTGAAACTGTTGATGATACGTGTTTTCATATAGATTTCTCTTTGAGTTTAGATTTTACTGCAGCATTTTTACCATATGGGTGAGTACAAAATAGGATTGTACAAATTAATGTATTTTTCGCTTAGAGACTTTTTATAATGCGGTCACTGATTTGAACGAGTTTATAATGCGTTCACTGATATGATACGATACTACCCACCCTAGAAATAGTAGATTATAGAAATTAATCTCAAAACACACTATACCAACCATATCTTCTTCATCACCTTGCCTACCGAGTGAAATTCATCTATGAATATGGGAGACAGAAACATTTATTAAACTGGGGGAAAAACAACCACAAGAAACTGAGGGAGACTGATCTTTAAAATATTTTCGCAGCAAAACAACTGGATGCCATCTCCCTAACCATCAACAACTAATTCGGTGGATTTACTGTGCAATTCTTAATACTAAATACTTTTTCTCTACATCTTTCCCTACCCCACAAATAATTATCCCTTTCCAACCTGAATTGGTTTTGATTCCTTTCATTTCCCTTTGGCTCTCCTTTTTCTCCCAATATGACAACTTATGACATATGAGGATCTATCTATGAAGTTTTCTTTGTCATTTATATGAATCAACTCATTCAAATAGATTATACAACAGATTATGAGCAACTCCGTGTTCAAATCCAAAAAAAAAAAAAAAATTTGTTCATAACTAAACTCGTTTCCATTTAAGTCAGCTCGTCCATTCCATACGATAAAGATATATAATTCCTTCTCCAAAATATAAATATACACAATTTCTATTAAAAACACCGATCTCTCTTATATACACAATGCATCATAAAAATATTTTTGTAAAAGGGTTTTATCACCAAAACCCACATGGAAAAACAGGGCACCATCGGACATAAGAGAAACAGAGGTCCCAAAGGCAGAGAGGCAGGGGAAGAAAAAAAAACCACCCCTAAAAAAAAAAGTGACCCCAAAATATGAATTTGATCAAATCACAGATCGAAAATGGCGACTAATCTATCTGCATCCTAATAATATCTCCCCGATCCAACCTCTTCTGGGCTCTCGATAATGCTCTCCAAAGAAGGCTGCCAGCACTGGTAGACACTAACCGATTTCAGTGCTCTGTTTCTCTCGATCTCAGCCAGAGCATCCTCGAGCTTCTTCGTGGAGCCGCCGACGGTGCTGTTGCTTCCATTACTTTTCACCCTGAGCTCGTACATGAGCCATTCGAGCTCGTCCTTGGTCAGAACTACCTTCACTTTCACCCCACCGCCGCCACCGTCGTCGGTTTCGCCCTTGCTGATGAGAAATTCCCCTGACTTCTCTGGATTCGTCGTATTGTCGGATTTACGGTTAACTGCGGGGAGATCGTGTTGTTCTTCTACTTGGTGTACTTGGCACCTTTTCTTGCTTGGGGCTAAGCAATTCCCCATGGCGCGAGGGACTGAAAGGAAGAGAGAAGAAGAAGAAGGAGGAAAAGGAGAGAAGAGAAGAGTATTATGTTAATGGAGTAAGTTAAAAGTCGAGGTGCTGATGAAGGGAGAAAGAAGAAGGGGTACTTATAGAGAGACTGGCTGCCTGGAAACTTCTACGAAGATTATTAGATTTTTTTTTATTCTAATTGTTATATATTCTTTTCCTAATTTCTGAGTAGGGGTGGCTATACGGTCCGGTCCGGTTAAATTGTCCAAATTGATCCGGTCCAATCCGTTCTTTTTGAAAATATAAGGACCAAAGATTGGATTGGATACAGTCTGATTTTGATTCGGTCCGGTCTTTACCCGGTTCGATCCCAATTCGGTTTTGATTTTATATTGAGCTTGTGAGGATTTGAGTGGTCTAAGGCCTGAAAGGGTAAGGAGTTGGTTAAGTTTTGTACTAAGTGCAAAAGTTTGTGACCGTTTATGCTAATTACCCTTAAGTTTTTGGTGTTGAGCTCTCTTATCCGGTCTTCATCCAGTTTTTCATCCGGTCCCAAACAATTTCTTACCTCAAATCTAAGCCCAAAGATTGGATTGGATTGTTTACTATCCGGTCCCGTTCCGGTCTCGGTCCGGGTTATACAATCCAGTTTCGGGTGAAACCAAATAACCCGGACCAAATAGCCATCCCTATTTCTGAGATTATAAAATACGGTATAAAGTGACAGATGACAAGTTTCCAAATAATGTGAGAATCGTTCAACTAGATACTGTTTCTTGTTTTTTTTTTTACCGGTTGCAAAGAAAACAAACACTGATTGGTATCCATCTTTTAATTACTATCGTACAACAATTAGTATATGAGAGTCCTATTACCAACTACTGAAAAATGCCAGCACCTGAAGTACATTAGAGAGGTACTCTTCTTGGTGTGGGTAGTGAAATCATGTGACAAAATTAGTCAAATGCTCTAATCTGGTACCATATATAGTTCAACGGACCTGGTGCTAATATCCCCAATGTACGTAGCCAGAGACGACGACGATACGAAATTTCCATCGCGGTTCGTAATGGATGGTACGGTTTTAGTTTAGAAATATCCGCGGCATTAGTTTGTTAAAATGAGTTTTGGAATACGATGTCGACAGCGGAATGACAACTGGGCTTGAGCTAGCTAGGTGGGATGGAGGTCGAACCCATTCGTGTCGGTGTTGTAGCTAGAATTTCATTATCACACAAAATTATTGCATTCGATGGAACGAATGGATGATGATGATGATTAGGTTGAGTACTAGTAGTGGTGGATTAAGGCCCTAATTATGCTTTGATTATATTAGCCAGGTAGCTAGCTAGGTTGTTTAAATTAAATAATGACTTAATCGAGCCACTCTGCCCAAAAACCGTGTGGTGGTGCAGCAGGTACGGGGCGGTGGTACGTACTGCGACTCTCCTGAGAATTATTGGAGTAGTGTTGATATTAATTATTAAGTATAATAATTAATAATTAAGTACTAATTATTCAGTGAAGAAAAGTAAACTATATAATTAGAGCTATAAATACGGTGGGGGTTACGTGTAATCGGGAATGTGCCACCCAGATACATGGCTTGGAATTAAAGAACTGAATTAATGGCTGCTGCTTGCTTTCAACTTTCAACCGTAACCGCCGGGCCTAGCTTTAGGAAGCCGGTGGAGGGAGGCTTAATCAATTTATAGCTGGGTGGGGTTGAATCATTAATTATTAATGTTGCGAATTTAATTATATTGTGAATCCATGCATGAGGCATAGACCTGTTGTTATGATGTAAATTCGATTTCGTTCAAAAGATGAGTTAGTAAACGGAATAAGATCCATAATACGCGAAACTAAACAGTTGTTGAAACATCCATCGTCATCTGCGGCCGGGCTGGAGATCATGAGATATATGACCAAGAACATGCAAGAAGGTGCGAACTGGCCTGATTTTCTTAATTAATGGCTGCCGCGGCAACCCTTGTTATATACATCCGTTCAATTAATTAGAATAAAATTTGGTAGTACGTTGTCAGAGAGCTCAATTAATAGACTACGTACGAAGAAGCCATGTTCTGTACATAAAACTAATTTGTCCATTTAGTAGACTTTTGATCCATGAGAATTGAGATGCATGGCGGTTGCATGATATAATAATAGTTCTTAAAAAAAAATATCGCTGGAAGAATTCTCTCCTAATAGTTCAAATTAATTTATGGAACTATTAAAATTATTTGTGGGTTTTCTATTTAGGAACGAAGGAACCTGGGAATTTAATTCGGCAGACAGCCAGATACTCGGTGGAACGATTAAGGAGTCGGTTCCATTCCATATAACAAAAAGAAAGGATATTATTATCATATTAATAAATGAAACTTGGAGGTTCTTGTTTTCCCAGAAAACAAATTCAATGGGAACCCAGTTTTCTGTACAAGTTATGAATAATAATACACGCACAAAGAAGTTACTTATGAGTAGGAATGGCAATGGGTCCGGGGCTAGATTTTTGGTATCCAGACCCGCTCCGTGGCAGGTCGGATAATTTATTATGGGTTGTGGGTTGGGGCAGGTCGACTCAATGGGTATGTAATTTATATAAAAAAAATATTAGAAATATTCGTTACTTTTATTATAACACCAAGAAAACAAACAATATTATGATAAATGTAGTTAAATTATTGGAGAAATTAAGGTTTTCACTAATTCACAACTCTATTATAGCTAAAATATGAAGCAAACAAGCCCAATATTACAAGTAATTTAGGCAAGAACAGGTCGAGAATAGGGCGGGTCAGGGCAGGTCGGGTCGATGAGAGTACTCATTTCCGTCCCGTCCCGCCCCAAAGCAGACCAAACAGGTCGAATAAAATGGGTCAGGTCGAAATTGTCATTCCTAGTTACGAGTGTTGGAATTTAATATCGACTCCTTCTCTAGAAACTACTAATACCCATTCTAGCTAATTTCTAAGCTGATTTTTCCTCTCCTTACTTTTCCTTTGTGCCAGTACTTCTTGTTCTTCAGTTGGCTAATTGACTGGTAAAGCATTGGAAAAAACAGCAGTCTCTAAACGATTCCTCAATTAAGTTGCAGGGAGCCTCCGTCGACCACTCTTGGAAGATATGCCACAAAAAGCTATAATCATCACCATCAGTTTGATCGAGACCATTCCAGTTGAAATGATCATTGGATGCAATTAACTAATAAGATATTATTATGATGAGGGACACAGACTAAACAACAATCGCTTCACAAAATCTTCCCCAGAATTTGTGGGTGATTTTAGTGGACTTCTGGGAACAATTTTACCAACTCTAATCGCATAATTACCATATAATAACATTGCCATGTAGTGACAAATGTTGCAGTTCTCAAACCAAACACCCCAAAAGTAAAATGAAAAGGTATACATAAATGGTGTGAACGTGAGAGTAGTTACTAGTCTCTTTCGTTTCATCATATCTAGCTTTATTATGCCTTAATTTGTTGGATTATAGCTTTTACCAACACTCGATGAAAAGCTACTTGTCATGTATGCTTTTGATTCGTTCTGCAATATTCAGAGGTGGACTCAATGTAAAGCATGTCGGTGAATGGAGGTTCATGTTGAACTTCATAATTAACGATGGTGGGATTCTCGTAAGAGTGGATTAGGGTTTGTGTTGCGCCATACTCTATACATCTTGGTACCAGCTTGAATGGAGGTTCATGTGGATTATTTTCGAAGCCTTTAATTAAGCAGCTGGGATCCACCAGGTTCCCCACCTCATCTTTAACTAGATCTCGGCTAATTATTAAGCGAATGAAGAGACATAAAGATTAGACATTATCTAAACACGATTTTCGCACTTTTCATTTGGGGACGTTAGATGGAACATATGGTTGTGGAATTGCTAGACATCCTCCACAAAATTTGGCACAGAATCTTGCATGCAGGCTAGGCACCACATGACTAGCTAGCTAGTCTCCAATTAACCTAAAAACAATCCCTTTCAATTCAACACAGCCTTAAGATTTTTCCATCAAATAACCACCATGCACATTCAAAGATTTTGGAAGTGGCGGCATCATGATGCTATGTAAACCTAACTTATAACTTATGGTGGAGGTTTGACATGGTAAACGAAATGGACTCCTGTTTTGGAGGGAACCAAAAGGGGTAAGGGGAAAGTTAATTCAATGATGTTGAATCCCTAATAAGGAGACTAGGAGAGAGAGAAATTCAGGGCTTCAATACTAATCTTTGCATGTCTCTTTCAGTTTGGAGAGAGTGAGATTTGACTGAGACGACTACCCAGGCGACGGTTTTAGCTGACCATCTGGAGAGTTTGGCCATGTCTTCAGTCTTCACATTTTGGTCTGTAAACCAGTTCTGTTCTGGCAAGTAGTTAAGCCTTTTGCTAGGCAATTACATAACTAACAATATGAAAACCAAACCATACTCTAAGTACGTCGTACATACTCCCAAGAGATGCACTTGGAAGAAAGGGTCCGTTAGGAAGCAAGAAGTATGCATGGTTATATGAATCAATCTACTTTACAGGTGTAATTTAAGAAGACGTGCATTGTTAATTGGAATACATACCACTATACCAGGATCTTTGAGTCCTCCAGTCCAATAGAATCATTAACAACTTTACTCTGTGTAAACAAAAACCAATAATTCAACAACAACACAGAGTGACAGACAGTCTCCAAACTTAGGTAAGAGAGTGACAACACATCCGACGTTCTTATAGCTAGTCGCCATTTATGGTTGAAAATCATTAGAGCTTCTGGAATTCACAAGGATTTAGTTAGTGCTGTGTGTGAGGGTGAATGGGGTGATGTTTGATTATGATTTCTTCTAAATAGAAATGTTAGGAATTAGTTAATTAAGATTCACATGTGGACTTCTCCCGACAACTTGAATTATTAGGATCGGTTGGTTTATGACATGGTATCAGAGTTGGTTTGTCTTTAAGGTCACGTGGTTGAGATCCATACATGGACCCTCTCCCAATAAATCGAGTTATTGGAATCTATTGGGTTTATGACATGATAACAAAGTTGATTTGTCTTTTGAAGTTATGTGTTCAAGTTCTCATAAGCACGGAATGATTTTATATTTATAGCAATACTATGGAAAAATATTAATCAGTTTTAATTGTAAGCAAGAACGAATAAGCTATTCATTCATCCAAAAATAAAATCTAGCTCTCACGAGGGATCAGTAAAACAAGAAGAAGAACAAGAACATGCTAACTTCCAATTTGATTTCTCCTTTTTGAAAAGCATAAACTCTTGGCAAATTAAAGCCATTTAAACTGGCTCTACAATTGAAAAAATTCAAGAAATTCCATAACAGAAATCAAGAGGTCGAACCCAGTTATATGAAAAATGATAACATCTATCCCATTCTAATCATCTTTGGAAAAAGAAAATCCAGCTACGAGTTCACATTCAAACATCAAACTATAAGGATCGTAATCAAAATCACTAAAATGTTTCAACTCTTCTAATCAAATTCCCATATTCATGTATAGTGGTTTCCAGTAAAGTTAATTCGAACTTCGAAAACACCCTTTGTAAAACGGGGGAAAAAAATAGCTGATGGTCCAGCTTTCCCTGGTGACAATCAACTGTGGAATCACATGCACTAAGAAATCAATCTTTCCTCCAAATAAATCAACAAGGTTTACCTAACCACATGTTGAGTTCGTTGTTCGTCAAAAGGGAACAAATCTCTCTACCTAAAGAAAAGAAGGAAACAAATCAATACCCACAACAAAGTATGAACAAGGCAATAATCCAAATTACAGACACGACCAAACCGAATAGCACCTCGAGCAATGCCGAAACAGATCAGCAGTTTGGCCGATCTCTCGCTACGTGTCCAACCTCCTAGCGAAATCTGTTGCTTCTTTGACGTTGACAATGGAAGAAAATGTTAGACAGAGAAACAAACCAATCTTCGATGAAACAAACCAATATCTCAAATAGAACAGGATGACATAAACAAGTGTTGAGGGAAATCAAAGTTGAACACATGATAAGACAGGGTTCTACAACCCGAGTTAGGTCCTGCTGTGACTTAACATATTGATATTGTTTCCATGTCGGCCATCCTTCTATCAGTACGCAAGGTTGTAGTTCAGTTCTCAAACTAACCCAACAAGGCTGCATAACTTAAACAAGAGCTTAGTGCTGCCTCGGTTTTTCTAAGCAAAGCACACTAGTTGCGCCTGCGCTTCTTTGCCAGATTCTCGAAGATCTGATGCACGTCAGATGATGTTATTGTCTTCGATGGATCAAATGACTCCTACATAAGCATACATTCTTGAGGTCAGGATACAAACAGAGAAAATTATAACCAGAACAATGCAGATGAAGAAAAGCCAGACTTCTAGCAGCTAAATTGATGTTGGGAGGGGATTTCAAACCATGAATCACCAAGTTATTGGTTACTGTAAAAAGTGTCTGCTGACTTACCAGGAAAGAACGAAACTCGTCCTTAAAGTCTGCAATACCACCAAGTATCTCCATTTTCTCTACATGACCAAGTTTATTGATAAAATCCAACTCGGCACCCTCTTGTTTCTGCAGCTTCTCTTCCCTCTTCTGCTTTGCAATTTTCTCATACTCAGCAATTGAGTCCTCCTTGTCAATAAGATAGCTTATATGCTTCTGCTTATACATTTCTAAGCAATTTTCACATCTGCACAAAGATTCCCTCCAGCTTTTGGCCAGAAAGAACGGTTTGATCTCTGAAGTAGCAGGTGGAGATGCCATGGAACCAGAACCTAAGGCACAAGCAGTGTGAACAGTACTGTCTTCCTCTGCACATGCATCTGAACAATTGTTCTTCTCAAGAGTTCCGTTGCTTGAAGATCCCTTCTCAATCGCCACATGATTTGGGCTAGTACTCAGTACAACATCGTTTCCAGAAGAACCAGAATATACACTATTCTCGAGTTTGCCATTTGCACAGAGAGTGGGATGGCTTTCCATTACACCTTTATCTTTACTGGTATTAGAAGTGGAAACGCCAGCCTGGCATTCCGAAGCTCGGATTGCTTGAGGATACAGTGTGAGAAAAGAACATACTACTGAGCATGTTTTGCAAATGAAATCCTCGTACAGAGGTTCTCCATCACTGTCTCTAGGAATCTACAATGTAAGAAAGGAGGAAGGACTATTGATAAGCACAATCAATTAACTGAACTAAATTACCAATCAATTGAGCAAATAATTAATGGCTAGTATTATAGAAGTACGGACTGCCAAGAATGACTTAAACAAGGAGGAAGATCTCTATCTGTCATCCAAGTAGGCAGGGACCGAGGAAGCTGCAAACCTCGTTAACAGTCTCAAGACCCAGATGCTCTTCATGAAACCAATCCTCACACAAGATACACTGAATCATCTCCTCCTGTTGTTCAGCCTCTGGATCAGGATACGGACGCCCGCATGTGCAGTATAGACCTTTGAAGTTTTGATTGTATGAATTCTCAGCATTTTCAACATCTTTGTTAGGGCAAAGCTTGCAAAAGAACTCCCCAAACTTGGAATAAATGAATTCCTTAAATTATGAAAAATTCATTTTGAAATGAAACATTTTTGTGTTTGGTATTTGAAAGAATTCATTTTCAATTCTAAATTTTGAATTTTATGGAATTGGTACCAGTTATAGCAATTCCGAGGAATTGAGATGAAATTTTCAAATGAATTCCACAACTATTTACTAATTATAATAGAATGACATGATTATCCCCTTTATTAACTAAATTACTTATATATATGACATACCAAACATAGGAATTCATTTGACAATGAATTCTACACGACAATTCATTTTATTTCTACAGATTTAAATATGACATACCAAACATAAGATTTCATTTGACAATGGATTATACACGGTAATTCATTTTACAATGAAATGAATTTTTTATTCATTTAGTACCAAACGGTCTGACTGTTAGATTATTGTTGTAATCGAGATTCGTCTGATAATGCGGTCAATTGCATCCTTCCATAGTTCCATTTCAACACTAGCCATATTCATTATAAGTTTGTACACCGGACTCTATAGCCAATGCTAGTAGAGACTAGAGATTACATTATCAATACAACCATTGCTTAATAATATTTTCAAAGAGCAACCAACACCGGTTAAATTGGGAAATTTAGCTGACTTGTACATATAATTGTTACAGTGCATAGATATTAAAGTATCATTAGTCCAACTAATGAACTTAATTCGCGTTCACACTGTCATTATATAAAAAAAAATTACATCTCTAGTTGTAGCTCATAACAAAAGTTGGGCACGCAATTGTCGATAATGAGATTACATGGACGTTTCGAGAGTTCAATTACATAAGCATAAAATGTGATGCAATTCGTGCTAATGAGGATGAATGTATCATCACATCTATCTATCTACCAAATAGCGCCCAACACACAATATAACAATGGGACTGCGTACCCTTTGAGCCGTTTAGCCAAATTCGTGCTAATGAGGATGAATTGAGCGGTCATTCACATCATTAAAATGGCTGGTCAAACCCAAAGAAATGACTTTTTTTTTTTTTTTTGAAAAAAGACCCTAACCGTCCGCCATTTCCCCTTTAACTCCCCTTCTTCTTTCTGTCCCCAAATCGATTTGTATACATACATTTTGTCACCTCTAACCTTGGAGCTTTCAGCATCTCCTCCTCCCACTGGGGAGCCGGCAAAAAATCCCACCACTGTATGGACCCCTTCACCACCAACTCCTCCTAATCAATTTCATCCTTCCTTCCCCCCGCCAATCAATTTCATCACCATGCCTTCCTCACCCTTCTTCTCCTTCACTCTCTCCCTCTGCTTCCTCATCAGTACCCACCTCTCCGCCGCCGCCGCCGACACCTGCGGCCGATCATGCCGCCTGGGCTCCCCCACCGTCCGATTCCCCTTCGCCCTCACCGCCGGCCGGACCCACAACAACAGCAGCATCCCCAACACCCGGTGCGGGTTCCCGGGTTTCGGCCTCTCGTGCGACGGGTCGGGTCAGACGGTCATCGCCCTCCGAAGCTCCGGCGAGTTCATCGTCCAGTACATCGAGTACCACAGCCAGGTCGTCTACATCCGGGACCCCGGCGACTGCCTCCCGCGCCGGTACCTCGATTCCTTCTCCCTCGAGGGGACCCCTTTCGTTCCCGAGGCCACCGGGATCTTCACTTTCCTCAATTGCTCCGGGGCCCCGACCGGGCCCGGATCCGGGTCCCCGTCTGCCTTCGTACCCGGGTCGAGGCGGGTCGGGTGCCTGAGCGGGGAGGCGTTTACGGTCCGGGCGATGCGGACGAGCGCGTTCCGCGGGCTGAATTTGTCGGCGGAGGCGCCGTCGTGCAGGGTGATCTCGACGGCGGTGAGGATCCCGGTGACGTGGCCGCGGTGGTCGGATGCGGACACGAGGTTGATTTGGAGCTTGCCTGATTGCTTGCCCTGTGAGGAGGACGGCAAGAATTGCGGGTTCAGGGATGAGACCGGGTTGGAAATCGGGTGCTCCGATCCCGGTGAAAAGAGCCAAGGTAAAGTTTTCATAGTTTTTACTGTGCTAGTTAGTTAACACTTAACTGTACTCTTTTACTGTTTGACTGTTTCATTTCAACCCGAGTAATCTACAAGAGGAATCAGACAAGCCCGCTAAATGATGACGTATTTATATTTACCCCTCAGTGCTCACTTTGTAAGGTTAGAACCGGGTCGTAATCGGCAGCCGTTTGGTTAGAGAGTCAATCCAAATTTCCTAAAAGTCAAAGAAATTAGGGCGGGGTAGTAATTAATCACTAATCAGTGGAGCAAAATCCCACAGCTAATTGAGTGGGTGGGGCCCAGATGGATTGGATTATCTCACATTCGCCACTCGGCAGCCGCTAGAATCGTCTGGTGGTTGTCTTGTATACTTGTTTGCTATCATCAGCGAGTAAAATTGCTTCATAGGCCACCAAGAGTTTTATTAGTGTAGATGTAATCACTAATCTTTTTTTGTAGTTTAGTTAAACTTACTTGGTTGATTAATCGTTGCTTTCGTCAGTCATACGTAAAAGAAGAATGAAAAGGAATTACGTTACTGCAACACATGGGTCGGTACTCAGGTAATTTGTTGCGTAAAGGTTATTTTTTTTTTTCCAAAGAAATCTGAGAGGTTAGAATTAGGTACCTAAAGATTGTTGTACAGTCACAGTGACTAAAGTGAACTTTGTATAGAAGATAGTGTCTCTTAAAAGCAATTCGCCAATGGAATAGTAGACGGTCGGTCTTGTTGCCTGCCGTCTTCTATATTTTCCTGCTGGTCTTGCTGTATATTTTAAGTTATTAATTTAATATTCTATGTTATTATAATTTTATTTACCGAGTCCAATGTTCAACACTAGGAAAATGTCACACTGTCTCTTTGTGCATAGAAAGTTCCTCCAAGCATACATTCTTTTCTATTATCATTGCGTCTTCTTCTGAAATACTCTTTTATATATCTCAAAGAATTCAAATAGTTTAATTGCAAGGAATTTTCAAAGTAATGAGTGTTATTAATAATACGCTGTGGTAATGGGAACTGTTGTTCTGCTTGTCTAAGCCATTTTTACAGACTGATTGGATATTTATGTTAAAGAATTATTAGGTATTCATGACAATTAAGTTGTGACCAGGAGAAAAAAAAATGTTAATAAAAATGTTAACATTGGGGTGTTTATTTTTGTCAATTTCCAGGAATTTCGAGGAGGGCCAGGTACGGGCTGGTCCTAGGAGTGGGAATCCCGGGCCTAATCTGCACCATTGGGCTGGGCTGCTTCATATGCACCAAACTCGAGTCTCGAGGGAGAGACAGATTCCACTCGGCCGCGGATCTGGCAGCCGCCGCCGCGATGGGCCCGCAGCCGGCCTCCGTCGTGCTGTCGGGCCTGGACGAGCCGACCATCGAATCCTACCCGAAAACCTTGCTGGGGGCGAGCCGGCGGCTGCCGAAGCCGAGCGACAACACGTGTCCGATCTGCCTGTCGGAGTACCAGCCGAAGGAGACGCTGCGGACGATACCGGAGTGCAACCATTACTACCACGCCGAGTGCATCGACGAGTGGCTGAAGATGAACGCCACGTGTCCTCTCTGCCGGAATACGCCGGAATCGTCGGCCGCCAGCACTCCGTCGCCTTCCTTGTCTTCCACGTCGTCGTCTTTGCTCTCCACGCCCTAGTCATTGATTGATTGGTCTTTGGTCGGGTTTTTTTTATTTGGTCTCTTCGGCCGGCATTTAGATAGCGGCGGAATATACGAACTTGTTGCGAATTCATTGTGAATATTGTCACTAATACTCGTTGAGACATTGGGCAGCTGCATTTTGTATTCTTTTTTTTTAGGGATCTTTCTGCCGCTACTATATATCAAAGACAAAACAAAGATGAATGTGCTTGCTGGATCAATTTTAGGTTTTGTCCTGCTCTGGTGGAGTTGTGTACTTGAGAGTTGAGACTTAATTATTTGACACTACGTAGGTGTCATGCCCCGGGATGTCTAATTTCTAACTTATTGTCAAATTCTCCACCCTCAAAGGGAACTCAATCTACGAACTATGAAAACGCATCATAAATCATTAATCAAATTTATTTTGTATATTTTTATTTTTATGTTAGACCCACCGTAAGCAAAATTCTGACTGCATCGGGCCATGATAAAGGACACAATCTTGGAGTGGAACCTCCACATTATCAATTTACAAACTCCCCACAGCATCCCGCCACCAGCGTCAAGCGCATGAACGAGAGTACTGGAGGCAAAGCCCGGAAGCCGAATCTTCAGCGCGCGGGAGAGTCAAAAAAGGAAACCACGTAGGCATCGTACATGACTCAAGACATTTCATCGAACACCTCCCCTGCAAATATAAATTCCCACTTCTCCGAACCCAATTCCCCTCAACAACCCCTCATCGCTCGCCTAATTAACAATCACCAGAAGTAATCATTGATAACTAAACACCGTACACAAACATGAGCATTCTTTGCTACCCGGCAGCCGTCGTCGTCGCGGCCGTGGTCATCCTGGCAGCCAGCGGCACCGGAGTGATGGGCGCCGATGAGCCTGCCCCGCCGCTGCCGTGTTCCACGGTGTACGACGAGCTGCAGGCGTGCATCCCGTACCTGTCGGGACGCGGGGACCCGTCGAAGGAATGCTGCGGCGGGGTGAAGGCGATGCAGCCCTACTCCAATGCCAAGTCCTCCCGGTCGGCGATCTGCCAGTGCCTCAAGTCGATGGCGAGTTTGGTCCCCGGGGTTGATCTGTCCGCCGCCTCCAAGCTTCCCAAGAAGTGCAACGTCAACGTCAAGCTGCCTGAGCTCTCTCTCGACATCGACTGTTCCAAGTGCGCATTAAAATCTTAATTATTTTCTCTTCTCCTGGTTTCCCATTTGGGAAATAAAATTTTGATTTGAGCTGTTTTTTCCCTTCTTTTATCTTTTTGCAGGGCCTGATGATGGTGATGATGCAATCGGTGAGGATGGATGGAGTAGTTATGATTACTGAAATAAATTAATAAAGCACTTTTTCTTTTGCATTTCTTGCATGGTGAATATGTAGTGCACACTAGGGCCGGGAAACAGACCAGACCGTTAGAAAAAAAAAATAGGGGTGTCAAATGGTTACCATGGTTATAACCAAACCAAATAAGGCTAAATTTTATTAATAATGAAATACAATATTATAACCAAACCGTCCAAACTAATACAACAACCAAATTAACCAAATTAAAGTTTATCGGTTTGGTTAATTGGTTAACCAGATTAACCAATATAAAATCACATTATCATCGACGATGAAAATTTTCCGGTTAATGCAACAATTTGCAATTTATATAATGAATAAAATATAACAATCAACACGTAGTTATAGTTGACCCTTAACAAAAATACATGCAACTAAGACAATTATCTTACGATTAGTATAGAAGTATTCACCTAACAAAAATTTATGACAATGGTATGGGTTAATGAATTGTTGTGTTTTTGTAAATTGACTTAGTCTCTTAGTATTATAGGCTGAAAATGACATTCCTTTCAAGTTTTCATCCATTATAATGTATGAAATTTATCTAAATTAGGCGTCCATATGTTGTGACCTACATTTTACATATACAAATATACACTATATGAGAAATATTGAGCTTTATATTTTATGAGTCTAAAGGGATGAACGTTAACTCTTGAGTGGTTATGCAAAGTATTAAGTATGTGTATATAATATATGTTAGATATATGACTAATTACTTAACTGGTTAATTTGGTTTGACTGGTTAGGAGTCTCTGAAACCAAACCAAACCACCTAAACCAAACAAGCTAAAAACTTTAACCAAACCAAACCAATTATCCAAATTATCCAAATAGTACTGGTTAAAGCGGTTACCATGGTAACCAAACCGTTAGAACACCCCTAGTTCAAACCGTACCGTACAGTTTGGTCCGGATCGTAGATCGTTAAGTATGGTCTGGTCTGGTCCATGGTCTGTATTATTTTATGTTTTGACCTCTTGGTCTGGTCTGGTCTAGACCGGGGTTACCGGACCAAACCGTGGACCCAACCGACTTGTCAATACGTGCTAACAGCCCATTTGACCACTCTCCCAACTCCCACAACAACACCCAAGTCTCAACCTTAATTTTGTGAATCTCGTCTCTCCTTCATTCACAACCACATTAACCTGAGAGTAGAGATAATCATGTGTCAATATGACATTATATTAATGTTTTATGACGTTATGGTGCAAGTTGGGATGCTTTTACTTTAAATCTTTGTTATGTACTAAGAATTAGGGTACCAAAATTATTCATGTATGTTAGGATTAATGTTTTAAGGCAAATAGCAATTATTTTTCTTGGTTATTGGTTCAATTTTTTGTGTGGTTGACTAAACAAATTGTTCATTTTTCGTTGAGTGTGATCTATTTAGACCAGACCAGACCGAACCAAACCGCACAGGCGTGGTCTGGACTGGACCGTATAATCTGTGGTCTATACTTCTGCCTTGCGGTCTGGACCATAGACAGTATATATGGTCTGGTCTTGACCAGACCGCACCGTTTCCCAGCCCTAGTGCACACAGGGAAATCAATAAAGATCATATTTCCCTATAAAAAAAAATTAAGATCATATTGATTTATCTCTGTTTCCATATTTGTTCGACCCAAGAATGTACCATAGGCTGACATAATAGTAATTGGGGCTCTGATTTGGATTCATATGTTCGATTTCTTTGAGAAGAGAGAAATTTGTGAAGAGGAGGGGATGACCGTGATCTACGCTCGACGCTCAAGCTAGTATGGGATATGAGTTGGTATATGTGATTCTAAATAGACAAAGGTAGAGAAGACCTTGCGTGGTGAATGTGGAGAAGAGAAAAAAGTTTTTTGCTTATATAGGAGTCCAAGGCTTCAAGTGGGCTAGCAGTCCCGGAGTCGGCGTCTTCAGTAAGCTGGACGCCTCGAGTAGGCTAGGTGCCTCATAGTGGGCGCCTTCAAATAAGCTGGTTAGGTGCCTTAGACTCATTGATGACGTGTGTCGTTGTCGTATTAGGCATGTTAATTCATATCCCACTAGTTGACCATACTTCTTCTATTTTGTAGGGATGGAAGGACTAACACAGTGCATTATTTTGTATTAATTTATCTTGCTTGTGAGTTCGAAAGATGCGCCTTTGCCCCTTGAGATGAGGTGCCTCAAGTGGAAGCCCTAGGGAGGTCCCTTGAGGTTGACACTATGCGAGCTGGATGCCTCACGAGAGTTGCCTTGGGATTGACACGTTAGAGTGGGTTGGAGGCTGCCCCTTGCATGTGTTGCAAAACCATTGATTTTCCGATGTCACATGAGGTGTTAAGTTCCGACGCTTGCTAGCCCTTTGTTGTCCGCGCTAATAGGCCCCACCATCGTTCAAGAGAAACGAATAGAGGCTCTGATACCACTTGTATTATCCCGAACCTTTTTTTGACAAGATATCATCCACTTTGGGAGAAACCCTCAAGCTTATGGGTGGACAATGGGTTGGTCCATACCGAACTGAATCGATGTGTGGACCGGATCACACCGAATCGAATATAATATGGTTCGGTTTTTGGTCCTATGAATTTTAAAAATACTGAAGAAAAATGGACAGAATTTACATTTGGATCGGACCAAATGGACTAAAGCGGACCGAATGCACTATTGGTCCGGTCCTTGGTCCTAACATATCTTTCACTATTGGACCGCGGTTCTCCTGAGTTCGGTGTGATCCGGTCCGGACCTATGCCCACCCCTACTCACGGTAGTCTTGGTTTATGTCAAGGTGACTTCTCATAGTCACCCATCCTTGCAGTGCTGTGTAGTGACTAGTGAGCAAGTTTAACTTCAAAGTTATTGTAAAAACTCTTACAATTCACCTAAAAAACGTTGTTTGTGAGTTAAGATGAGTCTCTTACTTATAAACAATGGACAGTTCCCATATTTTGACGATCGTGAGATTCACTTAAAATATTACCCACTTAAAGGAAATTCAACGAACTAGCTAATGATGAACACAATCCGATTAACACAAAAGGTATCTTAGTGCATCCACATCAGTCTCTTTGTCTCCAACTCAACTTTTTTGCAAACTCATATTAATTTCATTCACCTACAACAATGAATGAATGAAATTAACTTGCAATTGCATATGTGAGTCTAAATTATTATTTTGATAAAACAAAAGGTTTATAGAAAAAGAAAAAATCCAAATAAAAGAGAGATAATTGCATTTATGCTAGCTTGCACAAGTGCAATTAAGAGTAATTCAATATACGTGTTTGGTGCGGATGCTCTTAGTATATTTTATATAAAATTATCTATTTTTAAAAGATTTGACTTTTTTTTTTCTTTCCAATAATTACCTGACTAACCCTCTTTCCCAAGAAAGTAAAATATCCTACCAAAACCAAAGTGCAGTCCAGTCCAGTCCTAGCCCTAGGGCGAGTTTTGCATTTTCACCGTCATCAATCCCACGCAGCTCGTCGAAGCTCGACTCTAACTTTGCACGACTACTTTGCTGGCCTGGACTGGGTGCCCAGACGTGAGTGTTTCTTCTTCAATTCGCCTTCCCCAAAACCACACCGAGTTCCGAAGCAGGTAAGCCTCTCCTCCAAATCGTTGGATTTTGATTGGTTTCGCTGCTTGATATTTCCCCGGTTTCTGCTCGGCGAATCATTGTTGCACCATTCGACCTTTTCCTAATTTTGATCTCGAAACTATTGCTTCTCTTAGAATGATAGAAGTGTCTGCCCTTTTCGTGCTTCGTCTTGCCATACGGGAAATTAGTTTCGGTACCCCCTCAACTGGGTAGCTTGCTGCATAGAATGCGAACTTGAGGCTTTGTTGATTGATCCGCTCTCTTATTAGGATCGTACTTCAATTGCTTCGACTCAACGTACTAGGGTTCAGAAATGGTTCAGTTTATGGTTACAGATTTCTTATTTTTACCCCATTTCGTCAACTGTGTCTCGCAGGAAATTCTGTTTTGTGCTTCCATGGCTCACTTTCGAAGCCTCTGCAATAGGTCAAGCCTTCTTAGAAGGCGGGTTAACCCGTCTTTTAGCTATATACTTAATGACCATGATCGTGAAGAGAGTTCGGTTGATGGTGGCCTCTCTCAAAAGGGATTGGGGAATGTGTACCAGCATCGGTTCTTTGGTAACAGCTCTGGCAATACCACTGCTCTAGGTCTCTATCAGGGCGTAAGACGTACTGGGTTTTTGCTGCCATCAATTATCGGATCATCTTCTGCCCGGTATATGTCCACGGCCATTGGTGAAAGTTCAGACAAGATTGAACTGATCAGCGATGTTGCTGAGGTTCTTGCAGAAACACCTATTGAAGCTGTTGCTAGCCAAGCTGCTGGTGTTAGTGAAGTTGCGGTTGCTGCTGCCGATTCGTTCTTGCCTGTTGCATTCCTTCAGCATTGCATTGATGCAGTCCATTCTTTTACGGGATGTAACTGGTAAACAACTGGTTCCATGTCTGTTTAAAGAATATTGCCTTGGGAAAGTCCTGAAAAAGGAATTCCTTCTCTTTTAGGGGAACACACCGTTCTTATAGAGAGAGAGGCGCTGTCGCATCTTCTTAACCCGAAATGGATGTGGTGCCCTAGGAATTTGTTATGTGATGCCATGAAGTATGCATGAAAAGCAGCGAGTTCACATCACTAGATTCATCCATGAATATTTCTGTATCATGGATGAGAACCTTAGGTTTTCTAGTATTAGCATGGATTTTACTTGCAAACGCTCTAATAATTCGAGTCAAATAAAATGTGTAGAGTGCAGTTGTGTATTCATGAAAAAGTTCCATGCGTTAAATGTTTTGGTTAAAGCACAGAAGCAATTTCCTTTACTTCTGAAAATTACCTTATAGGATGTCATACATGCTTCTTCTTTAAACACCCTTTTGCAGGTTTCTGTCAATCGCTATAACAACTCTAATCATAAGGACAGCAACTGTTCCCCTCCTGATCAATCAACTTAAAGCTACCACAAAGCTTTCAGTAAGTCCTATGCATGTTGAAAAGTTATGCACATGAGCTTTCTGTTAAATTCCCAACCATCATTGTTGACCCACCTGTATCCTTTTGTTCATTGTATGTTGCTGCCGCATTTTCTTACTTGTGTTTGTGTTTCAGCTTTTGAGGCCGGAGCTGGAGCAGATTCAGAAAGACATTCGAGATAAGGTTTTATTCTGCATTTTGGTCTATTAGATTTCGCACACTAACTAGAGATTTTGCTTGAATCATGTTTCTTCTCATTCGAATTTGGCTTAAGAACTTTTTCCCCTATGCTTCCTTTTGCTTTTCATTATTGTTCTCGTGTTCTTTGATATTGTAAGTTTGTGCTTTACATTGGGGAACTCTGCTCTTGCTGGCCGGTTTGAATTTGGTAAATGCAAAGTTTAATGGGCACTATTGCAACTTCACCTGATGCCTTACTAGCAAAATGTTGAAATCATTCATTTTTAATATGTTTTATTTTGCCTGACTTGTTTTCTTTTTTTGTTTTCCTTCATTAAGCAGTCAAACTTCCTCAGTGAATTCCGGAGTTGTTCTTGCACCATTAAAAAATATCTGTGTATTGTTGACCTACACTCATTGCTGATCCTTTTCATGTGCCTGTGGTGATTGAATTACCTTCTTAAAGTGGTTTCAACGAAGCTTTCTCTTACGCTATGTCAATCTCACAGAGCGCAGAGCCAGAGGCTATTTATGAAGGCCAGAAACAAATGCAGAAGCTTTTCAAAGAGTAAGCAACTTCTCTACATGCTTGTAATGGAAGCAATTGGATAGTTCATTTTTCTAATTGTTCAATTTTTCCCATCCACCACCCTTTCTTGTGTTATGAAAGAGATAAAATCAGTTATTCACGACGATCTTCTAGTCCTTTTCTTGAGTATTTCTGACGAGATTCTAAAAATATTAGGTTAGCTCCATCAAAAGTGTAAATATTATTGGGTGTCTTTGGATTTATTTTAAGTTCCTATTTACTAGTTATTATTAGAATGAGAATATTGGGTCTAGTTGTAAGAAAGCTCCTGGAGAAGTTTTTAAGGCAGGATTAATTATGCTCTGAAGCTAGTAAGCAATGAAACAATAAAAAATAGTGGTTTGTTTTCTCACCCTGAGAAATCTTTTGGTCCCATTCTTACCCTGAAAGAAGAATTTCACTTGATAGGGACCGCATCAACCCTTTATTGACTCACGAAAGGGTTACTCCCATGTTTGGCTTCCTCTAGCTCTGTACTGTAAATTAATTTTTGTAATGGTTTTTTATTCATGCAGATATGGTGTTACCCCTTTTACTCCATTGAAGGGGATATTTATTCAGGGTCCTGTGTTCGTTTGCTTTTTCCTTGCGGTATGTGGATTCCAATCTTTTGTTCCAATCTTTTGACGGTTCCCGTGGTATAGATTTATGATTGGTGAAACAGTGAATCTGCTTTTTGTGCCATTTTCAACCGACATTGTGCAAACATTCCAGATCTCAAACATGGTGGAAAAAATGCCTTCCTTTAAAAATGGTGGAGCATTCTGGTTCACTGATCTGACTACTCCTGACAGTATGTACCTACTTCCGGTTTTGACGGGATTGAGTATCTTGATAACAGTCGAGGTAGATAATTATTTCCTGTTTCAAGCCTTTATCTACTAATGCTTTTCCATTATATTTCCAACTTCTTGACTTTAAACATGAATTAAGGTTAACAAAAATGGTAAACTAGTCCTTCATCAGATGTTACATCATTTTGTTTTAGTCCTTGGACATTGGACCACGTTGTCTCACTATTAGACTAGTTTCCTTGTGGTATGGAATTGGAACTAGTCATCTTTTTGTTTCACTTCTTGTTGCTTCATAATTCCTTGTGTTTCTTTTGTCAGAGTAACATGCAAGAAGGGTTAGAGGGAAACCCCATTGCTGGTACCATGAAAACAATCTCAAGAGTCTTTGCTGTGGCAGCTATTCCATTAACCGCGTCCTTCCCCACGGTAATTTTTTGTAACACAATATAATTTTCAATTAATCCCATAGGTTGTGAAATATAAATTCCTTTCTTCCATTATGTTCTCCTTGTGGTTTCAATTTATAGTTACAAATCACATGCTCATGTTCATTCTATGTGTGGAAATATAGTCCCTTCCACTCCACTACATAATTGATTTAATCAACTGCTGCATTCTCAGTCAGCTTTTGCTTGGAGTTCTGTAATTCTCCTTCCTGCTTGTTTTCATATTCTGAAACTAGTTGCAGGAATGCAAAGTCTTGGCAAGAAGAGTTTGGAGTACCCTTACAAGGTTATTCCAATTAGGACGGAAGTTTAATATGTTTTTCTTGTTTCTTCAGGCTTTATTTGGCTATTGGTTAACATCCAACTTCTTCTCATTGTTATATGGTTTAGGTAAGTTACTACCTTTCTGCTATTTCGAGGGCCTCTGGTATCAATCAGTCATTTCTTTGGTTTCTCTTTATATATGAAAGGGGAAGTAGAATGCTAAGGAAGACAAATATATATATTGCCTTTAAATTGCAAGCAAGGATGTATGCCTGATCTTCTGACTTGTGCCTTTCAGCGCTCAAAGTTCCTGGGGTGAAGAAGTCCTTGGGCGTTCCTGAAATAACCGTTCCACCAGCGGCCACCACAGCTGCCCAGGCACCCTTCAACCTGTTTTCAACACCCAAACAGGAAGTAGTGGAAGAAGTGGCATCCGTGTCATCTGATGAATCGTCATCGGCAAAGACATCCAGTCGTAGAGGGTCATCATCTTCAATTCTTAGTCAGAGACTCAGAAGTCTAGAGAAGCAAGTTAAGGAGCGGAAGAAAAGCAAGAAGTAATGCATTGATTTTGTTAAAGTGATGGCACGGAGGAAACAAGGTTCGAAGGTGTTTTAAGTTGAATTTTACTTATGATTAGTCATATATCAACAGTTTAGAAGAGGAAGAGAGGGCTGTTTAGGTTTAAAATAATACCCCTCTTTTATTACGTTTTTGCTTTGATATCCGATCGTTTTGCGAGATATATGTACTTGAAGGCTCACAACTATAGGAGAGGGGGAGAATGAATGCCCTGTTGCAGGAGCTAAAGGCATAGAAGAAGAGCTCTGTTTAGGACTTTAGGTTCTCTATTACATTGTCTTTCATTTGTTGAACTATATGAACCTGAGAATTGTAACCCTAAATCCTGCGGAGAAGAAGGTTGAAAACTGTTTCACATGATCGGGCTCAGTAGAATCAAATTGTTGTTAAAGCTGGCCAACTTCAAAACATAAGTTGGATTTTGGTGCATTCAGTCTCAGTTTTTTGACATCCAAACAGGATGAAATGCCATCGGTGTCATCTGATTTCATCAAAATTGGAAATTAGGGAAAACCCCGCCAAAACCCAAACGGTTCATAGTAGCAAGAGCTGTCAAACTGCTGAAACTACTAAGGACAGAACTTAATACACAAAAACCCCATTTCTACCAAAGGACAAAAATGTCTCCCTATATAGTATATACTAACCACAGTAGACCTAGATAACCATGAAGCCCTATTTGTACTTGAACACTGGGGTTGAGTGAATGCCCTGTTTTAGGAGCTAAAGCCATAGGTGGGGAAAGCTCTGTTTAGGTACGATTGCAGTTTGCGAGAATGTTATTTGTACCTAAAGTTTGGCAGCTATAGAGAGGTGTTTAACTTTAAACTTTAATTGATTGCCCATTTGCCCTGTTTTCAGGAGGAGGTAATGACATAGGAGAGAAAAACAAGAAGCTCTGTTCAGCAGAACCAGACATTGTTGATGGAGTTAGCCAACCTTGAAAGGGGAGTTGGATTTTTTCCGCCCAAAGTTTCAATGGTATTTGACCCTTCTTCTAAGGCTTAGGCAGCTAAGCTTGCTGTTGCTTGGGGACAGCTATTTGGCTTCCTTAATCAGCAAGCCACGACGAAGTACGCCTACTTCCGTGGAAGCTTCGGGTCAACTGAGGACAAAATGTGCGAACCGAGTGGCGAGTCGACGTCCGAGTCACCTGCCGTAACTCGCAAGGGACAGGCATCACGGGGAACGGTCCCCTCGTTGATGTAAATGCAGTCCATCAATTTCTGTATGAATGGTTTCTTTGAACAGTTCAACTAGAAATGTTAAAAGACTTTTTATCCCACTTTCCAAAGAAATCAAATATGTTGACTATACATATACTATTACATGGTATTGATCATTTATGATAAGGTTCAATATTATGAGGTCAAACTTGTGTTGAAAGCAAAAATGTTTTCTTTTCAATATAAAAGAAAGCAACCATAAAATAAAAGTTGATTTTTTTGGGGGCAAGTATCGTGTTCGTGTTCAATACTGTCTTTCTCCTCTGCAAAGTTTATTTCTTACATATTAAAAATGGTTAACCTTAGTATACCAGCAGGTGTCAAACAAGATTATGATTCGATATCCATTGAGATTATTATCGGTTGTATGTTTGCTCTTGTTTTTATAGTGTATTCATGTGCGCTATAGTTGTAATGTTACACCAGAAAATTACTAAGATTGTTTTATGTTTTGCGTTAACCATAATTTCTCGTTCTTAACAAAAAAAAAAAAACTCTATTGATATCTTCCTGATTAGTTATTAGCGCCCTTTAAATGTTTTGAGTATTTTGATCAGCTCCACTTACTAGCCAGCCAGAGTCGAGAGTAGCCTCTTTTCCATACATATTTAGTGGATGGAGAATCTGACTTAGACTAATTTGTTTTAAGTATTTAACTAATGCATATGGAGTTACCATGGATTAGGACATGTAACTCACACTACCAAGATTTATTAATTGCTCAAAAAGTAACACTCACCATTAATATCCCCAACAAATTATAATTATTTATCCCCAAAATCTATTTTTTTTCCTAATAATTTGTGTAACTTGTTTGTTTGTTTTATTCTTATAAATTATTCGTGACCCTAACTCGAAGGAAGAAGAGAGTTTGATAAGAATGCCAGAATCAGTTGACCAGATTTAACCTAATTGGCCAACGCGACAACAACAACAACCAACTCGGGCCAGCCACTCAGTGAAGAAGAAAAGTCCGCACTTATTCCTCCTCCATCCTTCCTTCCTCCGGCGTCCATATTACTCCTTCTCTTTTGCCGAACTACCAAGTCAAGGCGCCTCTCCCTCTCTCTACAAACGAATTTAAATTCCATCAATTAAATTTCAAAAACTGATTTTATTTTCTTCCCTCCGGTCACATCACGCCAGCGCCCCGCTATTTATTGACATCTCAGTTCTCTCCTTTAGTTTTTTTCTGTGAATAGAAACGCTAGCACGTTTCTGCCTCGTCTACTACTTTCTTTTTTTTCTTTGGCGGAGAGAAGAGAAGAAGGAGATCAATCGGAGCTGAGATCGACTGAGAAAAAAATGTCTCAGTCTCAGATGAAGTACCTGATCGAGGTTGAGAAAGGCCAGCCTGCCAAGGACGGGACGCCGTCGATCGGGCCAGCTTACCGCAGTATCTATGCGAAGGATGGATATCCTCCTCCGATTCCCGGATTGAACAGCTGCTGGGACGTTTTCCGGTGAGTTTTGCTTCCCTCTGTTTTCTGTTTGCGTTGCTCGGAGATTGAGCTCTAGAGATTGGGAGGTGTTGTCTGTCTTAGCTAGTTTAGTACTTTTCAGTCGGATGCCGTTGACTTGCATTGGTCCACGGAGACGGCGGCGATTTCTTTCCCAGAATACTGATTGCGGCCTGTGCTTTGATTTGAATCTATCTCGATTTCTAATTTTTGTCATCCCGAATGTCGATTTGATAGCTGCGAATCGTGAGATGCTAGTTTAATTGTTCTTTTGTTTAGCGAACTGCTCCAAAAAGCTTGGATTCGATCCGGCCGGACTTTAGACGGTCATGTGTTATTCTAATGGATCGGTTCTCGCTTCTTTGTGCAGCATGAGCGTGGAGAAGTATCCCAACAACCCTATGCTCGGCCGCCGGGAGATTGTGGACGGCAAGGTTTGTGGTGGTTCTTGATTGTTGATAGGCGATTGACTAGGGATTTTCCGGCTATTTTCCTGGTCCTTTCAATTAATTGTTAAATGCGTTTCTGATATTTTTTTGAGAATATATATTGATATTTATTTAGAGGTTTCGGTTTTTTTTTGTTTGTCTTTTAGGCCGGAAAGTATGTGTGGCAGACGTACAAGCAAATCTACGACATAGTGATCAAAGTTGGAAATGCGATTCGCAGCTGCGGTGTTGAACCGGTATAGCTTTGTTTGAGCTTTTTTCTAGGATACAGTTCAGTGCTCAGCCGTCGACATTGAATTCTGATATTGGTGATTCATGGTTGTCAGGGAGCAAAATGTGGAATTTATGGCGCCAACAGCTCAGAATGGATTATCAGCATGGAGGTACTCACGTCAGCTTTTTGCCCCCTGAATGGCCGATCTGATTTTTATGGCGAAGCTTCTGTTAATTCTTGCAACTTGCAAGTTTTTCTTGATCTCCTTGTCCTTTTGTTTTGGGGTGCATGTGACGAACAGTACAATTGTGTTTTTGCCTAGGAAAGAGATAGGCCGTTTGGCTGGATTGTATTTACTCCATTGTTTGATTTGCAGCCTCGAGTGTGGCTGCCTATATGCCTTTTGTTCTAGAATCGTTATGCCATTAAGTTACTTTTCTCCAGAGCACCATGATGCATTTTTTTTATGTAGAAGAGGGCGTAATATTCGCTGCCCAATCTAGTTGAAGGCTTTTAAGTCATGTGCTATTTCATTGCGTGATTGGTATTTGCTGCTGTGTAGTGTGTTATCTGTTGTTTTTCTAAAACTGCATCAATGGATATCTTGGGTCCAGAAGTCTTAATCATGGCTGCAAACTGATGCAGGCTTGCAATGCTCATGGACTGTACTGTGTTCCATTGTACGACACTTTAGGTAAGGGCTTTTGTCTGTTAATAAGAGAGCAATTATCATGATTGAATCAGCATCTAATCTGCCACTTTATGCATGATTATAGGCTATAGCATTAGATTTCTCTGTTTCTGGATCTAAGTAGAGAATGCAGCCTCTGAGTTTGAGAACTTTCACACTGAACTACTTTTATATTTGGTGCTTGTATCAGGTGCTGGTGCCATCGAGTACATTTTATGCCATTCAGAGATTTCTATTGCTTTTACAGAAGAGAAAAAGATTCCTGAGGTATTAATTATGATGAGATTGTCATCCTTCTCTTTTTGCATTCGTTGGTACTGATGGTTTGGAAGCCACAGTGTGCCACTCATATTGTTTGTGGGCGAGACATGAATATATAATGCCCTTGATGCTGTGATTATGGTTAATGCTAAACTCATTTTCTTTAGAAATTGAACTGAGCTTTACTTTGGGCCTCCAACATCTCTGTTGACATATTTTTGTGCTTCTGTCTTTCAGCTATTGAAAACGTTTCCTAATGCGACACAACATTTGAAAAGTAAGTCAAGTTTGACAGAGTACTGATCTGTTGTTATGTGCTACTGAAATGCTCATCGAACATATCTCATTTTGCAGCAATTGTAAGCTTTGGTAAGGTTACTTCTGAGCAGAGGGAGGAGATTGAAAAGTATGGCTTGTCAGTCTATTCTTGGGAAGAATTTGTCAAGCTGGTAGGCTGCTGTCATGTGTTTAAGTCTTTTTCTTTGCTTGTGACTTCTTAAAATAGCTCTTGCTTATGATTTTTTTTTTTTTTTGTGGGCTTTATTCTGCTCTTTGACTCCATATACTGCTTCCGTACATGTAAACTTTAGGGGGAGAATAAAGAGTACGACTTTCCAGAGAAGAAGAAAAGTGATATATGTACAATTATGTATACTAGTGGAACAACTGGTGATCCAAAGGGAGTTATGATCTCTAATCTCAACATCATTACTCTTATAGCTGGGGTCAAACGAGTGCTAGAATGTGTGGATGAAAAGGTAAATATTCTATTTTGAGCATTTGATCATCAGCAGATGAGCTTGCAGATAATGCTCTGAATCTCATGCAGAATTATTGAGGCGGCCTTCTAATTTTCTAATTTATTTATGCTCTTGGTTGCCATGTTTTCAGCTGACCTCGAAGGACGTTTATCTTTCATACCTTCCCCTTGCTCATATCTTTGATCGTGTGATTGAGGAATTATTTATTTTTCATGGGGCCTCCATAGGATTCTGGCGAGGGGTAAGCATGAAGAAAGAAGTTTTTGTTTATCTTGTTTCAGTTGAACCAGCAATTCCCTTGGTTGACTATGACCATATGCTACACAGTTCAGTGATCTCAGGTCCTTTTCCTATGTTCTTACAGGATGTCAAACTATTGGTTGAAGACATTGGGGAGCTAAAGCCATCCATCTTCTGTGCCGTTCCCCGTGTGCTTGACAGAATATATGGAGGTAAGGCCTTTCCTGTGGTTGTATATATATCTTTCATTTCCTCTTGTGAGATTATGTTGGAGCATTGAAATAGTAACAAATACATAGGTCAAGAGAGCCCCCATACGCATTGTGGTTTCAGCCTTGGCTGCTAACCCTTGTTAGAATGGACTATGGAGAATGATCGGAATCCACTACTTTGATTATTTGGGGTATTCTTATAGTTAGACAATCTTGCTTGTCTCCAAATTCACAGTATCTTGTTTTCTCATTTTTCAAGGCTTAACTCAGAAGATCTCTGCTGGGGGCTTCTTGAAGAAGACGCTGTTCAATTTTGCGTACTCCCAGTAAGTGTTGTTTACTTGTTTTGGTATTCTAGTCTGGTCTTTCATCTCCAGCTTTCATTTTACATTTAAGCATTGGCATGTCCTTGTGAGCTCAACTTGAACAAAAAAAACGGGATATTTCATAATTCTTGCTTGCGATTCTGGTTCCTGTTTCTTGACTAACTGGTGATCTCACTCTCGCTTCAGCAAACTGAGTAATTTGAAAGGCGGGAGTAAGACAGACGAGGCATCTCCACTCAGTGACAAGCTCGTCTTCAGCAAGGTAATCATGATGCTTGGTCTTAACTCTTAAGTCAATCTAATTATGTTGTGAAATTGCGAAATACTGTTATGGTGTTTAACCCTTCCTCACAGGTAAAGCAAGGGTTGGGAGGAAATGTACGGCTAATCCTATCTGGAGCAGCACCACTCGCCAGCCATGTCGAAGCTTACCTTCGAGTGGTCACATGTGCCCATGTTCTACAAGGATACGGTAAATTATTAGCAACCCCCTTCTACTCTTTGCGTTCAACATACCTTTCGCGACTCAAGAATCTCGTTTTCTTACGAACACATGAACGTATGCAGGCCTCACGGAGAGCTGTGCTGGAAGTTTCGTGTCATTGCCAAATGACATGTCGATGCTCGGCACTGTAGGTCCTCCAGTGCCAAATGTTGATGTCCGCCTTGAATCGGTTCCGGAAATGAACTACGATGCTCTCTCCAGCACTCCTCGTGGTGAAATCTGCATCCGCGGCGACACCCTGTTCTCCGGCTACTACAAACGTGATGATCTCACTGAGGAAGTCTTGATTGATGGATGGTTCCACACCGGTCCGTGAACTTTTCCCTCTCTTGTTCAAGATTCTGTAACAATGTCCTAAAGTTTCTAACAAATTTCAAGCTCAACTATTGTACAAACAGGCGATGTTGGGGAATGGCAACCCGACGGAAGCATGAAAATCATCGACCGGAAGAAGAATATCTTCAAGCTCTCACAGGGAGAGTACGTTGCCGTGGAGCACCTGGAGAACATCTATGGTGGAACACCTGGAATCGATTCGGTAATTCATACAGTTTTTATCCGTCGCTTAATTGAGTAAAGATCAACAGTTAATGAAATAAAAAGACTGACATGACAAATTGATTTTCTTCTACTCGAATCTCCTTAGATTTGGGTTTACGGGAACAGCTTCGAATCTTACCTTGTTGGAGTGGTGAATCCGAACAAGCTAGCGCTGGAGAAATGGGCTGAAGAGAATGGTATCAGCGGGGACTTCAACTCCCTCTGCGAGAACCCAAAGGCCAAAGAACACGTACTCCAAGAACTCTCCAAGATTGGGAAAGAGAAGAAGGTACCTGTCCCCGTTCGTTTCAGTCGACTTACATCAACTGATAGTAGAGAATCTGTTTTGTTTTGAATCTGGTTCTCGCTTCTGACTGTCATCTGCTGCTATGTCGTCGATTCTGACAGTTGAAAGGATTCGAGTTCCTGAAAGGTGTGCACCTTGATCCGGAACCTTTCGACATGGAGCGCGATCTCCTAACTCCAACGTACAAGAAGAAGAGACCCCAGCTTCTCAAGTATTACCAGGTTTGTCTCTCGTCCTGATCTGTTCTCTTGATTCTATTTCTACCAATCGCTGGTACTTGCCAAAGAGAAACTACGGGTATGAAATGAATCAACTGGGTAACATTTAAGGGGGAAAACTGGAGGATACAATCCTAATTAGGCTACGAAGTTCACCTAATCAACTTAAATTCGACTTTCCAGTGAAATTCTTATAAACTGAATAACTCAACAGAGACAAAAAGAAACTGAAGTTCTGCCAACTATAGACATTGATTGAACTAATATCTGGTAAACACGGTGCAGAATGTTATCGACGAAATGTACAAGAACATCAACCGCAAGTGAAACATGCCACAACAGAGGGACAAGAAGGATTTAGCTAGCCGTTTGGCTGAACTCTACAACGTTCTCTGATTGTTGTAACTCGGTGTGTTTATGTTCCTTTTCGGTAGTTTCCTTGTAATTATTAATCTGTGCACCATCACATTAAGTCTTAATTATTTTTTCGAATCTGCAATAAGACTAAATTATTTTGTATTTTCGTTGGAAGGAAACAGAGTCTACATTCATAAGTGTTACCGAGATTTGTTTTCAACAATCAACAAAATTCTTGTATAGAAACTTGTAAGATCACACAACATTATCAGCATAGATCACACAATGGAAACAAACTACGAAATGAAACCTCCCTTCTATACATCCATCTCCGTCCAATTTCCACTTTTCTACGTACTCGAACGTAATAAAAATAAAATAGTGTACCAAGAAAAACTTTAAACTATCACCACATTGGTACCTAAACTTTATTCCACCTACTTTTAGGCCCTTTATTTTTTTCCCCCACTCCCTACCTTCCCTATCTATGGATTCTATATATCTACAGCTTCACAACGATAACACTGACATTATCCCGGCTCCCTCGAGCCATCGCCAGTTCAGCCAGAAACGCCGCCGCGGCCGGCGCACAGTTCTCCGTCGTGTCGTCGGCAAATCTCATCCTCATTCTGCCGTTGAAGCATTTCGCGACGATATCACAGGCTAGCTCACTAGACACCACATCCCACAACCCTTTCGACCCTATCACCACGAATTCCCCCTCCTCCTCCGACTCGCCCCGCTCCCTAACCGTCACCTCCGGCTTCACACGATGATGACGATCATGATCACAATCTCCTGCATTATTACCGTTAGCAATGAATCGCCAAAGTTTCCGACAAACAAACGAGAAAGAACCAGTTCGTACCAATAACTCCAACGACGTTGCGGTTGAGGTTCCAGCCTATGCCCTTCCCCTGCATTCGCTCTGTATCCTGCACCGGCTGCGTCACAAAACGATTCAAACACACGCAAAAGAATCAAACAAACTCAAATAATCAGGAGGGGAAATGGAAACGTAAAAGAGCATTTTGCAGAAAGGTGGAAGAAGGAGAAATTACTTTGTGCAAATGACGTCTAAGCCTAGATGTAGTCGCAATGGAGAGAGACCTAATTCGTTTCATAATTGGATTGAATTTGATATGCGGGTGCGGGCATCCGAACCCAACCTGCCTATTTCCTGTTCTTTTGCATTTTGACAAGGTTGAGAGATCGTAGGACTTTACTTTGTCATGATCATCATCGCGGGACAGAGGCAGGGCGATTCCGCCGCGATACAGAACGGCTCTGCAGTCTCCGGCGGACGTGCTGTTGCTAGCCACCACTAGCTCTTCCTTCCCCACCATCACCACGGCCGCCGTCCACCGCCCGGATTTCCCTCCTTCCGCCGCTGCATCGCGAGTCTCGTCCTCGATCCCCTCGAAGCTGCTCTGCATCACTCTGTTCCAGTAATCCCATCCCCTGCACGATTCCCCTGCTGCGCGACTACAATTCATCTTCTCCGCCTCCATCGCCACCATGAGATGCATCCTGCTCCGGCACAGGGCGGCCTCGCGGCCGCTGTAGACGGCGAAGAAGTCGAATTGACTCTCGAGCCCGCCGATCTCCAGCCGCGGCACCAGCTTCACCGCGTCGGCCATCGTCCTCTTCCGGCCTATCACCGACACCACTCCGTGCGAGTGGCTCGCCGCCGCCGGCGGTGGTGCCCTGATCTTCGCGATGGATGGCGCTGGCAATTCCTCGGTCGTGGATTCGATGTCGGGGTCGGACGAGTGCCTGATCCTCTCCATTTTCTTCAAACAGCGCGGCGTTCTGCTGGAGTTGTTGTTCCTCGCGTGGGTTCGGACATTCTTCGTCTTCTTCGCCAAATCGAATGGGGAAGAAGAAACCATTGCAATTTCTAATGGGTTCTTTCTCCCTTTTTCTGTGTAATTCAAGTATTGTTTCACCTAGAGCTGAATCATTTTGTTTTTTAACAACAAGAACGAACTTCTGAAGACGGGCAGCAAAGACGAAGAAGAAAAAATCACAGAAGAACGGAGAGAGCTTCGATGCTGTGGATTTAAAAAGAGGCGAAGGGGTTGCTGAATGCTGAGGTGGTGCCATGTGGTGGCGGGAACCGCCAGCTGCGAGGCGAAAGACGTGGATGGCTGAGATTGAAAGATGGTGCACACGTGGCGGCAGCACTTGTTACTTGAGGAGGAGGGCGGGGGCTTAGTCATTTTGGCGGGCGCGGGAAGGATTCAGGGAAGCGGCAGAAACCCTGAATGACAGACTTGACTGACTGACTGACTGTGTGTTTGGACTTTTGGAGCGTCGGAAAGGGTAGCATGGTAAAGTTTTGAGATACCAGGGGCGACGTGGCTAGATGCCGAGGTCTGTGCAACTGTCCGGTCTGATTCAGAACAGATCGAATCAAATTCATGGTAGTCGAGAACACAACAGATCAGATCGAATCAAATTCATGGTAGAGAACACAATGTGTGTTAGTTAGTTCACTAGTGGAAGAGAGTCAATTTTACTATACTTGAGTGGATTACAAATTACAAAAAAGTATGAGAATATGTATTACTTCTTCAACGACCTAATCCTAATACAATATGGTAATGAATAAAGTTACAAAACAGAAGCCCATACATCATGGAGGGGGAACCTTGTTCTCCCGAGCTCCCTGACCGTAAGCTTCGTCCTTGGATGATAGAGCTCTAGGTCAAGCGCTATCGAACAATTGGGGATAGGGGATCAGCTAGGGATTGATCCGGGATTGAGGGGAATTGAGAGAGAGTGATTTGGGAGAATTTGGGATGAGAGGAGGGGAGGGAAGGCTGCTGCCGTGCGGCAGCTTGAGAGGGGAAAAGAGGGCTTCGGCCGAAAAGAGGAAGAGAGGAGAGAGAGGTAGTTTTAGGTTTAATTCTTGCTTACCATTCTCTACGTAAACAATAGCCTAAATACCCAAAACACAATTACCTACTAACTCCCCCAAATTATTAATCCCCCCACAATATTCCCAATACCCAAAATAATCCCGAACTAAATAATTCAAACCGACATAAACCGAAATAATCAAAATGTCTATCATTCCCTTCCTCTTCAAAACAACCTTGTCCTCAAGGTTGGTAGCCTTCTCCTGCGTCTTCCCCGTCTCTCGCTTCATCTTCCGCCTCGTCCTCCCACCTCCCTACCAGCATCATCAAGTCCGGACGTGCACACTTGTGGCCAATGGTGAACCTCTCGTCGCAGTTGAAACACTTCCCTTCCCGCCGCTTCTGCTCGATCTCAGCAGGGGACAGTCGCACAAACCCCTTGGGCGGGGGTCGAGCCCCTCCCTTCACGACAGCTACTGGCGCCTGTGTCGCCGTGGGTCCTCCAGCTCCAACCGCGGTCCCAGCCGCTCCTCCTCCTCCACCGCTGAGTCCGCTACTGCTCCCGGCGCCCCCTGCCCGCGGATTACGGCCTATGGTGCTCCTCCAACTCGCCAGCTCCTCTTCCTTGAATCCTGCAAGACGAAAAGCAGATTTCACGGAATCCGGCTCAAAGATCCGGACAGCAGCAGCAATCTCCGGCTTCAGGCCTGCCATGCACAACCCCACCAGTGTCTCCTCCGGGACCCCATGGCATTGATTGCCCAATTTGAAGAACTCTGCACGGTAGTCCGCAACAGAGCCAGTCTGCTTCAGCTTAGCCAACTGTTCTGGGGCCCACCCCTCCGATTTTCCAAACTGATAACGCAGCTCTTCCTGGAACAGCGGCCAAGTGATCAGAGTTCCCACCGCCCCATAGGACCTCTCCATCCATTCCCACCACTGCAGCGCTTCTCCCTCTAAGTAGAAGGACGCCAGATGCGCCTTCCTCTCCTCTGGAATGGGGTGGTTTCTGAACCACCTCTCTGCTGCATACAACCACAACCCTGCATCCTCCTGACCATTGAATTTTGGAAACTCAATGGTCGGGGGTTTGGCTCGAAAGACCATTCCATCAGCTCCATCATAAGCAGGATGATACGAACCATACCTGTCATAACCGGGAGCACCCCCTGACTGGTCTGGGTAGAACGGAGTCCCCCTTCCTCGCCCAAAGCTGCCTGCGGGCCCTCGCCCCATCGGTCCTGCCCACTTCCCTGCATCGTGCGAGCCGCGCCACATGTTCGGGTCCATGCTGGCCGATCTAACCAACCCCGGTTCGAACCGGTTCGGTCCACTGTCGGTTCGACCCGGCTCGGGTCCGCCCCGACCCGACCCACATCGACCCGCCCCGGTCAGCCCCGGGTCGGTCTGACCAGCCGAGCCGCCTCCTCGACCCAGCCCCGGTCCACCCGGCCCAAACCGGCCCTCCTGGCCCGGCCCAAACCTGCCCTCCTGGCCCGGCCCGAACCGGCTCTCATGGCCCGGCCCGAATCGGCCCTCCTGGCCCGGCCCAACCTGCACGCTCTGGGCCCCTGTCACATCCGGGCCCAAATAGTCCCCGCCACCCGCCGGGTCGGCCCATGGCGCGTTCTGGCCCACCAGACTGAGCTCCTCCTCGATCCGCTCGTGATCCATGGTCAGCCACCCCAGTCCTCTGGGCTCGTGATACTGGCCCACTATGTCGCTCCGGCCCATTGGCCTAGGCGGCCCCTGCCCAGTCGGCGGCGGCCCATTGTCGTACCCTGGCATCTTGGCCTTACCCTTGCGGGCCGCCAACTCCTGGGCCGTTGGTGTCGGTAAAAGCCCAGGCCCACCGATGCGCCCTGGCTGACCCTGGCCCACTCGCTCCCCGGCCCCGGGCACCACCTCCGCCGCGTCAACCACCTCGACAGCCGCCGTTGGGGGCGGCGCCTCCGCCACCACCATCGCCCCCGCTGCCGCGCCACCCGCCGCCGCGCCTCCATCCGCCGTCGAGCCTCCCAGCCCGCTCCGGCTTTCGCTCCCATCGCCGCCGCCACCACCCTTCGGCCCAGTGGCTTGCGCGGCGGCCAGCGCCTCCACGACCCTCTGCACCTCATCAAACCGCTTCCAAACCCGCCGGGACTCCTCCTCCTGTTCCCGCCGCTGTTCGCCTTGCTCCTGTCGGAGCGCCCGCCATTCCTTGCGCTCCTTCTCGAACTCGGCTACCAGGCGATCCAAAGTAGACTGGATCAGCTCCAGCCTTTCAGTTTCGTCCACCAGCTCACCGTCCCGCGGATCGGTGGCCCCCTGGTTGCCGCCGCCAGCTACCGGCAGCCCGGTCGAGACCGCGGTGGAGGCCTGCTCCGGCGCCGCCGCCTTGGCAGCCTTCTCCGCCGCTGTCATCGGTTTTGTGGACACCATTGCACCCTTCTTTCGCTGTTTGTGATCGAACCCAAGAACCGGGCTCTGATACCAAATGATAGAGCTCTAGGTCAAGCGCTATCGAACAATTGGGGATAGGGGATCAGCTAGGGATTGATCCGGGATTGAGGGGAATTGAGAGAGAGTGATTTGGGAGAATTTGGGATGAGAGGAGGGGAGGGAAGGCTGCTGCCGTGCGGCAGCTTGAGAGGGGAAAAGAGGGCTTCGGCCGAAAAGAGGAAGAGAGGAGAGAGAGAGGTAGTTTTAGGTTTAATTCTTGCTTACCATTCTCTACGTAAACAATAGCCTAAATACCCAAAACACAATTACCTACTAACTCCCCCAAATTATTAATCCCCCCACAATATTCCCAATACCCAAAATAATCCCGAACTAAATAATTCAAACCGACATAAACCGAAATAATCAAAATGTCTATCATTGGACCCCGTCTCGCTGACAGTGCAGCGGGACCCACGTGACTTTCAGTCAACGACAGGTAACCCGATTCAAATCATATCAACAAATAGGGGTGGAAATCGGTACGGTATCGGTATCCCAATACCAAATACTGAAATCCCGAATATAAAATTACACCCTAAAATCAAGCTCAATCCCAATCACTAAATAATTTCGATATCTCAATTCCAATCGCTAAATCTTTCGGTATACCAATCGATACTTCGGTATCCCAATCAGTATTATCGAATACAAAATTAATTAACTTTGCAATTAATAATTAAATATATAAATTAGATTTGATTGTTTAATTTAAGGCAAAGAGACTAAGCAAATAGTCTTGAGTTTGCCTAGAACTAGGATATGAGTAAGGAGAATGGAGAAGAGGTGACATCTCAAAATTTTGTTATTGGTAATCTTTAATTTGACGAATTGGAGGCTGAGAGACGACTAATACTAGTGTTTGCTTTTTAGTTTATGAAAATAGCAAGAGATTAGGAAAGAGACGAGAGTGACTTAAAATGGAAAGTCAAAATTGAGTTGGATGGGGCTTCTAAGTTGTGAAAGAGTGAGAAATGAGTCAATGACAAAAGGTGGTGTGCTATATTTTATTAATTTGTATTTTTCGATATTTCCCGATCCAAATCCCATAGTTTCGAATACCGAATAACACTCCAAAATGAATCCCAATCTCAATCCCTAAAAAATAAGCCGGTATTCAGTAATACCAAATAGTGATAAATTTGGTACGGTATTTGGTATATCTCAAATACTTGCACCAAACTTCCAACCCTAACAACAAAGACCAAATCACTATTGTGTTTAGTTCAGTGTTGTCCGACTTGATTAGGTTTAAATGTCATTTAGATCCATTTTTATCAATCAAGAACTGGACCGCATTATATTAGATTTGGTATGGTCAGTGGGAGCCCGGCGTTGTGTCTTTTTTAACTATATAAATCATTTCGATTGTAAATTTCATTTGTACTTTTAGTGTAATTAATTAATTTATTACAACCAAATAACACTAAGTGTTGCCACCAAAAAAAAAACACCAAGTGAGTTATAGTGAAGTGATAAAATGCTTTTTTATTTTTTTTATCGAAACTCACCGGTTTCTGTGATATAGCCCAAACCCACCGACTCCAGGTCCAGGGTATGCTCTGTTCTTTTTTTTTTTTTTTTGACAAAAGATAATCTTATATTAAAATAAGCAAACGATAGTTACATCCTGGATCCAAGCCAGGTCCGAAAATCAAAACCCCGACTCATAGCCGGGTACAATGCAAGGGCCTTTCTAGCCACCAAATGGGCTACCCTATTGTTACGCCGACCTACAAATCGTAAAGAAAAACCAGGATGGGCCTGCAAATAATATCCTACTTCTTCCAGTACAGCCCCCACCGCATTATCCCGTACATCCGCCTTGTTGAGCTTATCAATGATCACTTTAGCATCCCCTTCAAGCCTAACCTCCGAGAAGCCCAACGCCAGACACCACACGATTGCCTCCCTAAGCACCAGCAACTCTACCACCTTCGGGTCATCAAGCAAAGGGAGCTGGACCCCTTTGGCCACAAGGACTTCCCTGGCAGGTGTCAACAGTACCATCCCACCCGCGGAGTGTGACCCACACCGGACTGCCCCATCCCACATACAGACAATCCTATTGTCCCCCCCAGGACCAGCAAGGAAAGGGTCAGAGGGAATAGAGCCCGGCAAATGAGGTGGGCCCGACGAGAGACCCCCCCATTCCTCACACTGCTGATGGATTTGACGCATCAAGGCCGGAATCCCAAACTGCTTGCCCTCAAAAACAACCCAGTTCCGAGATCGCCAAATGCGCCAAAGAACCGCCACCACCTTCAAAAAGAGCGCCGGACTATGCACCAGGGCTAACATTCGTTTCAGAAACAACGGAAACGTATGCCTAGGCAATCCTTCGCCAAGATAATCCAGCCCTGAGTAATCCCATAGGGCACGAGCCACCGGACAATCCAGAAAAAGATGCTCCATTGTCTCTTCACTTGCCCAACAGACTGGACACCTAGGATTAACCGCCACCTTCCTCTCCAAGAGAGCCTCTGTTGTTGGCAGTGCACGACTAAGGATTTGCCAAAGAAAGACTTTCAGCTTCGGCTGAATATCCGCACTCCACAACCGAACCCAGCTAGGCTTATCCATCCACCCAACCACAGACTTCCAACCTCCCTCCCTCCTATCCACATCAACCGCCATATGATAAGCCGATTTGACAGAGAACATTCCATCAATAGTACCATGCCAGATTAACCGGTCTTCGACATCCCTCCGAGGCAAAGGGATTGCTTTGATGGCCTGACAGGTCGGCAGATCAAACCACTGCTGCAGTTTCACATCAGACCACCTCCCCTCGCCCGGGCACAACACCTCCTCTACCCGCGGATCCCCCCCATCTGGTAGCACCTGAGGATTATACCTAGGAGGGTCACTTCTTATTTTCTCCGTTTGGTATCAACGCGGACTGATCTAATGAGCGCCGCAGCGCCACCGGCCTCATTTTGCGCCGTTTTCCTTCCCCGGTTCAGAGGTATGTTGATGGTTTGTTGCATTTTATTATTATTTTAATTCGGAACAAGTAATAATGCACAGTAGCCAGACCGTCTCTACATTTTGTATTGTATACGACGTATGTTGATGGTAAGGAAGATTTATATGCAAAAAATATGGATGTGAAAGATCTTTATTTAAATCTACAACATTGGTATAATGCAATTTCAATTGTCTTAAAACATATAGAATGTAGTGGAAACTCTATTGATAATGGTAATTTTCATGGTAAAAAGATTATTTTAATATCAATTTACTCCACGCGAATGGGAGAGAGGAACTTTCGCACATAATCATGAACAGATGATATGTCGTTGTTTGTTGACACTTCGACGAATAAAGATGTTGTCTTTAGTGAAACTTCTGGCATATTGTAGCTCACAAAAAGTTGAAGGTTTTCTATTTGTGAAGCCATGGGTGGCCATAGCCAAGCCACATACAAGTCTTTTGGTTTAAGATATCATCACCGTTGGACACAAGTCATGCTTGCTAAAGCTCAACCTGTATCTTGATCTCGAATATTAGGTTTGAATTAATGCAATTGTATATTTCACACATAAGTATACCGATGTTCGGACGAAATGTCAAATTTACTATATACTTACCATTCAAAATTTTCCTTCATTTCCCTGAAGCATTTGTTCCTCCATTATTACATTGTGGCAAGTCGATCGAGCAACCGAAACTAATCACTAAATCCAAGCAAGTAATTAAGTAATTACCTAATTAGCTTGATTGACTGCGTGAACTGACGCTTACCTGTGATTCTTAAAGAGCAGTCATCCAGATTTCATGGTGTTAATACGGTATCTAATCTAAACTACGACAACGTTTGAATATGATGTCATTATATGTATGACAGAAATTCTATATATATTCTATCCCCAAACAAACCAGTATTGCGTACATCGTCGAAAAGCACAAAAATCCTAGCTTAGCTTTACGTGTTTTTCCCCTCTGGTTTGGTTTTCCTTCCCATATATTTATATTTATATTTTTATATTTATAATATATATATCCTAGGCCTAGCTATAGCCCCACACGTGCTTTATCGAACACAACAACTAGATCTGGATCAGCCTTTCATAGTACAGCATGCATGAATGTAAGTCAGCCTAGTTATTCTGCTAACTTGAAAATTCGTTAGTATATACTAACTAATATCCAAAATGTATGAAAAAGTATCCAAGTTTGCTGAGTATCTAGATAGCACAGACTAGTATTCTAAACATCACAAACTAGTATCTAGATAGCAGATACCAACTAATATCCACAATCAACCAACTAGTATTCAATATGGATACTATTATGTGTTATCTGGATACTAATTATGTGTTGTGTGGATAATAATTATGTGTTGTATGGATACTATACTGTGTTGTCTAGATTTTAGTTTGTGAATTTGGGATAATAGTTGATTCATGGTGAATATCAGTTAGCAAACTTTGAATACTAGTCTGTGCTCTCTAGATACTTTAGTACTTGGATACTAGTTCATGTATTTTGGATATCAGTTAGTATCTGCTAACGAATCTTCAAGTTAGCAGATTAACTTTTCTCGAATGTCAGTATGGTATTGTTCAATCATTTTGGGGGGTGACTTTAATTTCTTCAGTATTTGTTAAGGAATTGTGGAGTTTGTTTCTCAACGGAGATGAATGCATGGCTGTTGCCAGAGCGCAAATTGATAATGGCATCTTCATTGAAGAACTGCGCGCAAATGCATGATTGCCCTTTTGCTGCTGTAACTGCTTTGTTCCTTTCCTCTCTTCTCTGCTCCAGCTCGACAGACAGTCTACTTCAGTTGAGGGTGATGTATGCGGATAAGAATATGATGAGTTTGAGACGCATTTTACTAAATCAATCCGTAAAATTATACCCTACTATCCAAATTCGAACCTTACTCTCTCGATTTAGAACTAATGTAATTAAGTTTCAATATGTGTATCATTTTTGGAGATAGAACGTTGAGCAAATGTTATATATCACACACTAACAAAAACAAGTAAGAGAAACATAACGTGAATTTATATTCTTGGGAGAAATTAGAATTGAAAGGTGAAATAATGAAGGTGTTTAAGGTTGCATTAATTCTAAAAATAGTATAAAAAAAATAAGGAAGCAAAGTTCATATGACATGTAATTAGATGTAGTTTAAGTATAAGAAGTACATATATATACGGGGGATATATGGGTAATGATGAATATATGATTTTTTTTTTGTTGAAAAAAAAAAGACACCAAAACTCATCTCCATCTTTTTTGGGTATTATCCATTCCCACCATGGCCGCTCAATACAGAAACACCTTGATTTGGATATGTTAGAAAGGATCGGATATCCACGATTGTGGGCACAATTTTTATACCGAAGTCTTGGCAAACAGCTTCATACTGAACCAGTGGGCCTAGCTCCCTGAATTTGTCAATCTGGGTTTGATTTGAAAACGGGCTGGATATTCACGGCAACGAAACTAGGTTGAGATTTCGATGGGCCTTGCGGGTAGTTGATCTCACATCTCTTACAAGTCCAAGAAAGCAGCCAACAATATCCCACGGCTTCTGTTAGTTCTGTGCAAGTTGAGTACAGGGCATGCATTTTTTTTATATCAAATGGACGGCACCCTATCCTTTATTCAAGACCATCCGGGGTTCGGAAATCCCCTGAAAATCGTACATAATCCAGTTACAAAGCATGCATTAACCATGAATGGTTTGCTTAATTAACTATAATCAATTAGAGCCATAAATCTGAATGAGCGATACTAAAAAATATATGTTTGATGGATTTGAATCATGTTCTTAGAGAAGGGGTTAGAGTCTTTACCAGCTAGTTTAATTTTGAAATTTGTTACCATTTTTACATGTAAATTTAGTTACATTTAAAAGTTGAGATGATCATAGTTCCCTAGACTCAACCATGTCTTTGACAAAAAAAAATATTAATTCAAATTGAGTGAACGAAACACATAAAGATAAGCTACCACTTCATTGGGGAGAGAAAATGTAACATACATTTCACTCAGGTTCTTTAGCATATATCTAATCCAATCAATTTGCATACCCTCTTACGAAGGCGTTACAATTTACACATGAATGTTCTAACACACCTCTAACACGATAAATTTGTATACCCTTTTACAAAGGCTTTACAAATGAATGTTCTAACACGATAAATTTGTTACCCTTTTATGAAGGCTTTTGTGAAGCATTGTTCGTAAACTCATTAATCTGAAGCCCTGCATAGTCTCTGAAAAGGCCATGTTTGGACTTTAGCGATGGACTGGACGATTCACTAAAAATTGGAAGTTAGCTTAAAACGATTACTTTGGTTAGATTCAGTTAATAAATCTACCAAGTTAGCCAACCTTGTCAGGCTGCTTGGATTAGAGTGTTAGACAAGGCAAGGAACAACGTGAGACAATAGTGTTGATTATCACAAACTACATTTTCACAACCCTCAAAGTGTGTTGTAGAGCTTACAACAAGGGAAACAAAGACAAAAAAAAAAAAAAAAGCTGTAAAGTAACAAAAGACATCCAAACAGCAATTTCAGAAGTTGAGAGAAGCCTTTTCCTCCCCCATACTCCTCACTCACTACCAAACAAATCATCCTCCCTTTCTCTCAAAACCACTATATATAGATATAGACCTATATAACAACAACGACAAGAGTACTGTTGTGGTGAAGCAGGAGGTGAAAGAGGATGAGCACTTCTCCTTTCTTCCCTCAAACCCATCGTCTCTTCACTCCTTTCATCCTCCAATCTTCAACCTTATGGAGAAACCCTTTTCCCCCACTTCTCGTCTACTGTCACTACATGATATAGTTGCAGAGAAAATCCCATAATAGTAAAAACTTAAATAGAAAGGAGGGTGGAAGGTAGCCAAAGAAAAATTTGGACCTTCCTTCCTGCAAATACTTCTGTCGTTCCTCCACGAAGTATATATATATAGCTGCACAGTTTCTTACATTCACAATGCCGTAATTCGTCTCTGGTTTTGCTTTCCAACCCTTTTCTTTGCGTTACCTTCTTCCTCAAACCAATGTATAGCCAGAAACAGAGACATCTGCAGCAGAAGCAGAATGAATGTAGACAAACTCGAGGCTTTTCCCAGCTGGCAGTGACTTGATCCATGATGGGAAGCCATAAGAGTTTCCGGATTTCGTCAAACCCCAGATTGGACCGTAGAGCTTGTTAATGTATAGCTTCAGACTGTTCAATGCCTTGGGCGACTTGTTGGTCAGAATGGTGGAGTATCTGTAGTATGTTTTCCCTTCAGATTTCCATGAAGCAGTCACCTTCTGGACTAGGGATATAGGCGCAGAGGTTGAAACTGCAGCAGAATCAGCGAAAATTGCAGAATGTTAGCTAAAAAATTAAGAAAGGTTGTGAACAAATTATGAGAAGAATCACAAGGGTAATTATCAATTACCTGGAGCAGGAGTAACAGGTTTGGCAGCAGGAGCTCTAGTGGGTGCTCTTGGAGCAGGAACAACAACCTCTGCAAAAATGGATAACCAAACAACACCAATCAAAAACCATGTCCACTGACTCATTTCCAATTGTTTTGAGTATTAACACTGCAAAAAAGGGATCATTCCTTCATGTCAATTACCTGGGAGGAGCTGGTTGTAACCACCATGGCCTGCACCAAGACGAGCAAGAATCCCCAAAAGAGGAGCATTGTTGTAAGTAGCAGGCTCAGTCTGCTCATAGTTATCCCTCTGATCAGCGAAATTGTCATAAGCATCAGGACCACCAACAATGGCACCGGTAAGCAAATTCGGGTCGCTCGATTTCTTGCTGAACCAAGTGGCGTACCCACCACGGCAGCTGATCGGCCTAGGATCCTTCTTGAACGACACGATCGACGACGCCCTGTGGTGAACTTGCTGAGGGTAGTTGTTGCCGTACCCAACCATGTAGCTCGTGGCCCTAGGGTTGTCACCAAGAATGTAGTCCACTTGAGACTTGGCGAAACCAAACAGTTCCGAAGGAGATACACTTCCAGCAGAGCACTGCAGCGACTTGCGAGCCGAAGTCAGGTAATCGGAGTAGACGGTGGCGAGGAAAGACGCGCTGGTGACGAACTGCAGGTTGTTCCATCTCTGCCTGAAGATCAAGCCCCCCGGTGTCTTCTGGATGTTCCTGCTTCCCTTGCCGACGCAGCCGCACATGAAGTACTCTGCCTTCTGCTGGTACTTCTGGAAGACTGCGGCGTGCTGGCCGGCTCGCCCTTGCATCAAGAACTGCCAGATGCACAAGGTAGTTTATCAGACCTAATTTCCCAAGTCAAATCAATTTTGGGTCCAATTTGCAGACAAGAATGGTGTGCAAACCTTGGCGACCAGGGTTTGAACACCGGCGTACTTGACATCCCAGCCGAACTCTGTCATGCCCCAGCCGGTGCCGCCGAGGGCGTCGCCGTTGGCTGCAAGGTAGTTCAGATAGTACTGGTTGTTGGAAGCCTGGTAGAGCCAAGCTGCAGCCCACAGCAATTCATCCTGCACAAATGCGGTTAAACAAGGTTAAAATTGAGGAGAAGGGTAAAAAGGAATTGGATGGTAAAAATTGGTGTGAAGAGTTTTTTTTTTACTGACATTGTAGCCGCTGACGGAGCGGTAATATTTCTGGGCGACGGTGATGCTGCTGTCGTATTTGCCTCTGTGCTTGTCGGCGAAATCGAAGAGCTGAAAAAACAAGAGGGAAGTTCGGTAAGGAAGCTGCTCAGTGGCATGATGTGTAATTTGGGAAAACTTGATGGGTAAATTATGGATCTTGGATTGGGGACCATATGCCATATGGGCAGTGCCACCGACACTGGTCACGTGGCTTGGCGGGTAACTAATTCCCGGTTTTCGCGGGTCATAATACGTGGACGGTTCAGATCTGGTTAGGAAGGTACTAAATAGATCTTTACGGTTATCAGACAAGTCCCGTGATAGACGGGGCTAGGACCAACCAAAAAGATCCACAACATGCGCCAAGGGGATACTAGTTGATTTAATGCTTGTTTCCTCATAATGAGAAAATAATTAAATATCACTGGTTAGTACACAAATTTTCGTTATTTAAGATATTAATATACTAATTAAACAATGATGGGCTGATGGCCCATGAAGGCAACACAGTAATGGGCTCATGGCCTAATTATGTTAAAAACATGCTTAAACTTCTGATTAATTTTTTAATTAGTATTTTTCGAGTTCTGCGCTACCATGCGCGCCATTAATTCAGTGCTATCTTAGCGGCGTCAGTGGCAACGACCAGCCAGACCAAAAAAGCTAACAATTCTTTCTAACTGCCCATTTACTACACAGAATCGCTAACGTACGCCGCCCTGCGGTAACTAAAATGCGCGGAACTAAGTGGAGTTTCAGTCGCACGGCGGTGGTCCACAACCTCCACCGTTGGATCTCTGGCGGCGAGAAAACTTCCTACATCCCTCTCAATAACTGTCGATTTTATTGGGTTTCACAGTGAAAGGTTTGATTTGATTTTACCTGATAAGCGTGATTGAGAAGCTCGCGGGAGTAGGCCGGGTTGGAGTGGCGGAAGACGATGGAGGCGGCGGCCATCGCGGCGGCTGTCTCGCCGGCGAGATCCGACCCGGGATTGCTGGGGTCGATCCGGTAAGCGCGGCGGTCGGTGGTCATGTCCTCGGGCCTTTGCCAGCAGTAGTGGTCAGTGTTTCCGTCCCCTACCTAACCATCCAAAAACCAAATTCGATTAAATTAATTAAACAAATAATGATAATTAAGATTTTCACCAAACAGGAAACACTAATTATACGCCAAACAGAATTCCCAATTGAAAATGACCCCAACCCAAATACGAAAATATGGTTCAATTCTCTTTGACAATTAAATACCGTGACTAACGGAAAAGGGGAAAAAAAATTAATTCACTGCAAAGCAGAGTGAAGCTTGGAGCTAAGTGGGTGATTAGAATTATTTACCTCTCCGTAGAGAACATTAGGTTCCGGGTGAGCTTTGATGAAGTAGTCGGTTCCCCACTTGATAGCGTCCATGGCGTTGCGAAGCTCGCCGCTGGCAGCCATTTGCTTGCCGTACTCGATAATGCTCCACGACATCATCGTGACGGTGAACGCCATGGGGAGGCCGAACTTCACATTGTCGCCGGCGTCGTAGTAACCTCCGACCAGATCTACCTGAAACAGGAAACAACAAGAAAGATGAGTCTAAATTTCTCACTTCCCAAGTTTAAATTTCTCTCAAAGTTTCACTAAACTGGTTTTAAGAAAAAAAGCTTACCCCACTGGCTTTGCCGTCATTGAGGCCAGAATTAGATCTCCAAGTGACCCTCTGGTTATGGGGGAGAAACCCAGAGCGCTGAGCTTCGAAGAAGAGAATGCTCTTGCTGAGAGCCTGGCCGTAGTCATGGCCGGCGAAAGCAGAGGGGAAAGAGCAGAGTAAGAACAGAAGAAGCAGGGGAGCAGCAGCTGAAACGCGCCTCGCAGACTTCTCCATAACTCTGTATAATTACACAGCAGAACTGGGTTGTTCTTTTTTTTTTTTTTTTTTTTTGTCACTTTTTTCAGTAAATGCAGTAACAGGCGGCTACTCTTATCTCTGCTCAAACAGGGGAAGAACAGAGACAGGTAGAGATCCGCTTGGTGCAGCAGAGAGAAATGTATAATGTACAGGGTAGCAGCTTAAGCGCCCACTAATCCACACTTACGAGTGGATTAATTAGGCAATGTGGGTTATGGATTATCAGCCAAAAAACTTCTGATAAGCACACAACCAAGGTTGGGAGGAGAAAGGAAAATGGCTGGAGGGAGGAAGAAAGGAAGAAGAGGGGATTGTGAGTGTGTGGAGGAGCTCAAGCCACTATATATCGAGGAGGGGAAAAAAGGAAGGTACTCCAACTCCAAGAGGCAGAAATTGGCAGGCCTCCATTAATGAATTGAAATATATATTTATATTTAATAAAATTATTGTAATGTGTTGAATTTTATTTATTTGTTTCTCCATTTGGAGGAGTGGAAAGAAACGGTTGAGGGAAAGAACAGAGTCATGTGGGTGTCCCTTTGGAGCTTCACTGGAAGGTCGGTGTGGAATTATTTTCTCACCCTTTTGCCAAATTAAACCAAAGAATTTACTATTTTACCATTTATCACTAAAGGGTATTAAGTATTAACCCACTAATGGGGAATAGAGGGCGAGAAACCAAAAAGAATTTTTGTTTGTTTCAGGAAACCAAGCCTTAGTGCCTAATGCTAATGCTCAACCTTTCTCGAAGGCCAAAAAGGAGGATTGAAAATTGAAATTAATGGATCATTTTGTAAACTAAAGTATGTTATGATTAAAAATAGTATAATTTGGAACATCTTTAAAGTTGGGTTTTGATTAATTTGACTAAACACAAACAAGGTAATAAAAATTTTGATTAAAAAAGAAAAGGATGGATATTGTCATATTGATTTGTGTAGGAAGAAATAAAAAAAAAATGGCAAGTAAAGGAAAAGGAAGGACAAGTGAGGGGCAGCAAAATAGTTGGAAGGCAAATTGAAAAGTTGTGGCATAATTACCGGAAGAAGAAAGGGCAAAAGTAGTCGCAGTAGCAGCAGGAGGAGAAGAGTCAAAAAAGGGTTCCAGGAAACTGAAACTGTCCCCCATTTGTGTCTTTTTGGCATCAATTTTCATTCAATATAATCCTCATATTGTCCTCGGTCTTCATTGTAATTTGTTCCAATGTGATTACTAAAATAATGACTTCAATCCGATTTAAGTGGTGGGAATTCTGTTCGTTACTAATTGTTGGGGCATCTGATGACCGTAACCTATTCCATTAATTTGTGTACAAAAGTTATTCAAATTCGAGATGAGTTCTCTAATGACTGTTTTGTTACGTTTCAATGCAAGAATACTCTCGCCTTCACTAGGTGACCTTATCCTAGGTGAACTCTTTCCGACTCTCTGCATCCCTTCAACTGATGTTGCCTACGGTAACAATATTGCCATAAACATGATCATCATACATTCATCCTAATAGGCAACCTTTCGAGCCGCCTGTGATCCATGGATCCTATATGCCCATGTATACCATAATTATTCATCTGACTCGATTGACCGATCAGGAATGCCTGATTGCTTTATTTTGCATGCATCACCTCCAAAACTATCATTATAGTCGACATTTTTGTTGTTTTCACTATCTTCACCACAAGCATCACCACATAAGAAAAAAATTATGTATATATTGATATTAAAATATGTTACATCTCAAATTGTAAATTTTCTAATATCGTATATTCAAAACTTCATAGCACCATCCATGCATCACGAACGTTTAAATCAGACAAGTTGTTGATTAGATAATAATAATAGAGAACACTATCGAAAGCTGATAAACGAGTTAAAGAAAGGGAGGGGGAAATATGATAATAGCCCATATGTGTTCTGTTGGGCTGGATTATGAACCCACCCACGTTTAATCTTCACAGTTACGGCATATATCAAACCAAGGTGCATTAAATAGCAGCGAACTACCATCTTCGCATCAATTTCGTAGGGTACAAAAGGAAATCTCACTCTCTCCTACTAGTACAAACTACAAATGGATCGTTCCAAACGAGTATTTCGATATCCATATTCGTTTCATGACAGATCGGACAATGTATTATTGGATGCATGTCGGGGCATGTCTACAAATATAAATATGTAATTTAAAGATAATATATTTAAAATTTTATTTTTACAATAAAAATGAGGAAACAAAGTATAACATCATAAATATAGTAAACATTATTTTTGAAATTAAGATTGTCATGTGTTTTATATCAGATTGAGATCGAGAATAATACTCATACACGCTACGTCCCAAAAATATCAAATAGGTTAAATAAAACGGGTGGAATCTAACTTGTCATCTCTACCTACTAGTCTCCTTCTCTTCTAGCGTAGGAAGCTTATCATTCAATTGTTCCAACTGTACTAGTCTAGTTGTCTTCCTTGCTTCGACCCCAAACATCTCTGAGCCTCGCATTAATTTCCTTGAACTGAATCTAAGTCCCATACCCTAATTCAAAATTTGAATCATTAGTATATAATAATTCAAATCTCCTCATGATCACTAGCTATTTTCTATCATAATTCAAATTCAAAACCACATTAATGCAACAACGGTAAGCTAATTAATATCCAACATCAACTGTTTGACAGAGGTAAGATATATGTGTTCTTTATGTTTTCCACGTTTGGTAGGGAGGCTTCAAACTTGTATTTCATTAATTAAGTCAAATGGGAGAAACAAGAGATTAAATCTTACTCTTGATATCATGTTTCCCTAAATGAAGGTGTTTCAAACTTATGGACAGATTATATATCTAAGTACGTGCAATTGGTAAGTGTTGAATTTTTTTCTTTGAAATCATTGCAGTTAATTATTGCTTTAAAGAGATCGATTGAGCTACGAACCACTTGCAACACTTCATCAATAAAATTAATAGCGGTTAGGTATCGAGAAACATCACATTGTGCAATGAGGCGGCGGAATACATGATTATTTTTGGTACTCTGCAACGTTTGATATCGTTTCTTCACCCTTTCATCATTTTCGTATCTCTAGAATGTGATTGTTTCGTTATGTCTATCCAACCTTATTAATCGTCTTTTGTAAAATTAAATCACATTCTAACACAAACGTTATTTCATCCGATCTACTATGACATTTTGTGACAACGAATATTTTTTTTTTGGGTCTGGGCACACATTTAAAGCACCCTAGCCTTCCAATCGACCTCTACGTCCAACTGTAACATCAGGTGGAAAATAAGAGAGCTAGCTGTACAATGAATGAATGATTTGAAGCTGAGTTGGGGAAAGAACTCGAGGGTTCGTGCGTGCGCAGGCAGGCAGCTTCGTGGGAACAATGTCGTACAAGTTTGGGCTGTAAACCCATCCCTTCTCTTCTCATGGCCCGATCGCGGGAAGGCCGAAGGAGTGATGCACAAATCCGACAACTCGACAAAATGCACACGCCCATCATTAATCCCTTACCTTTTTTTTTTTTTTTTTTTTTTTTTTTTTGATGAATAAGGTGCTTTATTCATCAAGAAAGGGAGACCCTGTAAAGGACCCCCCTAACTGGCAACTCAGTAGCAAACAGAATACAACCAACGCTGGAAAAAACAAGAAAACTAAAACAGAAACAATCAGATACAATCTACTACATCCTCCACTCGAATTCTGCTAACAATGCCTTCAGTTACTGCACTGGCTACTTGAGGATAGCCATCCCTCAGCAGCTCCAGTAAGCTTTTAATCCTGTCTACAAATTTACCAGCATCCAACACTTCGCCTGCCATAATCCTTCTGCATCTTTCGCGCCACAGCTCAGCCACCATCATGATCCACAACAACCTGCCACAGTCAGAGGTAGGACAGTTTAATTGAAATAAAGACACCACCTTGGCCAGAGAATCTTCCCAGCTAGCACCAGTTATGTCTTGACCTCCAAACAGAGCACGAATCACCGTCTTAGAATAAGAGCAGTCAAAAAATATATGATCTCTTGATTCCTCAGCAGAAAGACACAAGGGGCAGGAATTTACAACTGAGGAATTCCACTTCTGTACTTTATCAAGCGTAGTAATCCTGCCTAATATAACCAGCCATACAATAATCTTGTCTTTAGGTGTCCCCAGTGACTTCCAAACCAAGGAATGCCACATAACTTTCCCATGTTTAATACGAATTGCATCCCAGACCTTCTTAACAGAAAACTTGTCCATGGCAGCATTATCCCAAAACACCCTTGCTGAATGAACTCTGAGATGCTGAGCTACCAGTGGCCTAATTTTCAATACCTTCCTCCAAGCCCAAGAACAGGGAACAGAATCAGGTATATCCCAGATCGACGTGAAACGGAGCTGATATTGCCTAACCCAGGAAGCCCATAAAGACGAGGAATTTGAGGAAATGGCCCAAAGGTGCCTTACCAAACAGGCCACATTCCAGCTTCTGAGGTCTTTGAACCCCAGTCCCCCTTCAGTCTTAGGCCTAGCTACCACTTCCCAAACCACCTTTGCCTTCTTCCCTTCCTCCTCTGCACTCCAAAGAAAGTCAGAGCAAGCCTTCTCCACCATCTTCAGAACTTTAACTGGAAGCTGTAGGATCCCCATCCAGTATTGAGTAATGCTCGAAATAACTTTAATCCCTTACCTTACCTGTCATTCACATCATAAAAACCACACCGACACTCCACCGGCGGTCAAAAAATCATCCACCCTGCCGGCGGCAATCAACTTGGATGTAGGGACGTCTTTGTAGATAAAATTTTCATCCCGGGTGAAATTTGAAAGATGAAAAATAGTTACCAGCAAAAAGTTAGCAGAAAATGACAAAAGAAGGTGCGGTCAAACAAATACACGGGGTCCCAGGCAGGCTCCCAGTTAGTTCAGAGCCGCTTTATTCCAACCGCAATCAACGGTCTATCCGCCGGGAAAAGATATGTATACCCTAATAAATTCAAAATTAAATTAATTCGCACTGACCTTATATTTTTGTTTATTTTATTGGGGTTTTTATTTATTTATTTAAAAGTATCTGGAAAAAAAAAAGAAAAAAAAGGACAGTAGATCTGGACATATAGTAGGAGTCAAAGGAGCACGCCTCCGCGTTAACCGTTTCGGACGCCGGTTCTGTCACGGCCACGCCAGTTTTTTACTATTTACCGCCTTTCTCACCACCGCCAATCCGGCGTGTCGGTGGCTCCACCCTCCACCGGTAAAAACCTACGGTTCACTCTTCCGATGCAGCTAGCTAGCTAGCTTGTTTAGGTATAAATCGAATAAATGGGAAAGAGAAGATTTACTATACGTCACATGAGCTGCAGCCACGTGGCTTGTGAAACTACCGGAGGAGGAGAATCGAGGAGAGATATGCACAGGATAAA